GGTACCTAGACAGGACTTTTTAAATTAACCGCTCTGGCTTCATTCTATTTCTCCTTAAAACGGTAACTGGACCACGCACATACCTTAACTACTAAGTACCACCCTAAAGGGGATGGTCAAGTGCTACATTAGAACCACCCCACACGCACCAAGTTTGCAGTGATGAAATTTCGTCAAAAAAAAAATGGATGCCAAAATCACTTCCATATAAAAGCAATGCGAAAATGTTTTTTACGGACTAAACCTATAACCAACAAGTTATGAAAATTCTTGCCTTGTCAAGCAGTTTATAAGTTCGTTTCATGACGGGAACTGCGTTGATGTGGTAAGCTTCAAAGTAAGGTGGGAATACGTTTAAGGTAGTAAGAATAAATGGCTAACTTGAACTACTTGCTGAAAAGTACTGCCTGCATCAGAGCAGGTCAAATGAGATTTTCAGTCTACATGTCCTCTGATTGAAGCCAAAATTGTTCATTTTTCATTAACCGTGAAAGTTTTATATATAACAATTTAGCAAATTAAACTGTCTCTCTAAAATTATCTTTTTATTGGTTCGCACAACAGCTTATTGTGGTAGATTAGTTGTATGCTTAAATGCAGGAAGGCAGACGTCAATTGGGGGTGTCCATTAAAACTCGTGATAGTCCAGATGAAAATCTATTATTAACGTTGCCATCTAATGAACGTCTACGGGTGCGGCGGGCCTGTGTACAATGATAGAGCAGTCTGAAAAGACGAGGCATCACACATCTACCGCCAAAGTCGGGTAATGTCGTCTCTGCATTTATGATTATCCAGAGCGTGGCTGAAAACCCAACACCTTGGCGTACTAGCGACTTGTCGATTGGCGATTAGAGGGACCATTAATGAATCTCAGGCAATGGCCAAGTAGTAGTCGATGCAAAAAAAGGTATAAATACTAGTGCAGTAACGATTAATAAACTATTGCTTTTGAATTCTATGAAAAAGTCTCGGTGAACCAGGCCTTTCTTATCGATGAAAGAAATGACGTATAATATAAACCCGTATATGTAGGTGAAAGGCTTAGGCGAAGAGTATATCGCTGATTGGAAACTGGCGGTCCTATGAGAGAAATATATTTAAAATGAGTAAAATCAGCGCGAATGATAATCAAAATACCGTGGTGTCTGCTGAGCACCTGTGAAACATGTTAGAAATAACTCCTATTGTCCCCACCTATGATACGATTTTGCAGCCTGAATTCCTTGCCTAGTTGTTCACAATTACGTATACAAAAGTAAATCCATGAGAATGCTAGCAAGGCTAAAGAAGATCGAAGAAAAGACCAAATGTTACTTGTCAACTTGCAAATAATTTGTGAATCCATGCACACGTCTCGATAAACGTCAGGTTTGCATTTAAAGAGCTAACAGAATCCCAACCAGGCATGCCACTTTGTTGTGTCTGAAGTCCCTTATTACTTCTTCATTGCCTTCAATCACAGAGAGCAAAAGTGCCGCTGGTGTGAGACAAGCACGGCAGTTGTAGGCTGCTTTTTGCAAAGGTCGGTTGGATTGGCATGTGAACACATGAGATTGCTTTCTCAGATGATGCAAGAGGATGCGTTTTGAAGATCTCTGCCTAGAAATCCATCTGTCAGTCGTGGGACAGCGGTACTTTAAGGAGCTTAATAAATGACAATTCAAGTGAAACCACATAATTCTAGAATAATTTCTCTGTTGAAGCAATTGCTCGAGAATAAAATAATCAATGGAAACGAAGGCTTCAAATAACGCGCAATGCTTCTTTTGTCACTCTGACTAAGCCAAAGATGCTATTTAGAGAAGCATATTTTCGGCTGATTTTTCATGGTCCCTTCATGGCTATGTCGGGAGTGAAGATAAAAAGAGGCGATTTCAAAGTCGCGCGAGTGGGGTTACGCACAAGGGCCAGGTTGCAGAGACCCATTGCAGCCATTTTTTATGTCACAGTATCGCTTCTTTAAGCGACGCGCATGCCTACGCCCGCACGGCTCTCTTATCTAAAAGCTTTTTTCTCGCCCATCATTCTGCTTTCTTTGGGCTGTGCGCGTGTGCGTACACACACACACACACACAAGGAGTTTGTCTTTTAACAACTCACCGCCTCGCCTCCTTCACACAAGAGGGTGAGAGAGCAAGTTAGCTAGCGAGCAAATTAGTGTGTGTGTGTGTGTGTGTGTTGCAGAACAAACGAATGAGCGAGCTCTCGTTCCGAGGATGAGCAGCACACTTGCACGCGAATTTGGAAAAATTTTCTATGTACTCGTGCACGCATCTCCTTTTTTCCGCTTTTCTGTGTGTCGTCGTTTTTGTGTTTGTGCGCGCGCTCAAAGGGTAAAGAAAAATATCTCTTAATCGTTTGATCAGACTTTTGCCATCCACCACCACCACCGCCAGTGCCTCTACCGCCACTAACTCCGCGATCCACAGAAAGAACGAATGGCGGACGAGGGGCGAGAGAGTTGGTGGATAAAAAAGTGGTGCACGCCTAAAATTTTATCAAAATGTGGGAGAAGTATTTTAGCTCTCCTCAGCCAAATTGTATCGTGCCAGGGGTTTAGGTGACATTAGGAGAGGCCATTACTATAATGACACAATCAAAGAGACTTATGTCATGCGAGAGAGTAAGCTCGTCACTTCTATGACTGTAAGCCAGTAAAGCGATATTCTGGACTTCGAGTTGACTAAAATTGGTCCTTTGCAGACTATTCGTTCAGTAAGGAGCAACAATTCACGTAGTGTCTGGAAATTTAGTGTACGTCCTAACTACCTAGGAATGATCGTTGATCACCACCATCTGCTAAGGAATGTGTTATGAAAATTGTTCAAGAAATAGGTTAACATTACCTCAAAATTAAACGATTTCTACAAAACCCCATCCGTTTGGTGTTACTGGAGCGGTGTAAAAGCCCGTCAAGTAATCAAAGTTACTGTTACCTTCAGAAGCGCCGGCCTTAAGTGAAGTTAGATGAAAGCGACCAATAGCCAAGGTGGCGGACAGTGCATGTGAGTAAAGATGCCTCCATGACCCAATACAGACTGCCCATAGGTATGCACATGGCAGAAGTGCTTGATCGTAACTTCTCCAAAAGTATTTTCTGGTCGAAATTGTGTAATGTAAATATTGAGTGGCAGCGGCGACCATTACCACCACGACTAAAACGCTCAAAGCGAGGAAAATTTATTCATCCCACATAGGAGCGATGTGTACGTGTCGCAATTACCAGGATGGAGTCACGAGACAGAGTACAGTCGAGGGGGCTTTTGCAATGATGCAGCCCTCCAACACCAATTCGGGAAGGCCTCCTTGTCTTGACTAAGAGGATGGAAGGACTTTAGTGGTCACAATCTCCAAATGAGTTATTTATGTACTTAACAGATTAATTTGTTTTCTTAACCACTGTCAGTTATTCGGTCAGATTTGTGTTATCCATCCTTCACCACAAATGTCAATATTCATGTATTTTATAGCTAATTGACAGGAGTGTCTGATCCTAGGTAAATTTTGGACCGTACAACAAACATGCGCATCACAATGACGAAGTGAAAATATCCTCCATGGTAAGCTTCACTTATACTTTATAGTGGAGTGACATGTTTTGACAATGGCCTATGCGTAATCGTTAAAATATAAACTGCTCAACGCCTCGGATATCTTTGTTTCCTTTATCATTCGCTTTTCCTTCCTGCTATTAGTTTGCTCAAAGGAATTAAAACTAGTAAATAAGTGTTGTTTTTTTAAGACAAATGATTGCTTATTGCTCGAATTTTTTTCTGAAACCCGAAATAAAGGATAGCGGTTAAACACTTAAAACACGCCTTTCTTTGGTATATTCTGTTCACTAGAATACATACATCTATGTCGTCATTTAATGCAACAAACTATTTTTTGAAAATGGTGTTACCTGGAGAAAAAATGGTGGATCTTTTGATGAAGGGCGCCTGACTGTTATGCCGCCAGAGAATAGGGAGCATTGTGGCTTCATTGCCATACCATTATCAGCGATTAAAACGACGCGCCAACTCCTCATGGCCAACAATAGTGTTGTTTAAGCAGTGCTGATATTTTTTCATGATTTGTGACCAAATTGTTTGTTGGCTTTATCGGCAATGGGAAGTCAGTTGGTAAAGGTGTCAACGGGTTTGCGAAACAGTAAAACGCTTGTGAATTGCCTTAATTTATTTGCTTATGAGAGCTCACTAAAAAACGAAAAAAACGGATGAAGTAATGTTCTGAATTGTCCAGTTTTACCAGACACTTGGTGCACATGTTCCCATTGAAAGTAGAATACATCGCAACAAGTGTTCCAGTATTTTACCCTACATGGCATGGTTGCTGAATCAAGTCCATTTAGTGACGTGGTTTAGCATATCTTCGTTGACCAAACACTGCCTTACTTTAGGACACATTAAGCCACATTACTCGGCCAGATCCAGTAAGTTGCCCGCACTATTCCATAATTATGGTAGGGAATGTCCTCTCGAAAATTGCGTTTTATTAGCTGTACAACAAATGGTCATTTCTTCCGGTTTTTGAAAAGATGTCGAGAATTAAAAGACCTACCCTTGCAATTATCTTAGTTTTCTTGTAAAACACCTTTTTCAGCTAACAGGACAGATGAAATCCGAGGCAACGATTTTATGTTGTACGGTAATCCTTAACAATTCCTCTTTTTTATTTGCACAAAGCCCTTTGCAATGACGTGTTGGAGATTCCTATATATAGGCACAAAAATTACACAATTGACCATTCATCTCATCAAGCTCTTGGATCCCCTATAGTTACACGATTTTTTATGTCCAGTTGCTCGAGCCGGGTGAATAAGATTGAGCTTAGAGCCATGTAACACCTTGAAAAGGCTGCGGTAAGGCCAATTACGGTCAGATGATGAAGTTCTGAAGAAATTTAGGTTTCGATCTCAACTACGCGACATCGCCGCGTTCGTCTTTAGCGGTGAGATAATCTATCATGGAGGCGGAGGTGGTGGTGGCGGTTGTCTATGTGTCGCAGCTCTGTTTGATGTTGGGCGCGCTGCCTCGACAATTCTCTTTGTCTGGATCGTGGCGCTCCAGCGCAAGAATTACCGCCCTTCGTGAGGGCAGCTGGAGAAGGCAGTGGAGGAGGAGGAGGAGGAGGAGGAGGAGGTAGAGGAGGCGTGAAACCTCTTTGTAACAGAGCGTCAACCTTTCTTTAAGCTGGCTTTGGATATAAAGACACTTTTCTGTTACTCCCATAAGTTGTCAACGCAATCATATTAAAGCAGTTTGAAGTTCTTTTAGAAAAACGCAAAGGCATTATATTTTATAACCTATTTGTTAGGTTTGTGCCACTTTCAATAGTAATATTTGCAGACAATAGTTTATTTGAATAATTTGGACTATTTTTCTCGTTAGAAAATTCTAACAACTTTTTACTTTCTCTGCTTACCAGTTAGAATAAAGGCCATAGTCTTTTTAGCTGTGATTCGAATAATGCAGCCAACAACACTAGAGGCAATGTGTTATTTAACGGAAAATACGCTTTTTAACGCGTTGTAAGTGGCATTTACACAGATAGCTTTACAATCTTTCCTCGTAAGCTGCAGTATCAGTTTGATAATAGATATCTTATCCCAAAGCCCCGTTGGTACTTGCATTCATAAGTTTTGCGTCTTTGACTGTAACCCGTAAAAAATGGACTAAAGTGAACCATCGAGCATCCTGAATTAGTGGTACAAAATAAAAGTTGATGAGGTGGATATTTTTGACTAGATTACTGACACAACTCATAATAAATTTACCTACACATGTAGAGTTAAAATGAATACTCTTCGATGCTGTCCCAATAAAGTTTAACTTTTCAAAACCAAATTTCGGTCACCTTCGAAGCGACTGACTCAAATCTCAGCTGACAACTGAGGGTAACCTTGGTGGAGAGAACACTGATTACTCAATTGAGGACCCAATGCATGTCTCGGATAACACCAACTTTCTCATAAGCAAATCTCATTAGGGAATACCAATTCGATTCCATGAGCTCCATTACACGGAAACAGTTGTAAGCCCTCTTTAGAGGGAGGGCACAAGGTGTGCGCACCCAGGCGGGTGGGCGGGAGAACGAGCGAGCGAACGAACTAAAGTAACTAAACGGGGAAGAGAAGTGAGGCGGGAAGGACAGATGGAGATTGTGCTTACAATGAAAAGACGGTACCGACGCATACACACACACAAGGTTGCAACATGCTGAGAATAATAAGCAATGTTAATCAAAGAAGTTTCTTTCCCGTGGGATATTGGCAGATCAGCCCGGAAGAGCATTTAAAGGATGCTGTGACACAAAAACGCCGTCTTAGGTTTCGGGATGTTGAAAAGGGTAGGAGAATTACAGTCCTGTAGGGAGGAGAGAGATGTACCTTCTTGTAAAGCAAAAAACTGGGGCTCTTTAGTGAAACTAGCCATTGTTCAAACCGAGATTCTAAAATAACACTATACTTTCTTAGGTAACCCTTTCAGTACTTTAAAATAAGACCGATGTTGCTGATGCTTTGGTATGGTGATTTCTAAGTTTGCTAAGCCCCAATGAAATCTCTCTAAAAAGAACTTTTCGTAAATCTATATTGCAGTAGCTATTACCTTCGTCTACTTCAATAATCATATTGTCTACGTCTCCCTTTAATGTCAAATTCCTCTTTAAGTTTTTGAATATGGGCACTTCTGAAGGCGAAATTTATTATTACCTGCTAGTTTTTTTATGCTGATGCTTTGGTTTTGGCGGATCACGATTAATACTTGGTCGTTAAGTGAGAGGAGTACTTTTTCAGAGAGATTCACCTAACAAGATAAAGACCAATTTACGCTCTAAGTAGAATGTGGCTAGCACAATGAAAAATTTGCCTTATATACTGCATTTTTGTCAAAGATAACTGAATTGCTCCAATTAGAGTAATCTCTGTCTCAAAATCGAGCATTACCTGACAACAACCTTTGAATAAAAGCCGAACCGAAGTCCGGGATGTAAAAACCGTTATTTCTGACATAGTTAAGATTTGAGGTGTTTTGTTGAAAGCGCATGCTGAGGGTCGAGGCGCCCGACCTCCCTTAAACATGCTCTTGGTCACTAAAAAAATAATAAGAGCGCAAAGTGACTGATGAGAAGTTGATAACTTTGACATGCACAGGTCACTGTCTGTTGCTAAATGAATCGTTAGACAGAAATGACGGAATTTGCACGTTCAAGGAGCAAGTTGCTGTCCATTTACTAAAGAAGAGCATACGCCTTCGGTCCAACTTGGAGCACCTATAAAGAACTAGGTTTTATGACGAAAAAAGCTTAACTCTACCAAAAAAACATTAAAAGTATTAAAATTCTAGGCATCGATAAATACGTATTGTCAATTATACCTAATTGCATCTCTTTCGAGTAGTCTAACGTTACAATCCAGACGACATGCTCTGTTATATAGCATTATCCAAAGTGATCACGAATTTAGATGTAAAACCTGGTTCAAAACCCACCAGCAATTCAGTTATGCAAATTTTATTTGCATTGATACTCATGGAAATCGTGTTTCACCTCACTGATTCATTGTCTATCCTCAAATCTTCATCGGTATTGCCCTTAAGGGTAGCCTGGCCCAATCAAGCAGTGATGATTGTTTGGTCGTTTCCATAACGTTTCTTTCTTCCCTCTTTACAGCTAGCAAAAAATCCTCCCTTTAATCTCCCCATTTGGAGACTGTTGACTTTGCGCATCTGTCCACTGTCTGGTTTCGGCTACGTATATACACATATACACGCACGTACACGTATATATGCAGGAACTTTACATTAAATTTTATGTTAAACAACTTTATATTAAAAGAGCACACCGATGAAAGCATTAAAAAATTGGCGGTCTGTCGCCTGCTGGACACCGTCTCGTTTTATTTTTAGCGAATTTCAGTGAATAAATGCCTATTTTCATGCCTACAGCGATATTTAAATACATATCAGGGAGAATGAATGTGTTTACTTTCCGTCCTACACAGCGCTTCTTGCTTGTTCCTCAATGAGGATATCCCATGGTAACTAACAAACTACCATCAGTCGTTGCTTTGTTCAAATACACATAATATTTTTCGGTTTTCTGGGATCTTCATATAACTTATTATCTCCCTAAAAATAATTTTAATTAAAACATACTCCCTAAGTTCTCCCAGCACTCGACGCTAACTCTCCTCTGGAAGCATGCGCTAACATCAGTGGCACGTGGAAAAGTTACAACTTCTTGCTAAAGAGTTTTAGTCGGTGTATTATAAAAAATAATTGTACGTCAGTGTGAACAATGACCAAAGTTTGCCTTAGGGACATTCCGTGTGAAACATCTTTAATCAAACGAATCCGCATAGTTCGGGTACAAATACTGGTTTTGGTGGTCAAGAGGGTGACACCAAGACTCAAATTCACTCATGCTGCTTTACTTTTAACAACCAACAACAAAGGAAGAACATTTTAGGGAATGCATGCCTTATTGTGCGTTAAAGTATTGTAAAGATTGCAATTGCAAAAGTTTCCAAAGTGAAAGTGGGAAAGTGCAGCTCAAAAATATGTATTCACTATTACGAACCGGAGCTTTTGCGTACAAAAAACCTTAGTTATCCCACTTTAATGCTTCTCTGAATGAGCAACAGACACTTGTGCTTTTAATTTCTTTGAGAAAAGCCTTATTGTGTCAAAGAGGAGATGATAAAAACTGACAATTACAATTTTGCACCCCATTAAGTTCTGGATTTTAAAATTTTGGCAAACGTTTAGTGTTCTCTTTCTACCCTTAGTAATATATTTATCTAGATGCGATCGTTGCTAGGATGTGGGATAGGGTATATGGGTACAAAACCCAAAGAATAGTTTCACCTCTGAGGGGCGTTGCGTGAGACGTCTCCAGCAAGGCATCAGATTTAACAATAGGCGAAATCCTCACTCAAGTAAAGGCAGCGGAAGTCTGAGAGACGTGCTACAAGAAAATAAAGAACAATGTCGGTTTCTTAACCGCATAAAGGTGATAACATCTGGCGGATGTGAATTTGGGTCTGGAAAATAAGCAAAAAAGTGATAAATTCAAGTGTGCAAGCAGGAGTTTATATTAAAAATCAAAGGCTGACTAATATAGCATTAATCACTTCACCAGTCACAATTTTTTTATATCCAATACAGGAACTGCACATATTCTGTACACAGTAGAGATTGTTTAAAGCCCGGAATCTGTGTATATTTACTGCGTCAACGCAACTTGGCCATCTGAGCTGTAGATCTAAAGAGGTTTTTGGAGGCGACAACGAACGGGAGCGGCTAGTGGTCCAGTTAATGTAAAGTTGGCGGCCATCAAAGATTGTAGACCAGATGCAGAACTCGTATTAAGGTGTATGTTACTTAATTGGTTTTTGAAGGAATATACAAAAGACTAGGTACAAGCGATGACAATGACTTCGGGAGCGCATTTTGTGCTGGGGCATTCAGTACACTGTCAGCCTTTGGAAGCACACAGGTGCGCATGGAAAAGCAAAGTTCTTCACCACCTCATCCTTGCTTTCGACTGCGCCCTCGTCAAAGAAGTTACCCGTGCATGCGATTGCTCCACCCGGTTGCCTCTGTTTCCTCATAATGAAAGTCTAATCAAAGCAAGCGCACCCGTAGATGCCACTCCTCAAATTGCTTCCCTTCGCGCTACCTGATTGGCATATGGTTGTATATTTTGCTAGCTAATGCATTCATCCTAGCTGGACTAGCAGTCGTAAAGTAAGGACAGGTACTTTTTGAGCGTAATGCAGTAGCAAACAATGTTAAAGCAGAGGATCGCATGATCACTGTCCCAGTGCACTTACTGGAATGGAGCCCTACAGGTAGCCCTACATGCAGTAAGTGACGATTCGGCGGTTTCTGTGTAACTGATGAGAGCCACGGAGCAACTCTCGTTAATCAAAATCACCAATGAGTGCGTAAAGGCAAGCAGTAATTTCCTGAAACCAGGCCGTTAGTAGTTACACGTATTACTAGAAATAAATACCATCGTCACTACAATATCGTGCTTGTAATTTTAACATTAAAAGATGAAGCAATCAATGAGACAGTATCTTTACTGCTTTAGTGCGCAATCAATGTACAATTAGAAGTGGCCTTAAATCCACCCCTTCAAATTTCCACCTCCCCACCTGTACCGTTCAAAATGGAATGCCAAAAATCTTAATGATGTCTTCTTTTGCAGGCCTGATACCTCGCCTATCCCCTCTTCCACTCTTAAATGGAAGTCGGGGTATTTGCTCGTAAAAATATTAATTTTGGTATAATTCAAACAGTGAGTGCGTGGAGACCGATAGAACGGCGCAATGTATAGAAGTACACGTGGTATCGTCATCAATGTCGTCGTTTTGGTGATAGTACAGCAAAACCAAAGCAGAAGGAAGAATTCGGGGTGCAATAAGAGATGAGAAGGCAAGAGACAGTGATGAAGAAATGCAGTAAATTAATGTGATGCGCAGGAAAAACACATTGAACCACATTTAAGTATTTTGGCGCCGACACGAACTGTCTCTCCCTCTTTTATGAAGGAATTACTGGCCATTAGACACCTGCTGTCTCCATGGCGGCGGATGAGGTATCGTCCAGTCTAGATTGGAAGCCGCCGCCACTGTTCAGACGGAGATCGGTTGCACCCGAGTGAAAGGGTGAAGGGTAGGATGAGGATGAGGAAGTAGTGGCAATGCTATAATCATTCTCGTGGAACGATCGTCCAGCCGAAGAGGCAGCTGAGTTGAGTCCACCGATGGGGGAGTGTTTGGGATGTGGTGAGGGCTGACGAAAGGAGTTGGCACCACCCCCACCGCCACCGCCATGAGAACTTGCTGGGCTGCAGGAGGAGCGGTCTTCGACTCTGGACGTTGCTCCGGGTGAGAGATTCCGCTCAGTCGAAGCCGGTGGTGGTGTGGAAAACGGCAGTGACAGTGAGGATGCAGCGCTTGTAATAGGAGGAGGTGGAAGAAGAGTTGGTGAGTGCGCAGAACGTAGTCCGTTTTGTGCGGCAGCTGCTGCTGCAGCGGCGGCGGCAGCAGCGGCCTTCGCGGCTGCCTTCTCTGCCGCTCTCCCACCCGGCCCAATCCACATTGTCATCCCAGCTATGAGAGCAGAGCTGGAGCTCGACCTGCTCTGACACATGCGCCTTTGGTGCGAAATGAGGCTGTACTTCTGTCGGAAGGCCTTATTGCACCGGGTACACTTGTGCGGTTTCTCGCCAGTGTGGGTCCGCAAGTGCTGTACCACGTGGCTCTGCTGACGGAAGAGTTTGCCGCAGATGCGACAGCCATATGGTCGCTCACCTGAGTGCACGCGCATGTGGGTAGTTAGTTGGATCTTCTGCTTGAAGGCGCGGCCACACTCAGGACAGGGATAGGGTCGCTCGTCGGTGTGCGTGCGCAGGTGCTGCATCAGACCTGCCTTCACGGCGAAGCCACGGCCGCAGGTGGTGCAGCGGTAGGGTCGCGAGGCATAGTCATCAGCACCGTTTTTCGTATTCTGGGGATCAGGACTATCCGAAACACCATTAGTCTTCGATGGTAGTGGGGTTGGTGGTGCAGGTGGTGGTGGTCCTGGCGGCGCAGGGGGGTTGAGGCTGAACATGTCCGGTGGGGGAAAATGGAAGCCAAGAGCAGCGGAAACAGCAGCGGCGGCAGCACGGGCAGCGTTAAATGTGTTGGTGGGAAACTCCCCCGAGGTCAGGGAGGGTGGTGGAGGCGGCGCAGGGGCGGGTGGTGGAGGGACGGGCGAGGAAAGTTTGTGCCTTTGTTGGTAGGGATGCGCGTGGCTGCTGTTCGTCTTGGAAGTCGCAGCTGATATGTCGTCAACCATGCACCGAACAGCCTCCTCCACTGTAGTTGGAGGGAGGCGCTGAGTAACTGGCGAAGTCTCTGACTTAATTCTAAAATGCAAATACCGAGGTCACAATCACAGCGGTTGTTTCGGGAAAGCTCCGCTTTCAATAAAAATCGACATGGATTGTGCTTATAGCGTTTACAAAGTAGGCTATCTATTCGACATTTTGGGAAATCTGCACCTCAAAATACGCTTAAGATATGAAGATCCACATTGTGTTTCGCAGGATAGTGTGAATAGGAGAATATTTTTGTTTAGGTGGATATTAATGGTCTTGAGGGAGAATAACGAGTTAATATTGATGCAACAATCCATATTTCTTATATGCAAAAAATAAGGGTGTATAACTTGTTGGAGTTTGGAAAAACTGGTTTACCGGTTTGTGATTTCTCACTAAGAACGAGATAAAAAAGTGTAAGCGCGCTAGAGAAGAAAAGAATTTCTTTGATTTTGGCTTGAAAAGACACCGAATTTTTGAGCCTACTTTGAATAATTAACAAGGATTTGACAAATTTCTCTTATAATTCCAAGAGTGGTATGGCAAAAGGTGTTAGAGGCAGATATTTTACCTCGTGATAGAAGCCTATCTAATTCTAAATAAACATTTGATTTTGTTGGAAAAATAAAACAACAATGGATGGCTTCCTTATTTGGCACGAAATCAGACTGAAAAGGTCTTAAATAAAACAGATTCTGCTGTATTCACCTATAAACCTATCTCACGAGCAGGCAAGTCGGCAGACAACGTGGCCATATAACTTGTGTGTCTGGAGATTAAGTCGCGGCGATAATTATGGGTTGGTTGGGAAGTCTAGCGGCTTCAATATTTTCTCTCTCTCCCTCTCGCTGTTTGTGAGTGTCTGACTGGGGAAAAGTCCTCCTCCATTTGTGTAGCTACGCGCGCATACACGCCCCAAAAGCACAGACACACTACAACCAAGGCAAATACACACAGACAGTTACACACGCACACACTGTCTGGTTTGCGTGTCTGCGCGCTCGCCGACATGTCCTTTTGAAGTTGATAGGAGGGAAAAGAACTTGGATAAACGCCGATGTGGGACCATACTGATCGAACGCACCCCCCTCCCCCCACTTTCCCATTGTTGGGTTGCACAAGCAAGCGATGATCCCAGTAATCATCGCCCTACATTTGTTACATGTGGAGCTGCTCTAGTCCATGGATTCCGCCGATTCATAATTTAAGCTGTGTATTTCCCGAATTTTTGAAAAGTGCCCAAAATGCTTGCAAAGGCAGAATGGAGTAGAACTGTCGGCGTTGCAACTTAGGTCCCTACTCAAACAAGTGTTCTTCCATTTTTAAATTAAGGAAATAAAAGGAGTCTGGCACATCAGCTCGGGTCACATCAGGAAATGATCGATTGGGAAGTGTGACCATGCCGACCACCAAGGCCACAACTACTTCGTTTCAAAGGAAGTATATAGACGGCGCACACACCGTACACGCACACACAAATTAGTAAATGTCGGGACGTCTCGGTGGGGATGGTATGTCCGTGTGTGTGTAGGTGGTTTCGTTTGTTAATGGCTGCTTTAAGTAGACTGGGAGAACAAAGCAAGCTCAGGGGAGAAGTCCGCTTGGCAGAGTTGGAAAGATTTGAAGAACTCTGAAATGGTTGGAGTTTAGCAGCGCGTGTCCCTATTCTTCCTCCTGTTCCCAACCAAAAGCTAGCTTCACATTTATCTGTTCCCATCTCGGTATTTTTACCGTTTATTCAATTGTGGCAGTTTCATTCATCGCATATTTCTACAGACCAACCAGATAGCTTATAACAACTAATGGTAGCGCCAAATTAGGCGCTGTTTAAATATACTAATCTTAAATGCAGTTGATTGCTGTAATACTTAGTAATCATTTTTTGTCTATGCAAATCAAAAATAGTTTGTCAGTGAACTTTCAAAAAAAGGAAATTGGCACTTCTTCGGACTGTAATTTTTCTGTGGCGGTGAGTTAAGTTTCAAACAAGTTTCTATAAGAAATTCAAGTAACCCTTTATTTAATGCATGCTATGACTTTGAGATTAATTTTACGAGGTTATCGTTACGACTAGGAAGTTAAAGCAACAAACACGTTTGCACCAAAACACGAGCGGAAATATCTACTGAAATCAAGTTCTACTGAATGTGTAGCCGCACGCAAAAATGCAGGCTATTTCATGATTTAGCAGAACTATAAAAATCGCTAATAAATGGAAGGAGTTGAAGTGTTGTCGAAAAAGTCTAGGCAAAAGTAGGTTAAAGTTCACAGAATTGGTGTTGGCAGTAAAGAAGGGACAGCAGTAATAAATTTAATAGGGGCTATACCATAAACTGAGAGACTTAAAGGAAGGCTTTTTGGCGGGACAGTTGGGGACGCGGAATGGAGACTAGTGTTAAGGTGGCTGTGCACCAGTTAACGGATAGTTGAAGAAGAGGAAATGCGACTGAACACACAAAAGAGTCTAAGACTGGGTCCCTTTCGTTTTTTTGCGAATTCGCACACACACATGCACCGTTTATAGGTGGTTAATCAAGTGGGGGAAGACTGATTGTTCTCGCTCACGGTCTCATGGGCATCATCGCCTACCTCAACACCATCAATAAAAACGGTCCGTTCGGGCTTCCGACCACAATGAGTATGTCCAAGATGTCTAAGACAGACAGGCGACCCTGGTTTGAACAGTTGCTTAAACCTGGGGAATTATGCAGTTTTTATTTCGTACTTGGACATGTCACCTACAGATTACCTAATTACCACAATGAATAGCCCATGACTTTGCATGGCATTTATCAGGAAGTTATTTTTAACAAAATATGCTTTTTGGCCTAATTGGAGCAGAATTTGTTTCACCAACAACTGAATTCCGCCACTGTGTTATAACTAGTCCGATGGCGAGAGAAAGTAGGTACGTGTAGCATAAGTACACGATTCCGTTATCTATGGGGACGAATTGAAAGAAGAGAAATCTTTTAAAAACACGTCCTGGGAATCAGTTCTCATCTAAGACACAAGAGAAAGGCGGAATAATTACTGCGCATGATATTGTGCTTCCTTTTTCTAAATGGGCATGAAGGAAGGCGATGAGGGGCCTCGAATGTGCCTGGGCTTTAGCACTCCCTTGCAGGGGTAGTGTGGGCATGGAGGGAGGTGTCGTACCCGGACTGCTGTTCGTCCGGTTGGTAATTTACACTGCTGAAAGCTCAGTGAAATTAGAAATCACGCGCGTATGCACAATCACACTCCCCGGACAAAAGCGTCGTTCAACTTGGACAAACATAATCGAAGCGGTATTACACCTTGTCAAGGAAAAAAGGAGAAAGAAACGACCCCAATGAAAATGGACCAAAAGTTTCCTTTAACCTACGAAATTGCATACATATGAGGATAAGAAAGTTTAGCTGACGCTGCATATTTCGGGGATTGTACGCTATAGTTCGCCTTATAAAACACTCAGACAGACGTTAACTATCACTTGACATGGTAGTTCAAATAAATAGTCACTTCTGCACAAATTATTTGTATAAAAAAACAATAAACCAATGTTCGAAATCCCATTACAATCGCTTAAGTGGAGCTTTTAATGAAAAGAGATTATTAAAATCATGCCAAGCAATGCAATTGCACATTCTGATGTCATTCAGCTAATAAAGAGTGGTGAGTGCTCTGGCAACTTGTAAAAAAGATGCGAAAGTCAGTGAATCAAGTAGGTAGCAGTCCATGATAAAAAGTGGAAGGATGTTTTCTGGTGCGTTGGAGTAAGAGGTGAGCGAGAAGAGGAGGAACCAAAAAGTTGAAAGGCTCCCGCGGTGTGCGCAGAGGAACGTGGTAACAGCGGTAGCGATTGTAGAACCAAGCAACCACAGAAACAAACATATCCAAAAAGTACACTTGCGCAAAAAACACAATGGATGAAACCAGGATGGAGAATAAAGCAGCACAAAGTGATGCTTCAAGTGCGATTGAATGGAGGATGATGGGGAAGAATTCTGATGAACTGTGGTCAGTTCCACTGCGAGGATACTTTAGCATTTAGAGGCAAAAGTAAGGGCAAAGTCCACTCATATAGCGTGTCTCAGCCATTAAATTCCTTCGGGGGAATGCTAAAGCGCTAGAGAGGGATGAAGCTATATCTAGGGGCGTGGCCTCTCAGGGGTGGAATAACCCTAAACTTATAAATGCATTTGAGGAGCCAAAATGCAATCAACAGCGCTTCTTTGATGGCCCCTACAACAATTAATGGTCAGATAAAAGAACTCACTGATATACATATACGAAAGAGATTGGGACGTAAATTATTAATGATACTGTCTTAGACAATTAGGTATTCCTTTCCATCGGGAAATGAATTAAAGGGTCAAAAAAATCAAAAAGGCTACCACAGTGTTTTACGGAAGTGTTGTTGATATGACAAAAGGAACGATCGCAAATTAGGGTTCAAATCGGCATCGCTGTGGGCTTTTTGAACAAAGTAATTAAGTTCTCTTCGCCTCTTGATTACAATATTGTGGCTGCGGTCACTTTGATCAGGTCACTGGGCTTCCATCCGAAAAGTTGCCTTCTTTTTCGTTATTTCTAATAAGGACATTGAGCCACAAGGGGTACTGTGACTTTATTTACCAACACGAAACGTATATAATGATGGATATTAAGGATTGTACTAACCATTGCAGAAAATGTGAAAATGCACTTATGCTGATCATTCAAATATTAGGAAAATAGGTAAAAACTCCGTCTACAGAAAAGGTACCGGACTTCTTTAAAATATTCTCTCCTAAAAACGCAAAAACTAAAAGTTACGTGAAGTGTACCACAAAAAACGCGTTTAATACGCAATAGCACTTCTAAACGACCATTCACGGCCGGGGCGAAATGGTGGGCACATCCAATGTGGCGTTTAGAATGATTTCTTAAATGGGTAATAGAACTGAATTGTCAGAGAATACGATGAACAAAAAAGGGAATTATAAAACATGGAACACTGTCCAGCTTAGTCAGCCACTACTCATTCCCTTAGTAGTATGACTGGGGGTTACATTAACCCGCTGTAAATGTGTTGTATTCGGTGACATCGTAGAAAGTGGAGAGACGCCACCTCCTATTAAAATCAATATTAAGGCACAGAGGGGATTACTTCAAGAAGTGACACCTACGTCGGTGAGTCAGCACAATTGTTTAAGTCAAAAAATGGGCTTTTAAAATTATTAGCTGGCAAATTTTGCTGACAACTGTGGAGATATCGAGAGGAAGCAACGGAAAACAAACAAAGTAGTCAGTTGACAGACAGACGAACGAAAGCGACAGCTGACACAAAACGGAATAAATGAAAGCGCATTGAAGTGAGAAGGTGCGCGAGAGAGAGAAAATGACACGTAGTATTCTCAACTGCAACCATCTCGAAAATTTTAGCATCACACTGGTAGTGGTATTGCTTACCTCTTAGGCGATAGTGACTGTAAAAACCAACTCCTAATATTGCCAAAGGTACATCAAAACAAATCGTGCAAAAGTCAACTAGCACTTAGCTACTGAGCAAAGTCTGCCTTACGTGTAGCATTACCATTAATGGCAGTATCTATTGCATTTGACTTGATGACTTTTTGTTTATGCTGTAACTTTGTGCAACAAAATTCTATTTCGTGTGAAATGGAAGATTGAAAGACGCATGAAAAAGGTTATGAGATTGTCGCCTCGTGGTCCTTTGTTTGTAAAGGGAACAGCTTTCATTAAATGAAACGGTTTGAAAGTAGCTCTGTCTCTGTACCTGTGATTGGAAAGTTTTCACTTATGTGAAGAAGTAGTATTGCGTATAGAAAGGATAAAAACAGTGTGTATAACTGAGGTGATTTACACATTGATGCCTCTTCTCTCGGTAGTCTAGGGGTAAACCTATTGATGATGGATGTAGCGATGCCTTCAGTAATTAAGTCAGTGCAGCTGTAAATGTACTTGAGAGTTGGCAGATCCCCTCTGAATGTAGTTTGACCCAAGTTATGCCAGCGAGGTACGGGTAGTAAAGATTCCCGAGATGGCTGGCTGCGCATTTACACAGCCACTGAAATCACTAGGTTTAGCCAGTTTGTTGCAGATCGTTAGATTGTTATCTTCGAAAAAGATTTCAACTCAAGTTTCGTCTGGACTGCGAAGATGTTGCGATGAAATCAAGAATCCCACCAAAAGGAGCAGAAGTGCTGTACGCAGCCAGTCTTTAGTAGGAATAATGCCTTTTTAAAAGAAGAATGCACCAAGGAACCAAAGCAAAGTGGGAAATACTCAGTCTAATTTTGGTGGGCACTTACCAATAAAAGTGCTTAGTGCACAGACGTTAAAAGACATCAAGTATTTCAAGGGGATAAGCACAAACTGGGCAATGTAGATGCCGTACAAATGCGTAAATGGGCTAAGTTAGGCTAGACACCCTTGGGTTATACGCAAAATATGAAACTATTAAATCAGCTTTATACGTAGAGCAATACTAGGATGGTGGACTGCTACTCTTGCACTCCTTAGATATGTACCAGCATGTCATAGTATAAGATGGTACTATCTCGATAATTGTACTTACCTTAGAGACATTTGTTCACACAACAGTTGAGTTTCCGGTTCTAATTTACTGCCACATATACAATTCCATAACTGTGTAACTTTCTAATAATTAAGTACCAATCCTACCTTTGCTGATGAAATGTGATACCTTTTAACGAGAATGAGGATTAATTTAAGTAGAACATTAAAAAAAAAACACACTTCACACTCTACACTAAAAGTCCCGCGACCCAACTGGTATTTGGCAAAGTTTGAAGGATAGCGTTTTTAAGACTAAAGTTCACCTCCATCCCTGAAAATAATACGTAATTACATTAGTAGAGCGAATTACTATGCATTAATTCGAAATAGAGAAGAACCAAAACTATGAATAATTCACCTACTTTCTTCCACCAATAGGGCAACTTCAGTCTTTTCTGTTAGTGGCAAATAGTTAAAATACTACTTCACTTTATTTTGAAGTAAAATAAGTTAAAATACCGGAGTGCTTTGGCGAGCGCACACACACACATGCAGGCAGAACCTATCCATTTATTTTTTCTCCTATTCTTTTCCCAACTCGGTGACGTGTGTCCCTTTCCTCAACATCCCCACCTCTCATTTGCTCTTCTTTGTTGCTGCGCATTCTTCTTCTTCTTCCTTTCCTTCTGCTCCCCCTCCTCCTCCTCCACCTCCTCTTCTTCTTATTCGTTGAGGCAGCAAAAGAAGAAAAACGGACAAGTAGGTAGGCGTACTGTTGGTCAGTTGCTATCTCCTACTTGACGAAATTTTTTCCCTCTGGTTACTCGATGAAGGAAGCACTTTTTGCTTTTAAAAAACGCACACTTGCACGTATACGCTTAACCTCGTTTTGTATTCTCTTCTTCATTGAAAGCACTTGTGTTAATTTTTCCAGCCATTATGCGTTAAACCTATTTATTCACATAAAATTTACAAATGCACCAGTGTACGCTTACATTATTATTTATCCATGATGAGATTAAAAATGAAAAAATTTCGATAAACGAGTGGGTTTGTTGAACATTGACGCATGAAAGGATGAAAGGGGGTTAAATTTAAAAAGATGAAAACAGATTTGCTATTCGACTGTAAACGTAAAAGATTACCGTAAGTGTTGGGATGCCTAGTTGAAACCTTGCCTCATTGTATTTTGAGAAAAGAGAATAAACAGTAGTTGTCTGGGCAACTGTGAGAATGAGTGATAATACTAGGCTATTTGGAATTATGCAAATCCAAAAAGGTTTTGTCAATACTTCCACCACATTTGCCTTTTATTACGAAAAAAACATTTGGAAAGATTCGCGTTCCTCAATTTTATTCGAGTAATTGCGTTTGTAAGCAAGTAGGATTTAAACACCATTAAATTAATACTGTTCGTGAATGCAAATATTTTGGATGCTTTCTCGCAGTAGTCATTTTCACATCCAGGTTTTTATTTGACAAATTTAGAAACGCAATGAAGACAATTTGGCCACCAATCCCAACTAGACCACAAAGCTTATCGTTTAATGTAAAATACTAAGTATAATAAGACGAATTTAACGTAAGATGGATACATCCAGCTAATTTGCAATAGCATACTTTGAAAGCTAGTTTTTTTCTGTGGATCCACTCAGTAAAATTTAATGTGATTCTATCGGGTGGTTTTTTTATAAGGAAAGTACGATAAATAAGAAGTCGTAAAATATGCTCACGGTAGTGAATCAGTCTTTGCAGACTGGGAATTGAGGGCGGAATGCAAAAGGAGGTTTCGCGACGTCTCCGAGAGAAGTGGAGAAGAGGAGTTGAAGAAGGGCGGAGTAAGCGAAAGAGACGGGGCTTGGGTTGGCGATGGCACGGACAAATTAAGTGCTGATGCGGTTGCGCTGTTGGAATCACTCTGTGGTGGGGTCTGTCTCTCATCCGACTTAAGGGATGGGGCCTCTTCACCACCACTGTTTTCATCCCCATTTTCAAGTTCGTTAAATACTCGAGAAACTGCACTTAATTTCGTTATACAGGTGCGCAGATAGTCGGATATAAATAGTTGTTGGTTTAGAGTTGTCTGCAAGCGATCGATGGAGGCGGATACCTCTGACTGAGCAACTTCAAGGGCAACACGCTGTTCATTTACTGTGAGAAATTGATCCGCCTTTAAACACTCAAGCTGAGGAAGTGGATCCACAGAACATGGGAATTTGCTGGACCATAACTGGAGAAAATTGGCGTGTAAGTTCATTTCTAATAATTCAGAGGAAACGCAAAATCTATTAAGGGAATATCAAGTCCAAAGAAAATTTGTACCAACAGACCAGTTTTTATGTAAAATTTAAAATAATCTTGTATACTAAAAATTTTTAACTAAAAAGGTGGTCTACGGCAAACACCGATATGTTCGTTGCATACTTTGGGAATGAGCAACCGTCATCAACATCGCATCGCAATTAAATTCAAGCTACCAATACTAAGGTAAACAGCACTCATAGTCCAGGCTCCACCTCTTTTGAAACGCCCTCACAACAAAAAACAGGCCGCTTGTAATACAAACTATTTTAACTTTATTACGGGAGCTTGTTTGAATAAAATGGCCCACTACAAGCCAGCTGTTTGTGAAAATGCAGAAAAAAAACAGAAAAGTAAACCACATAAGACCGCAACATACTTAAATTATTATTTCATCGGAGGACCAGCATGCGTTTTATCATCAGGAAGTCCCGTGAGCGGCCTTGCGGTTGATACAATGAAGAATGTGAAGCGATAACAACAAATCTAATAATTGAACTATTACCAAGATCACTAGCCAATCAGAATAGGGTTAGTGACCTAAACTGTAACCAATCATTCATGTATGCATACAAGCAAAGCGAGCAGCTTAAACAAATTAAGATAAGTGTTTGTATGAAAACTGAATAGCAAATTAGTGCAAAAATATTGTAAAATATTTATTTAAAATTGTAAATTTGCCCAAAGGTGCACGGCACTGCCTTGAATGGACTCTTGCACCCTCGAGACTCGGAGGGACAACCCATTTACACCTAACTAGTGATATCCTCTTTGATACAAGGTTGGGTTCCGAAGCTATTTGCGGCCTTACTTAGCCTTACCAGTGTGGAGGAGGATCCACTACTTGCGTCCAGAAACTATGGCTGGTTCATCGCAGAACCATAACCCGTATGGACTGAAGAGCTAGCAAAATGTCAATTTGTAACAAATAATGCGTTAACTTGGTCTGCTTCACCATTATACACTATAGCCATTGTTTCTAATGAGGTTTAGTTTTGCTCTAGTAGAATTTTAATCAGCGAAATACACAATGGTGAGTAGCTTACATGCTTTAGCGACCCTCCCTAAGGCGTCGAATCTCATTGTCCAACTATAAGTTATATTCTCTCAAAAAATGTAGCGCATCTATGGCAAAATTTTCTTGCCATTAGTCTAACTCTTGTTAGCTGTAATGACTCAATGCTTCTTCTACCCGTGCATTTTAGTGCTCGTGGACTTAAGCTGCCACAAGTCTTTCGAGTCATGCTGGTAGCACCCCAGCTCCCCTGTTTTGTGATATATGCTCTCTTACACTACCTTGGCTTAACTCGGTATAGGAGGACTCGAGGCACAGCATGGCAATTTTATTACAACAATAAAGCCGCTCTCGGGTTTCTACTTAGATAATGTAGAAGTATGCTATCATTCGATCAGAAAGCTGTAGCGTCTCGAGACTCCCTGAAGACAAAAAAAGACACAATACTGGTGCAGAATATATATATTTAGCACGGAGAATGTGTCGGAGCTACCGGCATGGCCCAAAGGCCAGCCCACCCAGCGAGGTACAAGGGGGCTATTTCAAAGTACAAAAGTGGCGCCTCACCAGAACCGAGGGATAAACCACTATCGTATTACAAAGCAGTGGCTCGGAGTGAATTCTTTTAAAACGTGGATTTTTATTGTTAGTTATAGATTAAAGTATTGGTACTAATGAAGCAGTGTACTTTGCATGTTTTACACATGGTACAAAATCTGTGTACTAATATAATGCTGAAACGTTTTTTCAGAGCCGAGAGGTTTCTCGTCATATGCACATTTGAGGTTGAGTGGAAGAGACCGATCAATTTGTTTCGGGTATGAAAGATTCAGATTTTCCATAATTTTAACAAACTTTTCTTTTGACACGCCAAGTCTAAAGCAGGAACAAATAAAACTAAGTTTCCATTTGCATGAATAACCAGTTAGTCCGTTTTCAAACATGATCGTTTGTAAGTGAACTTACTGATTTTGCGGCAAAACATTTAGGTGTGTATTAAAGCGTGTGGCAAGCATAAGGCATAGGACGGGAAAATATGTATAAGGTGTACACTGTTACGTCTTCTCAAATATGGATAGGCAAACTTAAAACAAATACAAACAGGTGTTTGTCACTTCCATTAGCAGCCAAGCCAGTTAACTGTGTACTTCGGATTTCTCATTTCCCTTATTTATTGTTTTGAATAAATATAAATAACTTTTTAAGTCAAAATTGCGCATCTTAATGGAACATTTCTGCTCCAGACCGTGTGTTATACTTCTTTTCTTCTCCCACAGTGGTCATCATACAACCCGAGTACTCGTAAGCAGGAAAGAGGAGGTGGTCGTCGGGAAGGAATAGTATTTTCGAGTGAACGGATTCATAGAGGGTCTCGAGCGAGCCCTGCTCAAGATCCGTCCTCCCGCAGCCGCGAACGAGCAAGGCATCCCCTGTGAAGGCCTCTCGTGCCGAGTGGAGCACGTAGGTGAAACAACCGTTCGTATGACCTCACAAGGGGCAGGGCAATCTTAGGCCTTAAACTCCCTACATTTCCTCATGATAGTCTCACAAAATCTACGCCATGCGGTAGCTACCTTGTGATCTAACCTAATCGCAGTCTTGGAAACATTAAACAACCAAGCATGTACAGTAACCGCTTCAAACGATCGTGGGTAGATATGCGGTAGGAAAATTACATACTCTACTGTAGATGCTTAAAGTGTTCAAAACAAATCCTTATTTGCAAATTTTCCATTTATGAATCTCTCAAGGGCCATCATTGTATAAGGTACGGGTGCATAGAGCTCATTTGGGGAACTTTCTACAGCCTTAATGGGAGCGAATACCGGTAGAGGGCAAATGCTTTGGCCACCTAAACTGATAGATGCTTCGACGGCTATGGCTACCTAATCATATCCCGCATGCGCCCAGGTACCTGAAGTGCTGCGACATTCTAAATGGATGCTTCCGCAATCAAGGACTTCGCCAGCCTTCACGAGGCCATCCGCTCACGTGCCCGATGAGTCGGAGATGACGCTTTTGCAGGTGGGAGCGAACATCTCCTTCAGGGCTCCTGAGCCCGTCACGTGGTCCGCGTGCACGTTCGTGTTGAGCACAAAGAGCAAATCCAAGTTCAGCTCCCTTATCTGCAAGTTTAAAAAAAACAAAGTCTTCTGGTTGCATCACCAGTGCACATGTAAGGTAGGAGTGAGTTGGGCTCCTCAAGCACTACGTTTTTTGTGATTCAATGGGTGGTGCGAGCTGTCTAAGATACTAAATTCTCCCTTTCATTATCTCTATTTGTAGAAATAGAACACAGCTACGGAAAACTGAGTAGAATGATATCTATTGTGATACATTCGTTATTATGGTAAATTTTTGCCCGTGCTTATCTGGATGCAAATTATTAGACGTGCGTAACCAAAACATCACTTAATTTACTAGCTCTGAGAGCAATGGAGTGATAGGTGGTGGTTAAAAACACTTCAATAGCTTACACTTGGGTATTAAACGCAGGACAGATTTAAACCTTTTGGAACCATTAGAGTTTTTTTGGGTCAAAAAATCTACCATAAAGGAATAGCTTAAGGCTATCCGCGGGATATCCTGTGTTTTGATTCTTTTTCGGTTTAAGGAGTTAAAAGTGAACCTTTTGAAGCGTCAGTGGATTTAGGGCTCTAACCATTCTATATTCTGGACGCGATATTTTGTTTTAATCGATCAAAGTGACCCCATCGTTCTGAGACAGTAATGTCAAAAGATGGAATCGTATGCGATGAGTCGTTTATCACAAATTATAGAACAGGGACAACTGGTCAATCTTAAGACATAGACCCATTAAAACTGTAGAAACTGTTCTTGACAACATAAATGCACGAAACCATATCCGAAACAGTTACCACTTTCTCATCACGTTGGACAGTTTCCAACACGGGATCAATGTGGATAGCCCGTCTAGGCGAGGTATAGCCAATGAGGTACGTGAATGTGGAAGTGATTGGTTCAAAAAGGTGGCGAAAAAATGAATGGTTCGTTTGCTTATAGTAGGCGAAAAGCTTTGCTTTCCATTGGAAGAGAAGTTCTAAGGAAAATCAAAATGAGTCATGAATTATGCTTTATGCGATCCCATGGACGTCCAGGTAGCACGAAGTACTAAATTGAACCCTTCATCTTAAGAGTGAACTTGATCAGCAAAATGCAGATACATGGTCATAATTAAGCAACGTCTGGCAGAAAAAATGACAGCATACTTTATCGTTGCACAGAAACCAAGGATGAATTCAAAGTGATTGAATATGCAACAATAAGTATGAGATGGCAGGCAGTGCATTCTATGTTAGACTAATTGGGGTTCTATTAAGCATACGAAACAAAACGAGTGCGTGCCACCAAATCCCGAGTTCTAAACCTTACGTGCCTTAGATCTTATGGGTACTGATGCGGGTGATGAAAGCCATCACAAAACAGCGGGAAACAGACTGCCCAATCACAAGGGTGGCAGCCGCACGATAACCTGCCTGCCAATGAAAGGCCAATCTCAAAGCGGTGACATGAAGGCGGGCACCCCAACTTCCCTGTGGAGCGACTAAATACAGGTGAAAAACCAAACTGTTAACCCCACGATCTAGCTCATCGGTGTGGTAATATTTACTGATCGTGTAAGTATTTCTTTTGGTACAATTATCCCCATTATTTCATTGCACCATGCATTTACAGGATATCTTAATTTGGATCAACTACATCGTAGAAATGATTCCTTAAGTGAGGCAATAAGGTAGTTAGAACCTGATTATGCTTTAAGTGGCATCTAACAAGGCAATTTCAGTCCCACTAACTGCTGTGCCATATGCTTCTGACAAAACAAAATATGCCACAAGATGATTGCTTGGTGATGGTCATTACTTGGTGCTCATTAAACTTAACCTGATTTACTCCAAGACTGATAAGCATGTGCTGCGAGAAATATGGTGAGCTCACATTGACAGGCACGAGGCATCCTTAAAAAAAGTGAAACACATTTATTTGTGTTAAACGCGTCACAGCAGGTGACAAAAGGTGCGGGTTAGGAAGTGGAGTCCGTTACTTGCAGAAACGCATTCAAGTAGTTATTCAAACGATATCCTTTGCAGTTAGTCTCCTGGGCGTTATGTAGACTGACTTTAATTCTACCGGCCAGGTCCTGATCAGACTCATTTACCTTTTGGAGTCGATTTCGAACAAATATGGTCTAATTAGTTTTTTCACATTCAAACCTATTCGGAAGGTCTGAATCAGAGCATCGCGAGGGTCGAAAGAGTAGTATAGAGCCTTTGTTGCCCCCCATTGACGTCCTGCTTCAAACCCTCAGATGGACGAAGCTGAGTTGCAGAAGATACATTGCATCATTAACATAAGTTTGTTATCATGAGTGTATAGGAGTCGGAGTCGGTGTTGACGGAAATACGGAGTCAGACAATCTGACCGGCTATTGGCGTAGATAGAACGGATAATCCAAAACCACCCAAAGAATTTCTCTTATTGTAAATTGAAGTTTAGTACTAGAAATGGGTCCATTTGGTAAAGATAAAAGCTAGCTATTATCCTTGACGAGTAAAAAGGCAGACTGCTGCAGGAAGGGATTTAAAGCATACGTGCTAGAAGACAGTCACGTGATGGTTGTCCCTAATAAAACTGGCCAACCAGTCTAGGTGTACCACAGAATAACGACTTTAAATGCATAAATTGAGAAAAAAAATAACACGTCGCGTAAAACACTACACTCAACATAGTTGGAAAATAGCCCATTGTGCTTCAACAGAAGCTCAACTAGTACCTCGGATCTGTTGTGATTTAGTCAACTCAATAGAGCCTGCGGAAACTGCTCAAGTAAACGATGCTGAAGCAACAACTATTCCGTTTTGACGTTCGTCTGAGACCCGAAAGTAAGGAGGCATCAGCTTACGTACCGGCGTGTTCATTAAAATAGTAAAAGCACGAGAATAAGTGAACAATAAATCATATGAATTTATAAGGAACACATAACTTTCCCTTAAATGTGTTTTCAGTGGAAAAAACACTAGGTGAAGACTCGCGCTGTGGAGTGTGAGTGTGGCTGAACGTGTCCAGAACGGCTGGAGATGAAGCGAAGATAGGCATTAATGCAGTCCAAAAGCTATGGAGTAGAGAGTAAGCACGTCGGCAAGGGGCTAATACCAAATCAGAAGTGTGGTCAGGGAACCCCAACGATTTCATGTCGAAACGACACTCGTTGGGATTGGTAGTCATCCCGTATTGCTGATTAAGTCCCGAGAGGGTGTGGAGATGCTGTTTGTGTACCCTACATGATCTGTAAACCTTTTAAATGTCTTCACCACATTGTATGGGTCAAAGGGCATACGTGCAAGTGCACAGTAGCCAAAAGGAGTAGTGATATCTGTTCTTCTACCAGAGAGACTTAAGAGTTGGTTGGGTTTTCTACACAGAAAGGCTGAAAATCATGAAGATTGTGAAATGGGATATTTATCAAATACTGCCATAGCATTGAGTGTGCAGCAGTCTCCGCACTGCCTCCAGTCGCCTGGCTACTTCTTAAACATCATGTGGAGAGGCGAAGACGAAGAGCTGTTGGGCGACTGGACAATGCTCGAATCTAAATTGCGTTAGCTTCATTATTTAGATACATTGATTTTCTCCAAAGAGAGGTGTCATCATCGTACTGAGACAGAAGACTGTGGTGCCATTGTAATGCATTATGCTGTAAAAGTGGGTAGGAGGTGCTGAGAACTCATTACCGGGTGGTAGAGCCAATTGGTTGCCGGTCAAAGCGGTCTTGCCACGAATGGAGAGTGCAGTGGCACATGCTTTCACATTGTTGGCTACGCCAAAGTCCGAGAGGAAATCAATCCCAATGGACGGTCTCATCATGGCCCAAGATTGGAAGAGAGAAATTGTTGGTCACAAGTGTGGATGAATGTGTTTTATTCGCTCGCAGTATGTATGCAGTAGGTTAAAGGGAAGCCTGGGCAGCTAAATCCTTTTATGCTCAGTTTTAACTTGGGACATAATTCTTAGGGCTGGTTTCCTACGTGGCATCAGGGCTTTCCTGATGTCAGCAAATGACACCCCTACCTACCAAGACACTAAAACCTCGGTAGCCTTTTCGTCACCTAAGGGGTATCGATAGTATTTGCGACGTCCTATTTGAAGCCGCAGCAATACATATGACCAACCTCAGTGACTCTTATTCTCAACTTACTCATGTCACCGTCAACGAAAGGAAAGAAATTCGGAAGTTACTGGTTGAGTACACGAGTATAGTCTCATGTCAAAAGGTTAATCTTGGAAGAACAAGCACTGTGAAACAAGAGCATGCCGTCTCGCCTGGTGAGTGAGACTCCCTCAAAATTGCCAAAAAGGATTCCCCTACCCCACGTAAATCATCTATTGGGCTCCCTACACGAGTCGAAGTGGTTGGCATTCTGGCTTTAGAATAGGTATATTAGTCAGTGGAGATAGCAGAAATAAATAGAAGGAAGGCAGACGATACAGCAGCCATATTTTCCAAAACTTTACGCACGCTACTTTGATTGAATCATTCCCGTAATAATCTATGCTATGCCTAGATGCCATCCCTGCCTTCAGTAGAGATATTCGGGAATAGAATGCTAATCTAGAGTCTACGTTAGATCACATACACGACCGGGTTTATCGTTGACCCCAAAAAATAACAGTTTCCAGAGCATTCAATTAAACTTTTGGGACATTCTGTCTCGTCAGAGCAAGGGAGGATCCCATCAACACCACTCAATCAGACAGGATTTCGTAGTTTCCTAGGCTCGGCAGGCTACTACAGGTGTCTTTTGTTAAAGGTCCGCTGCATAAACCCAGAGAAAGGTATTTCAAGTGTGAGATAGAGTACAATAAAGCCTTCAAACCACTGAAACAAATGCTCTGCTCCAAAGTGATTCTAGCATTGACTAGTTTTGAAACAGGTGCCTCGCTATCCATCCTAGACACCAATGCTAATGATGCAGCTGCAGGTGGTGTACTCCATCAAATTGATGACGAAGGTTGGGACAAAGCCGTCGCTTCCGGAAATACCAAATTCAATAAACAGATGGGACAGAAAAGTGCAACCCAATGTAAACTGATTGGACAATTCAGACATTACCCGATAAAGAAAAGCTCATAGTGGGAACAAATCATCAGGCATTGACCCGGTTGAGAACAACAGGAGGGATAGACCACTCGGTAGCGCGTTGGCACGTAAAACCTGTAGCATTACGATCTCACAATAGCGTACAGCAAAGAAACGGCAAGATAAGATCCAGATGCCTCATTTTCAAAACCAGATGTCTTGTAAATCAGCTACGCTTCCGTCAATGCCGTATTTTTGAGCGAGCCAAGTAAATACCAGTGGAGGAACCCGCAAAATACCGTTCGTGCCAAGGCTCTAATGGTGCATGAGAGATTTCTTACATCCTCTTACAAGCCAACGACAAAAGAGGCGACCTCATCAGGCAAGGTGGCCTAACCTATATGGTAGGAGTAGTCGAAACTATCGCCAGGGCATGAAGTCGTAATAGTTATTTACAAAGATCGAACTGGAACATTTAGATGCTTAGTAGTCCCCAGCCCCGTTAGTGAAAACGGACGCAAGTATTCACAAATAACACGAGGATACAAGCAATTGAGCCGTGTAGGGGAAACGAAAGTACTAGATGACTCGGGCAAAAAGTATTGGTGGTCTTCGCTTACCCAGAATGTACTTGATTTCTGCCGCACTTGCGCTGCCTGCAGCAGATTCAAAGGGCCTTACTTCACAGTGGTTCTACTATTTCAAATTACGCCCACAGGGGAGAGTAGGCATCGGCATCGTGGACCCTCGACAGGCCACAAAAAGAGGCTATTATTCTATCCTCGTAAAGATAGACCGTTTTACTAAAGTAGCTGAAGTAAAACCAATGAAGACTTAAGGCACTGCAGCGCTCACGTCCGTTTTCTTCAATCGTCGGATTCCTCAACGGGGAGTTCCCGAAAAGGTGCCTGGCGATCAAAGTGCCAAATTCGAGGGCTTACTTTTTACAGAACTATGTGAAACCATCTGGATCTCTATAACCACGTACTACACTTGGTCATCCCCAGGGCAATAGACAGATAGGAAGAACGAATCACACACCATTTGGACTGTTGAAGGTTTTTAGTAAGCATATCCAACTGCAGAATTGGAATTTGCGCCTGGGACGGTGCCTTCTTGTGTATAGTTCTATAGTCCATGTGTTTACCAGCGTTTTACCGTTCAAAATGCTCACAGGCTGCGAACTGAGAATGCCAGTTTATACTTCCTTACCCAACGTGAATGTAGCAACCCATAATGTTCAGGGGGGTGAGACAAGTTTTCAACCTCGCGCTTAAGTACTTGTGCCCGTCATGGCAATCACACCCAACCCGTTCCGCCTCTTGAAATACGTGGCAAGTTTTACCACCCTTGGAGCGAAGATGTATTTCGAGCAACAAAGGTAATCTTAGTACCAAATTACGTAACCTACACCATATAGCTCCGTATACAATCAATAACATTCCACCACAATAAAATGTAGCCTTATAAATGCAATGTAATGGTTATTTGACTCTCGGTTTTGGTGAAGAGCCACTTTTAAATTGGCTATTGTACCGCACTGGGGGGCTGGTCTTCGGACCATACCAGTAGCCCAAATACCTTCTGTATGCCATGTATACATATATATGTTCTGCTCGATTCTTATGTCTTCTTTCGTCTTCGGGGAAGTCTCGGGACGCTGCATAAAGGGACACCCCCAGCTAAATACGAAGATGAGGTCTACGTTCCAACTGGTGAAAGCTCATTTAAAATAACGCATAAAGAAACAAGTTTTAGAGGGTGCACATTTGTTTGAAATTGCTGTAACACCTCTGGTCTTGCCTAAAGTTAGAAGAGGTCATTAAATTACAACAAAAAATGTATTTTAGATGTGTAGAAGGGATGAGAAACTACTGTCTTGGCCTAGAGGCCATGCCGCCCAGCAGAAGTACAGTGCGGGACATTGAGTGCCCCATAATCAAAATGAAGGGTTCAATAAAAAAGTAAAGCATCACAACGCCTTTAGGTGAAGCGCTTATACCCTCCTTGTGAGTGAGGAAACAGACACCGATCCTCCATAAACCTTGGAAACACAAACTGATCGACGCAAAGCAGGACATGTGTTCCCCCACCTAGCCTTCTTGTTTTAAATGTTTAAAGCCACAGGTTGGAGAGGGAAAAGTTGAACTAGTTAAGTAAATGTATACATATGCTAGTCTTACATTTCCCCAACTGGGTATTATCGCACCGATGTAAAAGTTTGCCCTTCCATTGTAATTTTTACTCAGGTCCGTCTTTAATTTGCCATATTTCGTTGAAAAAGTGGCCGCTTTAAATACCACTCATGAGTTGAATGATTCTCATAATTTTAAACACATATTAGCCTATCAAATGCTAGCTTCGAAGCCATGACAGATGTTCACCCATACTTACGTTGACCCAGGTGTGAACAAGGGACAGTCCGTATCTTTTAGGGCAATGAATCCCCAATCACGAGCCCCGAGTGTCCTTTCCTTTGGTAAGTGCCTCTCCTCTGAAAGCTAAAAATTAATACGTAGCACGGTGCTGAGGAAAAAGCACGTATATAGCCTAGACCTTCTTTCGGCTGATTTGTATTCGAAGGGTTATCTATTAGACATGTTCAATTGGTCACACGTTCCTTTGAAGCTTCGTTATTTCTATCACTTCCACTTTCGACATTTTTGCGCATTCCATAACTTAGCCTCTACCCCTGCAATAGTGTGAGTAATTGTAATACTACCACATCGTAGCTTATGCAATACGTGCGTATCTCGTTCCTCAATACTTCCTCAGTTCCTCTTGTTGTTTTGTATGAACCACAAAGAATAGTTTCCGATAGATTTTTCGAAACCGCGTAGCATGTGAACTGGGCTTCTTTCTCAAATTAGTTGTCTGCTTCTTGAAAGATGTGCTTTATCAAAACCGCTTATTTTTGTCGATATTTTGTCAGAAAATCCTAGAATCTTCACCACTTTGCCAGGAGATATTTGGTATTTCATATTGTTTTCTGCCTTTCATTTATAAGATTAAATCCAGTTTTCCATTTCTGAAATGAGACTAGTTTAAAACCTGGGATGTGGGCATCTTAACCATAATCTCAGTAAAACTTTCACCCATATACTGTATCCACATAGGTCGAATGCATGAGGGGGCAGGTCTTTTCGGCAATCTCAGTGGGTCCTTGGTGCAAAAGAGCCTCTTTCCACCCAAATCATCTGCTTTGTCGCATTGCCTTTTTGGATTTTCTTTCAATGCGTCTAAAACAAAAACGGACAATAACGTTTCCCCATCTGAACCTACATTTGAAGTTGAACAAAGAGTTTCGTCAAATGCTGACCGATTGCCTTCTGAAAAGTCATCTGAAAGAAACTTTTATTCTGGACTATGGGTTTCGAGTGGCAATGGAATGCAGCAAACTGGTCTGTTTTCCACTTCGACAACGCAAGCACCTGCTAAGGATGTTTTGGTTTCACAAAATTTGTCGTTCGGAATCAAAAAACCTCTGGACCTTCCGAACATTCCCCCTGAATCTTTAAACTTACTTACTAAACGGAGCGACTTAGGAATATTCCAGTTACCAAATAAGTTTTATCAGACCGCGTGTTCAAGCAATAAGAAGCAAGCTTCACAAACTGAGCAGGTTGAACAACAAATTTCTCACTCTACCACGCCGATGATGGCCAAGTTGAATTGTGTATCACTCGGTCAAAATCAAGAGGTAAGTCTTTGAAGGGTTTTTGCAAAATTTGGTGAAATTGTGAATATCATCTCTTAGTCCTCTGTTTCCACTGCCTCGATTGTATTCCCCAATCTTGTAAGTTACCGCCCGTCAGTAAAACTAAAACTGTTCGCTTATAGATTGCTGCACAGAAAGCAAAATTGGTAGCGGAGGGATTAATTCCTGGTTTTGCGGAACCTTATGAAGAGTGTTCGTATCGAAAGAATGAACCAACGTCCTCTTTGCCCTTTCAGGACTCTACCTCCCCCCCTAGTTTCTTCTCGGTTAGTAAGTTTTCATGTTTATCCTCTCCTATAATCTTCGTTTTCACTTCATCCACGTACTCCAATGCTAACAAAGTGAATTTGTTAATCCCCGTAGAATAACGCAATGAAAGATACCGCAGGTCCTGGTACAGGCGCAGCGTTGACAGTGCAGGAGCGATTGGCAGTACTAGAGGCAAGCGATAAGGCGGAGCACGAACGCAGGCAGTCGACCTGCAGCCATCCAGATCTCACAAACAAGTTACCTAGCAATCAGTCCATTATCGTAGGAACCTGTCCAGATATGTGCCCAGAGACTGAGAGGTATGTTCAGCACTACTGCTTCTGCTTGTGTGGTGCATTCCACGAGACCAGGATCCTTTTTGAAGAGAACTCGGGTCCTCATTGGTTTTGTGGTACTTTTAATATTATCAGCGCAGTTTTTCCTAGTTGGACCATGGCTCCCATTCAAAATAATTGAATAGGTCCAGCGTCTTCTATTTTAGCAACATTTAATTGAATTATTATTCAGCCCTGTCTCGGCATTTGAACCTTTACTATGAGTCACTTGGTTGGAAATTTCCGTTGCTGGCGAATCTTTTTGTTAGTTGAAATTAACCTATTTAGAATTGTGCATGTGCGTGCATTCTGTGTTAATGTTTGTTTGGTTGTTGGATTCCTATGATACTGCGAAATCCTAAAGCTCTATTCGGATGTTACATCATCAAAACCACGTTCGTCATCGATAAACACAAAATAATTGACTTCCCAACACGCCTCCTGAATGCCAGTAGTTAATGGTGCTGTACCACAAAACATTTAAAATTTTCCGCAAAATTTCCATTCATGCCGTTTTGGACCCGCCTTTCATAAAAGCTATTTGCTGAATTCGGTACCTTTGCGCAACTTTCCAACAGGTACTTGCGGGAATTGCGTCAACGCGTCTCGGTGTTCGAGTGTCAGAGCGGCGGGTCGTCTTCAGCTCCCTGGCAAATGGACCACACACGAGCGGTGAAGGACTACAGCCGCTCGGCCGCCGATCAGGCCGAACCGCTGCCTTGGGAACTTCGGCCTCCGGAGGTCTTGCAGCGAACCATGAACTACCTGCTATCCGCTATTGCAGACCGTCCGGAAATCGACACCACTGGGAACCTCTGGAAACCTTGGTAAGTTCTCTTTCACTGATGTGGGCTTCATCGTTTTTGTAGTCAAGTTGCATTTTAGATCACCAATCCTCTCCTTCCTCTAATCGTTGTAGGTATGAATTTTTGTGGACAAGAACACGTGCCATCCGTAAAGATATCACTCAGCAGCGCTTGTGTTCACCGGCTATCGTGTCAATTGTGGAGAAGATTACTCGCTTCCATATTTTCTGTGCAGCGCGTCTGGTGGACCAATCTATGGACGCGTTCGATCCTCGAATCAACTCCGAGAATCTCACTCAATGTCTCCAAACACTGAAGGAGCTCTACGGGGACCTCCAAGGGGCTCCAGCTGACTTGTGCCCTTGTGAACCGGAATTCCGTGCCTACATGATACTCATGAAACTCAATGACTGCTCCGTGCTAGAGTGAGTTCTGTTCTACTTCATCCCCATCCAAAAATTTCCTTGATGATACTCAACCGGCGCTCTGAATGTGGGAAGTTGCAACGGTAAACCTATCGCAAAAATTGAGCTCAGTTTACATTCGAGATACAATTTTGTAGTTCAAATGTAGCCCTGTTGGTTTAGCTCTATCTTCTTGCTAAGCTTCACGCTTCATTATTTGAGGTGGTTGTCTTAGATTCATTCAAGGCACTGTAGTTCAAGGTAGTAACTTAATCTCACTGCCCTAAACGTACGATGAAGGCAGAGCATAGAATCAGGTAGCAAAATAGTCCAAGAAACCGCGTTTACTCATTGTCTTGGTTCTAATGATGCAGTGATTACACAAAGGCAAGCAGAAAAGTTAACCAGTAGGTGATCCAGTCCCACAGGATTCAATGATAGCATCAGTAGAGGCAACAGTGGAGATTTGAGGATTGCTTTGTAATGAAGGCAACAGTAGTTGCAACAGCAGTGACAAACATTCAAAAAGGAGGAAAAGGAACAAAATTGCACAAAAATGAGCACCAATTCCTAATAGTAACTTACACTGTTTGTACGCAGCGAGGTGCAGAAGTTTCCTGATGCTCTGCGCAAGTCGAAAGAAGTGCAATTTGCGATTGCGGTGCACTCGGCCGTGGCGGAACACAACCATGTGCGTTTCTTCCGTTTGGTCCGCGCGGCGGACTGTTTGACCGCCTGCCTCCTCCACCGCTACTTCAGCCAGGTTCGCTCCCACGCCCTATTAGCCCTCTCTGCCGCCTTCTGCAGACATCCAAGACACGAAGTCACGGTGCGTTCCTCCACCTCATTCCTCCTCTCTGTTTGTGTGCGATGAATTGCTGCTGTTATTTGGCCCTAGGCGGATTAAACTGTCTTGTTTCATTATAGTTTTTTTTTCTGCACAGTTTCCACTAGCCACATTCGTGAATCAATTGGGATTTGAGTCGCGAAAGGACGCACAGGCCTTCTGCGAGCACTGGAATCTCCATGTATCCGGCGACAATTTAATTTTTAAGCGACATTCACTACCTCGTGAGCCAGAGCTCGCGTGGCAAGAGAGAAGGGCATTTAATGTGGGTCTTTTTGCGCCTTCTTCCAGCTCGCTACGGAGCCATTCTTTAGCTAGTAACTCCTCTTTTCTCCCCCGCGCGTCAGCTGATTGAGGGTAAGCGTTTGGGACGAAGCCTCGCGGATCTCTTCAATGGTGGTCCAATTGATCCCTCCTATGCTAAACCTGGACCAGTTCACTCCTCCTTTGATAGCGGAGGCCACCTCCTTTCCGTGCAGGAGATTCAGGAATCGCCTTACTATCCGTCATTATCCACACTCACAGGACTTTCCCTTTCGATGGACAAACTGAAGTCTTCTTCAGTGCTAGCTGGTGGAACAAACACTGGAGATTCTTCTAATCTCCACCTCGAACAACCCGCCTTTAAACTTGACTCGATGTTTGTGGGCCCTTCTGAGCCCATATTTTCCGATGAGGCTAAGTCGGAGGCGTCGATGGCTATTTTTAACGAGGTGTTGAACGGCGAGATTCGAAGAGTTTTGACGATGGATTTGAGGGAGACCAAAGCGGCAGAGAGTATGGCTGATGAACTAATTGAAGAAACCATTAAATCAAATTTAACGCAAGTGGGTTCTGTTTACGTAATGCTTACACCAGTTCATATCTGCCTCACCTATTAGTTTTCTTTGCATGCCGTCCAGATCGTGGAGGAAGAGATCACCCTTCGCCTAGGTTTTTTATCATCTCTTGTCGAAGAAATTGCGGAGAGTATTATCCGAACCTTTGTGAATAATTCGCTGCGCGAGGTCGTCTCCGATGTCATTAGCGAGAGTGTTGTCTCGGTGAGCACTTACTCCAGCCTTCGTCGTTAATTATAAGGAATTTCAAGCATTTTTGGCAAAAGAGCGTTAATAGCTATTATCGTAGATAATAGGAGTTCTGGCAATTTGTATTTCCTCTTAACGATTGCAACATCTGGGAATCTCGAAATTCCCTGAACATTGTTCTTCACCGATTGATTTTGTCACGGTGGATCCATAAATGCATGGACCTTTAAAACATTCCCAAAATGTCTTGATTTTCATTCAATTTGCATAAATTTGCCAAGTATTGTATTTCTTCCACTGAATTCAAGAAATTCCTTGCGCTGATTTTGCTTACTTTACTCTTATAATTCCAATGATTTCATCAAACAAAGGGGTGCATGCGCAATCTCGTAAGCCACTGGAAGACAATATGTAGAGTTCCTTTTTAAGTAAACTTTATCCTTTCGAGTACGCTCCTTTAGAAAAATATTTACAATTACAAAAACCTCCTAGGCCATCTCTGGTGACATTTTGATGGAAGCTTTGAGTGAATTCGCATTACGAGTGCTGAAGAAGACTCGCTCGGAGCATTTGAACATGCGACGATTGTTGAAACGCACCTTCTCTTCCTGGAAGGCGATCTGTCTGGAAGAGCAGCGGCGCGACGTCCCCACCCGCGACTTCATTCGCTCCATCCCCGCTGCTCCGCCGCCCCATTTGTGGCTCGGCGACTTCAGCGTAGAGGAACTTTGCAGCCCCCGGCGCGCCTGGCTCCGGGCCTTCCCGGAAAGGGAGAATTATGCTCTTAAACGGGCCCGACTCTGTTCCTCCTCTTCCGCGGTAAGCCTCCGCCCCTGCCGCGCCACTCGTGGCATGACTCATCGCCTTGTAAATGATTTACAGCAGTAGTGGGTTGTCATTCTCCACAAGACTGTCTCCAAAGTAGGCCGATTGTTTGGGTCGCGTATGCTGCCTTATTATCGGACGCATGTATCTTATCCACTCTTGTGGCGCCCAAACTCTTCAATAATCAATAGCTCCAGTTGTGCCTTAGTTACCGAAATATCTCTGGTTAAAGTAACCTCCTCTCAGTTGACGGTTTTTATCACTCCACACTTCAACCCAAAACCAACATGATAACTCTGTGTTCTTTAATTTGTTTGCCATAAAGACATTCACATCTACTGCATTTTCATCTAAGGCTATGCCCAATTTTTTGTGCTGTACATGAGTGACGTAGAAACTAATCCTCAAAAAGAAAACAATATTGTAGAGCACCAAGTTGACTTGATTGCTCTACCACGCTTGAATCTTTTTGTTTTAAGACTTCAATAAATGCGTCTCGTGTATTGCTAATTTTTCCAATATAATGACCAGGGCTTAGGATCATGCCACATTTTCCGGATTTCGGAATTGTCGCTTTTCCAGTTTTTGTGCTGTTAAATGCCGCTTCATTATACCCATCGAATTTGCAGCTAAAACTTGGGCAGCGCGTTTTTTTTCTTTTATCTATTTCAGACCGATGCTAATCTTGCATACCGACCCCTTGGTCCCATTCATGGCCTTTCCCATGAAGCCTGCATTGGTGTCATTGTTTCCACTGCAGCCCACTTTTTTTCTCGATGGCTCTGCAACAAACTTAGAAACCACACAAACTTTACTCTTCTCCCCTCTGTGGACTATCTCACGGGGACAGAAGTTGGACTCATCGTCATTGGCGACGGTCCCTCACATCTCGAGATCCCGCAGCTTCGTCTCCTCCCCTCGGAGCTCGGAAAGTCCGCTGAACACTCTGATACTGTGGAGAGCATTGTATTTCCTCCGCCGATTGATGGAAATGCCACAATGGCCTATTGTTGGAACACTCTTCTCCAAACTGGTCTTCAGTGGCTGGTGAAGAAGGTGGCGGTTGTCTCAGGCGACGGCGACGGCAGTGGTGGAACTATGGCGAAGACCGAGAACTCAGCCACTCTCCAACCCTTATTTCCGCAATCCTCAACTCTGGTAGAGCTTGTATCGAGCCGCGTTCAGGCAGCCTTCCTAACACCTCTGCTGGTCTTGATCGGCCATTGGACTGAACAAGGACTTACTCATCCCGTGAGCTGCAATAGTTGCCCCTCTGTGCCCTTATCTTCATCATTGCCGTACATATGCTCTAACTGCTCCTAGTTAACTTCGGCTAGGTTTGTATTGTTCATTCATTCATTCTGATGGCAAACCGATTTATTGATGAAACTTACAACTAATAAATGACTCTGGTCTGAAGTACTCTGTAAAATGAAGAACGTCCAAATCGGGGCGTTAATCACCAAGACGACTTGAACAGCTTCGACTTTCATTAGAGACCACTTTTTTCTTTCCAGGATCCCCACTACCTTCTAACCGCCTACAATCAGATCCTGGACCCGCTGCCAAGATCCATCTGCACAAGTCTTGTAATCTCTCCGCTACCTGAACCTCTTCCACCCAACATATCCTGGCATGAAGCCGTGGATAGGTGGCACTCCTTTCTCCTTACTCTGCGATTTCCGGAGAATTTAGCCGCCTCTTGTGAACTCTCCCCGAATTTCTGTGAACGGTGGAGACGAGTCAGCGCTCTACTGATTCCCTGGGGTCCCCTTTGTATTCGGCTAGTACGCGCCAGGTTGGATACGGTGCTGGATGATGATGGTCAATCAGTATCCGCGAGCACCACGATTGAGGTGGTCCCGGCAGCAGCGCGTGCCCTCGACCAGTTAGGTCCTCAATTCTCTGTTGCCTCCATCGTACGTGAGTTCAAGTTCCGTCCACCCAAGGTGCAGCCAGCTGACGGCGATTGGCAACCACGAGAGCCTTCCGCCTCCTCGGACGCCGTAGCCCAGCAACTACAAGAGCTGGATGCGAAAATTGCGAAGCTTTCAAATGATGTCCGGCTGATCCTCAAGTGACTTCTACTTCCCTTGTACTCTTGCCTACCGTTTTTTTACGAACTGCTTTACGGCTGAAGATTTTATGTCAACATATCACTTTTACACTGCTTAGGCGTGAGTTCTTTTCTTACCTACAACAGTTGATACAGGTGTAAAGATAGGTTATTTACCAGTTTGAAGGGTGCTTTTATGATGCCATCCCATATCAACGTATTAATTGCCTCTGGTCCACAACTTCCTCACTCAACACTATTCGGGTCTTCTCCACGACGAATTTTCTCGCTTGAGTATTCCAAAAGCAAGCCTTATCGCATGGAAGATCAGTCACGGTGGGGGGAATTCAAGCTTGGCCATAACTCTAAAGTAGGTACTACTATGCTTACGTCAGATCACATAAAGTTTGCAACGTTTATGTTAATCGTTCAAAGCCTTTCATTTTGGTGACACAACACTCCACTCCGCAAAAAGCCATGAGACCCTAAACGAACGCAAACGCCCTAGGACAATCCTGTGAAGTGCTGTTTTAAGTTGTAACCAAAGTGCAATAATGCGTGCAAGGTTGTCCTGCCACTGTCCGAGAAGAGCTCTTTGCAAAATACCGTGTCTCTAGTGAAATCTGCCTGCACGCAGTACTTCAGGCAAGTGCAATACGCCGGGTTTGTCAGCTAAGTCCAGCGAGTAGCCAAAGATGGCAACCCCGTGAACTGCTTTCTGCCGTCTCTGCACACAGAGATCAGGTTTTAGTTAACCAATATGGGTGAATCCTTGGGGGGAATTGTAAAACTGTATTGCTGCTATCAATTTTAAATGGTCCAAACAACGGAAAAATTAATATACAAACAGGGATGAATGCAAGACAATAAAAAGAACAAGTTAGCTAGCTAAAAGGGCGCTTGCGTATGAACCAAAAGGGTGAAAAAGTGAGTGAGTAGAAGGATGAAGGTGTCCACTTAAACTGCAGCGCTTAACATGATGCGAATTGAGTTATACGAAATTGAGCAATTTGGCTGGGACCTGAAATGGAAGGGGAAGGTACACTTGCGTATGCAGCACATTAAAAATTTAAAACAGTCAAGCTAGAGAAAAAAATTGCCAAACTATTACAATCACGGTGGCATGGTAATGTGACTAAAATGCATAGCGAACAATGAGCAAGGAGCAACTATTGTTTAGACTATAAACCAAATGAAAGAAACATAAAACACTGAAGCATGTCGATAATTGGTACTTGGGTACGCGTGAGAAAGGGGGTTTGGACATCCTTCGATCTCAAATTACTGCAAACTAGCAAAACACTGAATTGAAAACCTTTGGTTATTTTTCAAAGACTGCGTAAGCCCACATAATCATAGAAACGAAACATGTAACACAAACTTAGAGAGTGTTCTGATGCAGAGATGGCGATCCAAGTAAGATGGGCACGTACACCATTATTGTTGGTGGAGGTGGCGGTGGAGGGAGTGGTGCTGGAGACGTCCCTGATGACGGCCCCCGGTGGTGGAGGGGTCTGCAGCGAGGTAACGGAGGCCGAGACAGAGGAGAGAGACGCGAAGCGAACGGAGGTCTGCAGAGGCGAGCTGGAGCGACGCGAGCGCCTACTCCACCGATAGGGCGAGCATCGAGAAGTATCTTTATCTTCTTGCCTTTTCTTTGCCTCCGGCCTCAAGGGTTCTTTAGCGTTGTGACGAATATCCTCAAGGAGCGTGATTGGTAAGAGGAACAGCTTGTCATTCAGCTCAATCAGCCGAGTTGCGAGCAAAATAGCCTCTTGACAGCCCTTTTTGAAATTATTAGAGTCCTGCACAGAAGTGATTTGTGGAAGCAATTAACATACTGTTTGACCAAAATATCATTTGATCAAGTTAAGGAATCATGGTTAAATTTGGAAAAAGATGGTACCGCTATTAGTCGGGCAATTATGTTCATTCAAGAGATTTTCCACGAAATCAACAATTAATTTCCACTACTGTTAAGCTTGATTTACTAATTTACGAAATCGCCAGGAAATTACAATCAGCATTTAAGAGTACGGCTTGCTAAACTTTAAATACCAGCAAGTCTAACATGAAGAATCGGTATGTCTAGATTGCTTGTAAATGACATGAATCACAATTCTCGCCGTGAAATTTACTAACTTTCGCGCGAATAATTCTTGGTAGATCTATCCACATCTACAACCAATACAGAGAAGGTGAGCTGCGTTTCGCGAATCCTATTACACGGCCTAGAGACCGTTCAAATTGCCTTGAGTAGTATGAGCGGTATTGGACCCTACCTTGCAATGGGGATCGTTAATAGCCTCGCCAAACACAGAAGGCACAAAGATAGGTCCAAAAACCGTGCCGAGGGCAACACCAGTCATGCGGTTCTGCATTACGTGCTCCAGCACGAGCCCCAGCAACCGCAACAGTTGCTTCAACAAAGACCGGTTCACAGCGGGCAGCAGCTGAACCAGGAGACGCAGAGACTTCACCTGTTTGCCGTAAGCAAGCAAATCCATTGGAGACATATCCTCCCTTCCTCCTCCACCACCTGCCTCACATCCCCACAGACCTTGAGAAAAATAACAAATAACAAGCATTATGAATAGACAAAACTGGTTTGCTTGTTCAAGTTTGTTAGTAGGCTAACATACAGTTGCTGTGGCAACGTAACAAGACCTCGGTAACACGTCTCGAGATATCAACACATGGTCAGACCAAGACAAAACTCAGCATATGGCTATGGATCACCACTGCTTAGTTGTTAGGTTGAAGATCTACTTGTGAAGTGCCGTATCTTCCCAGAAGAACAGAATATTTGAAATTTTAACCTTCCAACGTTGCATATCAGGATGTCCACACCTCTTGCACGAATGAAAAAGGAAAAAACCTTGCCCACAGCACAGTGACGACCACGAAGACCGTTTAAATGAATGTGTGTTGATTACTCATTCACGGTTTTGTTAATGAGCCTAGCAAAAATGCCTTTACGAAAAAGATGTCTGAGAGTTGTTTGGCTTTAATGGTAGTAGCCATCTGACACGTCTGACTGTTGAAACAGCCCTTGCTGTAAACATGGTACGAAACAGTTTAAGATATTATTTGTATGATACCCTTATTTAACACGACGTCTACTATTACGCGAAGATAACTGACTGAGAAGACGTTTTGATTCCGATCTACGAGCAAGAATTCCTTATCTCACTTTCAGGATAACAGTTTGTGATCTAACTGAGCGCAAAATGCATTAAGAATGGCCATAGCATTAAGCGGTTGAAGCTCAAAGCAGACGCAGTTATAAGGAATCTTGAGTGAGAAGTGAAATGTTGGTGTCCTCATCAAAACAGATGCGTACGTGCGGCTTCAAGGAAGAGTGGCGTCAGTGCAGAGGTGAGAAGAGGTTGAGTCAGGTGACTGATGATAGACTTCAGTGCTCCCGCGAGTTCATGGGGAGAGAAATCGGTCCAGGCAAAAGTCGTGCAATCGAAATCTGGGTGAAGAAGGGCTTCAGTGACTGTGCGCTGTTGGGTCAGGCTTCCGGTTTTGCGGAACACGCCCTCTGCTTGAAATCCTGAGAGAAAAAACATCACGATGAGGCGGTTACAGTCCTCCTGTAAATCAGTTTTGCTCCTGCTTACCACGAGTATTTTCCAGCATTGTCATGAGGTAAATAAGTTTCTCCAGAAGGCCAGGAGTGAGCGGTAGAGACTGAAGACCACCTTAAAGGAGTAACAAAGTAGTGGCCAGCTGAGCTAAACTGTACACACGGTAAGTGGAAAACACGTTGTAACACGTAGAGTGAAGCACTGAGTTCGTTACAGCACAAAATACGCCCATTCATAGGATCATCTACGCTAAACAGACCACAAAACAAACCACGACTGGGGAGTGCCTATCAAGCTTATGTCTACCTGAAGTAACTACCAATCTAAAAAGCTCCTACATGTTTTGACAAAATGCCTTTTGTCTTAAAACTCGCAGAGCGACCTCCCACTTAACTGTTCATCAAAATTAAACCGGTTTGCACATTCGATGCCCTAGGAATTTCGATTGTGTACTGCCTTTTAAACAAACAGGGATCCTTAAGAGGATTACACGCTTTTTGACATGAACCTTTAGTCGCAACGTGCCCTACTGGTGAGCGCTCTGTTAAGAGATCTGTGTAAGCAGATGTTGAAGCATCACACAACTGCTCATGAAGTGACGGTCTCCTCAGTAAACGCTACATCAACTAAGACGCCCGAATCGCGTACGCGCATGGATGGGGGCAGCAAGAGGTAGCGGGATGTCATAAAATTGGGAGGAAGTCATCAACGTAATTTAAACAAGTAAAAAACCGATAAAGGGAACGTCTTCAGGGAGCCGGTGATTTTTGACAGTAAGGGAAAGTAAGTCTCAATGAATACCCTAAACAAATCCACCAGGTTATACGACAAATAGCTGTTTTAGACTCTAGTGGCTTCGTATAAGGATTTGAGAATGAACCTATTATAGCCTAGAATTCGAGGAATGAAAGACTGGATGAAAAGATATGCATGCTCCAACCCAGCTCGTTGTTCACACTTCGATGGGAAAAATGAGGATGCCAAGTAGGCAAAAGAAGGAGGCTTAACATATCGCAATTGTCAAGTGACAATTGAGATTTCTGCGTAAAGCAGCATTGTGAACAGTCGCTAACTATTCATTACACCAAGGTAAAACTAGAATATACGTTTACAGAAATCTTACCTCTGTTATGACGTCGCGAACGCGAAAACATCTGCCCAGCGGAGAGCACATTACCGATTCGATCAGAGCTATTAAACTCGTGGAATAAGTCCAAAGGGACGTCAATCGCGAAGGACAAATGCAGGAAGCAGATTGACCTAAATTTCCCAGGACATCGGATGCGAAAATCGTTGATCTCTGGCGTCTCCTGCACAGCCTCCAGCAGTCGCTGACCATAGTCAGAACATACAGCGGAAGCCTGATTTTCTTTGCCTACCAGCATTCCCGCGGCAAACACATTCCCAGGCTCGTTCAGCATAAAATACGTCCAATTCGATCGATTCTAACACAGTACAGCAGGTTTCTGGCGCTTGGTACCACCTGACCAATCAGAACCGCATAGCATACTCAGAGTGCTGAGGCCGCTTTGATTGGTTGCTTATCTGGTGTGCGCATAGGATTGGTGGATGGGTCAGTTAATGCAAAAAGCACAAAGGACGGGTTTTGTACAGTTGCCTTGCGACCTGGAAGCTGATATCGGATTTTGTACTGTGATGGTGATGTAGTCGTCGGCTTAAACCTGGTAATACGAAAATTAAGTTCTATTTGGACAAATGGTTGCATTTGCTGCGTCACTAAATATTTTCCAGCCAAGTAGATGACAGTACATTAAATCTTTCAATCAAGTTGTTACTGTGTTGCATTTAGCAATTTCTTTATAAACGGTTCACTAAGCTTGCTTAAAACCGTCAGAAGTTCATCATCAGAAGTACTCAAGCTCACAATTACCAACGGCCAAATGTCGTGTGGATTCATCTGACTGCGATTCAAACAGAATATCCTCTGTGCAGTAATCGCACGAATTTCAGAGCACTGTAGACAGCTTGACACACATCCAACTAGTTATTCCAAAAACAAGTAATTAGTCATACTTGGTTGATAGGTTAAACTTTGTTCCCTCAAGTTTTACCCACCTAGGGACTTTAATATAAGCCAATACTACAACCTTCCAATTTCCTAAAACTGCCTTCAAATACAAGCCCATTCACCATCATTAATTGATATTTGCTTTTGCAATGAAGAGGGAGAGAAGCCACACAGAATGCGGGCTTGAGTCCCTCCCCTTCTAGGACCCAACGTGCGCCCCACGAGACCGAGCATCCCCTCTTCCATGAACGGACCTCTGCACGCACGCACGCACGCAAGCACGCATACACAATGGCGGTTGACGTGGCGGCTGACGGGGGCGCGGGTGAACATTCGTGCGCATATGCATGCGCAAGAATATCGAGGGATTATGCATTCTTTGGCCTGGGTTGGGTGGAGAACAACTAGTTCCGGCACCAAGCATATGTGCATACATATGCAGTGCAGGAAACACAAGCTTTGTTGCAGATGATAAATTGAGTCATTAAGCGCTCTTAGCCTCGGCCGAATGAATGTATAGGTGATATTTTGGCTATTGGAATCGATGTTTATCCCTTACAAGGTCTTATTGTAGTGATAGTGGTATCACTCAACTCAATGCTCGCATTTTCCAGGTCTGCATAGGACAATGGAGACTGACTAACAAATGTGCCCACGGGTTTCATTAAAGGCTTATGGTAAGTCAGGAGGTCTAGATGGAACTAAGTAACTTGTTTTACGACTAGGAATGAAAGAATCTTCGTTGATATTCATGGTGACCAGTCAAGAGTGGGGGCTAACAAAATGCAATGCGAACTGGAATTTGGCCAAATTTTTTGAGCATAGATTGTCTAATAAATTCAAGTGGTTTGCAAGTCTTTGCTTGTGCATCAAATGAAAGTAAAATCACTTACTGTTTCATACAAATAACCATGAGACCCACCCTAATCACTTAGTTAAAAATTTCAAATACCTCTATTCACATCCAATTTGTCTTTTACACTAAACACTTCCTATTTTTCTGATGGGAGATTGCTGACCCCCAAGGAAACAGACAGGGCTCGGAGACAAACTAATTACGCCACGGATAGAAACATTTAAACTAAGGGAGTGCAGAAATAGGACTTTAATGCCGTACTGCCACTACGGTTGGGCATATTCGTAGGGTGGTCCCTGGGGTAATGTTAAAGACAGTGTCAACAAATGAATAGATGGACAAAGAAACTAAAATTAGGGGGAGGGCTAAGAAACAATGCATGTTTCGGTTAAAAAAGCTGAACATTAGTTACTCATCACACAGTCATTTCATTAAGACCGGGAATATGGCATTCCAAAGGGAAGTAGAATGGATGGACCACGGAATGAAATGTAAATAAAGTAGAATTTGGGAAGTACAATGCTTAGTTTATTCATCAGTTGTCAAAATCTGTTGGTGAGATGGAGGATGTCACTCGATGTTCGTGAGGTTGAGTACGCTTATGTTGGTATGTTTTCGTGGTATAGCTGCATGCTGATGTTCGGGTGCTGTGCTGAGAGTGTGTAATGGGTGCCTCGTTAATGCATAAAGTAAACAACTTTGGACTTAGTTAATGACTCGCTCTGCTATGAATCGACTACGATCAAATTCATGGTACACTTTGACGGGGACGTTTATCTTGGTAATAAAAACATAGTCCCAAAAGTAGACGACACGTGAATACATAAACAAAATGCAAAGCTGCCGTACGTGCATTTAACAAAATGAAGATGCATTAAGATGATTTTTATTCAGAAAGATATCGTATCTTGATGCCCAAAAGTACACAGAAAGTTTAAGAGCCATTGGAACACATTAATGCGCTTTAAGATACACCTGACAACTCGAATGACAGTTTCGCCATTACTTAGCATGAGGATGGCAATGCTTTCTATGACTTGACAAAAGCCAAGGTGCAGAGTGAATGGGTCCACCGAGTAAGGGTATCGAGGTAGGTGACAATGAAAGAGAGGTCTTCTGTGAGCTATTTTTCTTTAATACCAACTCACCTGTTATGCTTGTGGACATTTAATTCCATTCGCAAAAGACAGCCGATAGGTGCAAACAGAGGCATAAACCTCTGCATTCGTTGTAGATAACATAGATGCAGGATAATGAAGTGTAGAGACTGGATGAACCCGTCGAGGTCATGACAGCGCACGCATGGGGTCGATTGTTTACGTGGCTAATCATTTTGATGCTTCATCTGATTCATAGATCTTAAATGAACAACCGAGTATTGGATGGATTACCGAAAAATAATGTCAAATCTATATTTTGAAGGCGAAGGAAGCATACCCTCGTAGATCTGCGATGCCATTTTTTAGAGATAAAGGAAAAAGTTGGTGTCCCAAAAGTCTGATTTCGAGAAAATATTGAGAGCACCGAGAAGGGTGATCTTGCTCGATTTTAATTAAAATCTGAAAATGTTCACCCAAGACGGCTCCTAAATAACATTTGACTGTTTATTTGTAACCATTATCACACATTTCTACAAAACTATGTGCCTTAAAGAGGCCCAAACGACATTTAGTTCAGAGGCGGAAGGAAAAAAATTGTGAGCCATTAGTGAATTCATATTTTTTATTGTGGTACCCACACCATTTGACATTAAACTAATGAGGGTAATTGACTTCTATTGATGGGGAAGCATTTTTAGTAGAAATTTAACCTCTGAGATCTGCTCGAAGGCATTGCTATTAATAGAAGTATGCACGTTTGTTTTACTACACCTTTTTGGGTCACAGTTCACTAAGTCTGACGAACCTCCTGATCCCGGTCAACACTATCTCTCTCCAAATTGGATGCAGAACTCGCTTTCCTATAAGTCCTGCAACTCTAATCCCAATCTTACCTTAACGGCACGTTACTTTCTTCTACATGATTAGCGAAAGAAATGACGAGTCGTAAAATAGGGTTAAGCCTTCTAGATGAATCTACTGCAGTTTACCCAATAGCTCCAAAACGACTGCTGAAAGGTTTGCTAAAAAAGTCCACCAGAACAACTTCAGTGGTGCAAATCATTCTATTTTTCTAAAATTTCCCATCAGAAAAGCCCTATTAATAAATTGGGCGATATTACCTAGCAAGAACTGCGGCTAATCAGTATAATGAGAAGTTTCATGGTACTCTGGTATAGTTTCCAGGCTTGTTAGATGTCATTGTAGCGCTTTGATAATTTGTTTAACTCTGTCTATGATTATGTGGGCACCTAAGTCACAGCAGATTGTACATTACCTCAAATCCATAGTCTTTGGGCCATGCTAGTAGCATCCACTCTTCTGTGCTCCAGTAATGCCTCTCCTGGTGCACTATTATGACCCCAGGTAAGATTCGGGGCGCTACAGCTATTGAGATAACTCCATTGATTGCTCGACTCTCGATATGGGTAACAGGCCGCTTAGGGCTCCGCCATTGTACCTTTGTTGGGCGGACTGGCTTCCGAGCCATGCTAGTAGTCCGAGAATCTTTCTGTAGATCGACAATATGTTCTTCACAGGCATTATTTCTTTCGTATTTAAGGAAGTAGCAGGGAGCTAAATTATAGCCATGTTTTGTGCTTCAATAGAAGGCATTTCGGAATGCAAGCTTAATGATAAAAAAAAGTTATAGCAAAGCATTAAAGCTTCCCGGTTATTATGGGGACTCGGTAGGAATTGGCAGCAGTTGCAAAATATTTTTAGGCAAGATATACGGCAAGTTGGAAGCAATTCTCTGCCCTTCATAATAGTCCTTAGTTTTAAGTAGGAAAGATGTGTTTAGTGAATTCATCAAACTCTTTATGTTACCTGAGCAACCGTGTTACAAATGGGGATTTATTGTAACATGTTTTAAATGAATTGGCCATATCCTGACTGATATAAATGCGAGCCAATAACTGTTAGAATTTATTTGGGAACACTAAAATTTCTATGGACACGAAAATTGTTTTTAAAGAATGGTAGTTTGCAGAAAGAAAAGCGTATATTTCGCGCGCTTAAATCCCCCTCAAAGCGCTCGTGGCCTTGGCGTCCTGTTTGGAGTTGCGTTTCTCTGTCTCGGATGTGGCATTCGGTGTGTTTACGTGTTCTGATATCAGTGGTGCAAGTTTATCTATACTTGTGGTAGTTTTATGTCTTATGTAGTGCTTTTAAGTTTGATTTCGTAGCTAGTCTTTAAAATATCATGTTTTGCATCAGCAGACAAGGGCGAAATCACATAACAAAAGTAGCTAGACGTAAATCTCGTAGAATTAAATAGCTTGTTTGTGAGGGGAAACCACATTTTTTACATAATTTAGTTAACGAAGTTTGGTGCGTCCTTCATATTGAAAATTAGGACTGCTCCGTCTTTGTTATTGGGCTTCAGGGAAACCCACAAAACAAGTAGGATTTACCTATTGCCTTTAGCAATAAACTCATAAGGTTATGCAAGAAACTTCAAAATATGTGAAATAACACCTCTTTACTTCCACTGACTCGTGATTTTTCAGCAAGGAAATGTTTTTTACAGTGAGGCTTGCATTAAATGTTACTATTTAATGATCAGAGTTCAGGAACGTTTTGCGGTGGATACTTTTTTAATGCGTACCTAGGTATTTATTTTGCAGAATCGGCAACGAGACTTTGAGCAGTATCTTCACTAATTCGTTTCATTTGAACTAATTGCCTTTTTCTGCTGCATACGATGTTAATTAAATTAAGGATCTTTTTCAAGGCCATACTTATGAAATTCATGATAAATTCGGGCAAGATGTTTTGTTGATTGCCTATTTCCAAGTCACTGCATTTAGAGTAAAGTATATGTTTGTATCGTACAAGTATGGGCTGCTTCAAATGAGTTTGAACCTAGTTGCTCCATTCAATTCCATTCACTGTGTGGAAACGATACTTTCAAAGCCTTTGACCTCAATCTCGGCGTAACCAGTCCGATGGCACTTTAGCTTTTTTTACTACTGGTTACATAAAATGAGGAAATTAAGGCCATTGATGGAGTACATATGGGGGTTTCCATTTCACGCTCTAAATCAATGTAATTTGTATTTTACGCTTATTTTACTATGCAGAAATTGGGCTAATGACAAATTGTTTTATTGAACATAACAGCACTTTACCACTGGTGCAAATACTTTCATGATTTTTCCCTACCGTGCATACTTGATGAGTGCCGTATTTTTCACAGTAAAGCATAAAATTTCTTGTTGAATTACGGTATGCCGTTGTCCATTTTTCGTTTATTGTTTTGGCCGTGTTTATTCTTATTTTTACCTATTGGCTAAGTAAGCCACTTTGCTTTTGGAATTTTTATGAAATGAATGAGCGCAGTTATTTCGATAACTATATTTCATCTCCGCACCGTGGGGTGAATAAATATCACGACTCACATTTGTAAGAAATGATTTTAAATACCGTCTTTTATTTTAGATTGACGTCAATCCAAGCTTTAAAGTTCGAGTAAAGTTAGAGCGATGCTTCCTCCGACATACTTTGAACTCACACCTCAAATATCCGATGCTCAGGTTCAGACCAGTACATTCAATTCTGGAGAAGGATCGTTGCAACATCCTGTTGGTGCCTTTCCTTCAGACACACACACCCCGCTCTCGGAGCAATGTGATGACATTACCTATCCAGGCTCTGAGGTAGCACATCATTTAAAACTCACGTTCCCCAGGTCACGGTAATTCACCGCGTTCCGGGCAAAGCCATTACAAGCTATTGGCGTCAGGACCCAAGTGGCGCCTTTCTCCTCCACCACGAGGCAAGGGGAGGCCGATTTGAAAACGAAAGCAGCAGCACAACCCTTAGTTGTGCAGATAGCTACCAAGCACAGCAAAACGCGCGGGAGAATGGAGGATCTATTTGCGAGAACGGAATGAAGGCAACTACAACGGATGTTGATGACGGGACTACTGTGTGTGCAGTCTCCCAGAGGTCACTTACCATAGGTTGTAGCGAAAAAAATTACCACTGTCGAAGGCGTCGCTCATCGGATGGTGGGGGTGAGCGATACTTGCTCGATCGCCATCGGAAGCGATCGCACAAAAACTCTGCTCACTGTCTGTCTGAAGGTGAAGTGACCGGTGCCGTTGGGGGTGGGAGGAGGCATGGGAGACATCGATGGAGTCGACGTCGAAGTGAAGAACATCAGCGCAGTGCTAGCACTCACTCACCCTCATGCAATTGTGATTACTCCTATCGGAGCTCCTGGACCCACGGCTTTAATCACGGCCACGCGAATTCTCTACCTACTATGAAAAAGCACTGGTACCGCGAGCCAAACTCCTCACCGAAGCTGCGGCGGCGAAAACCCATAACAGGAATGTTTGGTGCAAATTTAGTGGCCTCTCGGGAGGAGGAGCGGTGGTCAGACAGTGAGCAGATTCGGATGCGTCTCATCAGCCCGAATTATTGTGGACTTGTAGGTCTTTCATGCATTTGCCTCTTGGCAGTAGGGTGCCTTCTCTCACCCATTTTCATGCTCTTGATCCCCTTGATCCCCTCCCTGGGCGGAATAGATGCCCAAAACTTTGCTTTCCCGCCAAGATTACACATAATTCATTCATGTAATGTTCGCTGTGAAGCAGACTTACTCTCCATTGCCGTAAAAATACTACTGTTGTGCTTAACCACTTGGAAGCTCTACGTGCAGCCGATTGTATGCGTCTGTCGTAGACTACGCATTTGTCCACTTTCTGCCTCCGCACTTCTCAACCGCAAGTTCCGCGCCATCGAATGCATCAATCTGGACTTCTCTCCATTTGATCCCGCTACCCTACACCCCTTTCCCTCCACCGAGCGGCTAATTGGACTTACTTTGTCAGTAAATTTTCTTGGAGTTGGCGCGACCTGTGCATTTTGGGTAGCGTTCGCAGCACGCTGGATGAAATGGCTGCTGCGGCCGAGGGCGGAGCACTTCTCTGCGGTGTCACAAGATCTCCATGCGCAGTTTGGACTGCCGGCGGCTGTGGCGCCTCCGGCCGAAACCTCGGGCCAGATCGATCCCGCCAACCCATCCTACGCCAGCCTCGTTAGTTTCGTGCTTACCTTCACGGACACTCTTCTTCTGCTGCATCTGGTCGGTGTAGTGTTGCGCACGTGGAATTGTATCAAGGGTGGGGGCAGACACTACGTTGTGCAGGTTGTGCGCTCACCGGACGGGGCGAGCAAAACCTACCGGTTGACGGGAGCCAGTCTTGAGGTGGTCGCGATGCAGATCATTCAGAAGTATAATGTAGACTTCCCAGTAAGTTCCCTACTTCCTTCGATTTACCTCCACAGCCTTGCGAATCTTTCACATGAGGGTGATTTACTTGATGATTTACTGGTAACAAGGAGTGACGACGCCAAAGTAATCTAGCATCTAGCGGTGGCAGAAATTGCCTGAATTGCATAGTGTTCTTCCTTATTATTGGTTGTCTACGATTTGTTGATTTGCTGAGGAATCTGAGATTTGCATGTGACATTCAAAACCGAAGCTAATTACACGTTTTAGAGATGTTTGGTAATTGCTTTATTAATCCTTACAATCCCCTTGAATGGATTTCGTCTGCTTTAATTCTGCTGCCTATTGGAGAAAAGCAAGAGTCTGACTAACGAAACCGTCGAATGATTCAATTCATATGAGGGTTCTTAGAAGGGAATTAACGATAATTATTGGGACAGTTAAAACCGGTCTGTTTACTCAGCGGAATCGCCGTGGTGTTTCGGGACTGCTGTTTACCTAAGTGGGATGCCTTTCGCATACGTTTTTACTACTAGTCACCAAAAACTTGCGTCAATACGTATTTCTGACCAACTGTATTTCGAAGTTCATTATTTGTACGTCCTATCTATTCAAAGGGCAGAAACTAAATTAGTCGCCTTCTCCAATGATAGTAATAAGTGAAAGTTTTCATTAACATTTCCGTGCATAGAGTGATAGTTGTAGTGCTACAGTTCCTTAAGTTATGGAATGTATCGTCTCCAGAAGTGCACAACTTGCTATGAGGGTTCCCAAAAATTTCAGATGCGTTTTTGATCATGGTTACTCGAAGCCTGAAATTGTTAAAAACTCAGTTCATTAAGCCCGCCAGGCTAAGTGTGAGGCGTTCAAATCCTGAGGCGAAGCATTTTCAAAATTTTATCCTCAATTTAATTATGCTGGAGGCAATTGTTCGCTGGTTCTTATTTTAAAATATGTAGTTGTTGGGAGAGCATGGAATTAACAAAAGGGCATCAGGATAACCCACCACTCTGCCTTTCAAGACAGACACTAGACCTGAATATTTCTGTATGATTAGTGGGAATTTGATCTTTCTGCACCCTATTCCGGCCATCCCCATCAGATTCGCCTTCTATTTTCATTATTGCGCAAAATGTGAAGGGGAGGCTAGATTGCCCTCTTCGAACAATCCCCACCCAGTTGGCTTGAGTGACTCATTCGGTGGATGCACCGCATGTGCGCAACCCCCCTCCCCCCCCCAACACACAGGCACAGATGTGCATCTGTGCGTGCGTCCGCCTGTCCGCTTCCCCCGCTCCCTAGTACGCACACACACACACACACACACATCAAGCCCCGTCGCGGCAAATGTCGCTGGGCTAGTGAAGAAAAAAACTCGAGACTGACGAATCCTGGATTCAAAGGCCATATCCCCTCCCTCTAGGCGCCTTGATCCCCTTTTGGTGCGTACTTTCTTCAACAGATCACTTTGACAATGAGTGCTAGCTGAGACCAAGTTTAGTAACATGGTACCCTTTTGAAAAACTAATTTTGACAAAAATCAACATAGAGGCGTCAAATCATCGAAATACTCTTTCTTTCTGTGCTTGAAAACCTTGATGTTGACGCCATTACTAATTTGACATCTCAGTTTTGTTCATTTTCTAAGCCACATTGGTTGGCTGACCATAACTAGGTATTTGAAGCCACTTTGAATGAACTATTATTACGTTTTGTATGTTAGGTGAATAATATAAGTACACTTACCATGGAAGTAGTGCCGAAATTTGATGCTGCTTGTGTGGACGTAATTGATTCTCTTCTTTGGCTGCAACATTAAAATTTCGAGGCCTAAGAGGTCTGCGGTTCTAGACTCATTCCTACTCCTTCAGCATTTTTTTCCACAATTCGTAAATAACTTTTACCTTTTGCAGTACTTTTATTAACGTTAAACTTGTTTCTGGAATGTACGTTCATCTGATGTGTTTTGATGGAGTAGATTTTCACTTCCGCTAGTATTACCAACTAACGTTTTCTCCATTTTTAGTAGTTAATATTTTGGAGACGGTATACGACAATGCGACGAATCACAAATTCAGCCCTGAATGTGCTCTCTATTAAAAGGCGGGTTTGCTATGCACATGTTCTAAGCATTAAGAGTTAAATTCCCATAAATAGTTAACTCCTTTCAAGTGATGCAAGAGGGCTAAGATTTGTGGTGCTGGGGAGAGTTAGCTCCCTCCGCGGACAAATGCAATTAACCTCGATTCATTGGGTTTATTGCACTATTGGTCATTCCATCTGCCTGTGTGCCACATCATGCGCTCTATGATTTTTTGATGTAGGATTTCCAAAAAGCGAAACCAAGTAAGGAAAACACATTATTTGACTGAAAAGTCTGTGCGTTTCTCGGTATAGTTCACTGCAACTATTTGCTGCAACTTGCGGGGAGGTGTCAAATGCTTCCGTTTATGTGCATTACAAAGCACAGATGTGCGTCAGTCTACTGATGTGGCACTCTTTCTTGCATCTCCTACTAGCCTTCGTAGTGTGAACCTAAAACATTAGATTTCGATTAAACTTGGTATGATTCGAGATTGCCTACTTTACAAATGAAGTGTCGACTCGGTTCAGAAGTTGGAAAAAAACTCCTCGCAGCCTTTCCCTGGCATTTGAAGAATATGTATTAGCATAAAAAAAAGCACTTAAAAATTGCTTAAAATTTGATGGTAGTGATGAGTTGTCCTAAGATGCATCACGTTCAGAGAGATACCGTTTTCCCGGGGGGCGTGGGTGATGGAACACTTCGGTTACAGCTTCATCAAATAGGAAGGTGGCGGAGGATGCGCGAATGGGTACCACATGCGTCAACGAGTAACGTTATGAAAACGCGCCGTTTTTTGCTTGTTTGATGATTGACTAGTGATGAGAGGCGGATTTTGCATTACAAACACGTCATTGGTTATTCCCAAACTATTCACTCTCTAACCCAGTCTACAATTCTAAAGCACACATCACTTCATCCCAAATGACTGCTTTGGTGTGTGGTTGACCGAAAACGGACTTTTTAGCAGGAATTTCTTACTAAAGGTCAAAAAATTACAACCGACATCTACTCAATAGGGCCTAACTTGAAGGTGTGCAAGAACTTCTTCAGAAACAGCCGAGACGAGTTGGAGGGATTTTTTATCCTTGCAAGACGACGCAAGACCTCACCGCAGAGCTTGTCTTCGACAAGATTTACGCTTTAAAATGAGATGGAAGATGCTGTCTCATTCCTTTTTTCGCGTTTCCCTAGCATTTTCACAAATTATTATCACCTTGTCAATTGAAAATAAAAGTGGAGCCGGAGCACGGATAGCTAGGTATGTTTATTACTTTTGCAGAAAAAAACATTGTAAAAGTGGGAGTCACAAGCTCGTGGCTCGTTAGAAAATGATTAGGCGTTGTAAAAATGAAAAACAGCGTAAAGTTATTTGATAACCTTATATTTGAGTGTTTGTAAACAGGCCTTTTGATGGGTGTTTCTTGTTTAGAAGTAAACTTTAAGGCAAAATCATCCCGTCAGTTTGTCAGCTATGTATCCGCAATTTTGCATATCGACAGTCAATTTTGCGCGGAGAACGGGATGCACGGCTTATTAAGTGACTAGAGTAATCTGCTTGCTCTTTGCGATCCCTCAACTATTCATTATCCATTACCAGTTCTCTGGATACTTCGTAAGGCATCTGTTATTCCGAGACGCACCAGTGGGAGACTTCATGAACACTTATTTTCCCCAAAGAGCAATCAACCTGTGCCTGGTCCTACATTAATCGCTCACGCGAAATTAAGATCAGGCTGCTGCTAATGGAAGTAATCTGCGTTCTCTCAATGCTTTAAGCAGCTGAGGCGAAGTGTTTGGTACTTACAATCCGGGGCTTGATCATGCGCGTGAACAAAAGTAACAACTTTTTTCTGCCAGTCTATCCGCCCTTACTAACTCGTATTCGGTCACTAAGCGGTTGAAGAAGAGGCTATAAAATGTGGCAAGACGCCGTCCGAGGCAAGTGAGGCTGCCTGTGTGGATTCCTATTTGTATACAAATACGTAACCAACACTCGTCAACGCAATCGGCACTTCACACCTTTTACGCAAGGGTCTCTCAACTAGTCATGCTGCCTGAACTTAACACGAAATCATTGTAGGTCAAAATATATCTACTGTGAAGGATTCGTCGTTTGAAATTATTACGCACTTATCGCAGTTGGGTCACTGGAAATTCATGTGTACGGTCGATTGAAGAAAGTGGAATGGTCTGGCTGTGCGTCAAGTGTTTGTCCTTGTAGGCGAAGGTGAAAAATACAGCAAATTCCACTACGCCCCTTTCATGCAATGAAGTAGCCCAGCATCAAGCAGCTGATGGTTAAGGAGCGGTGCATTTATAAGATGCGGAGTGAATGTGTAGGACATTCTCACTTTTATTCTTTATTTCCGTACTTTTGGTACCTTGACAATGAGTATTTAAGCCTATCATTTTCAATGTTTGCTTTACTTTAAAACCTAACATGAAATTATACTTCTTTTATATATTCGGAGTCCACACCTTTTTTATGCCAATGAAGAGTGAGATCGTGGTTTCTCAATTTGATCGGCGGACTGCGTGCAGTTTTGAGACTTGGATTTCCTCTTCGTAAAAGTCTGCCATCCTACGACACATTGTATAAATTATTCATCACTGCCTAGCTCTATGCCAATCCACTTATAGCCACCTGTACATTGTACAGGGAATACCCAAAGAACCCACTAGATGTATGATAGCATGGTACCGGAGTTTCCTCCAAGTACGTTAAAAATGCCAATGCAGAAGTAGCTCTGTTGACATAAAGAAGGACTGGGAGACTATCAGTACGAGCGCTGTGATCGCTGTTGAGGAAGTCAAATAGGTAACATCAGAAAAAACTCGGCTTATTAGCGTGTGTGTTACAATGCCAACCAATCATGAAATTCACTAGCTACTGGCAAATCATAAACACAGTAACAGCACTCCTCTTGGAACATTTGCATTTTTTCGCACAACGCAGTGAGTTGATTGTTCCCGTTACTTGATTCCAGCTATATGATGCTCAAGTCGCCAGTGCGCCTTATCGGTACATTCGGATCTCACCGGATTCGCCGACAAACAGGAGCTCAAAGGCCTACTCGCGTCGAGCCTCGCTGCGTCTGCGTCAGAAACTGGCTTCCTTCTCCTGTCTTACACAGGAGGAGCAAGAATACCAGATGAAGCGTTGCAGCAGCGCCGGTGGCGGCAGCTCCTTTAAGTTTTACTCTCTAGACGGTCCAGAGGCCTGCTTGACCGCCGTCGAATCGCTCACAACCTTGAAGGGTGGCGGGTGTATCGACTCCAGCGAGAGTGGACGGAATGTAAGCGCACTCTGCGCGGACCGCTACCACAGTGAGGCGGAGTTCGAGCGAGTTGTGCGCAAACGACGTATGCGACTGCTGATTGTTACTGAGAAGGCCTTCACCGGCGTTGAGGCTGTCTCGCCTGACGAGATTCGAGTGCCCGGCTGCAACGGTCTGTGTGCCCTTTGCCTAAACCTGGGCTTTTTTTACCCTTTACGCAAAGTCGGTCACACAAACACCTCTAGATATACGTAGGTGTCCATTGTGGTTATTCATCGGATCCAAATGGCCGTGCTTACAGTTAATCTGGCTCTTTGTTGAAAAGGGACGGTTCGTTCTGCAAGCATAGTACTATTTAGTCCTGGAGTGAATTTTAAAGGTGTTTTACGCTTTCACCACAAAACACAGTCATAAATGTTATTTTAAACCAAAATGGACAAAGGGATGATAAAAGAACCGTGTTGAATGACATTACTTTGTGTACAACATCAGCTGCCTACATCTACGCCATGGTTCACCAGACTCTTGGATGACGCTCTTTGGGAAAGTGTACAAACCTCGAACATGCCACCTGGCGGACTGGCATGTGCCTTAGACTCGGGGTTTTCAGGCATTTCGGTGCGCGTGGATGTAACCAACACCCACTAGCCAAGCAGTTAGTTTAGCGTCTGGCGCCCTGTGCACTGGTGAGGCGTGAGTCATTGCGGACTCACACGCGCGCACCACGGGTTCTGCAGCCTTCGGCCAGCACAGCGCCAGCAGCTCGGGTGAAGGGCATTAGTCACTCGAGGGTAGCATCATAAGTGCTATGAGCCGAGCACCATCCAACTGGTGGAATGGTCGATTCGTGTGGGAAACTGAAAGGATTTTGGCGTAGTGTTAACATGAGTACTCTTCTGCTATGGATTGATAGCTTGTGTGTATTTTCTACAGGGTTCTCCTCTTCAACACCTTTTTTTATAACGCCTGCGCAATATTCAAACTGTCAAAGTCCGCTGACAGTGTAGTTGCCCAAACCTATGAAGCCGGAAGAATCGAATCGTACGCACACACATAGCCACGCAATGTATTCGTGCAGTGGAATTTCCATTGTGAATCACCGATTAGCTTGAAGAAAGACTCTGCCAATAGAAAGGGGACCACATCAACCCCAATCAGTGACCCTCTAATGCTTGAAGTCCTTCGTCTTTGTAAATCCGTTAATTTGTTGTCAGTCATTTATAGCTACAAAATTGTCCATTATCATTACTTCAAACTCAGGCCAAAATACTACTAAAAGTGATCGCATGGCCTTTATTATCGGCCGATTCTGATTGTGTAATTTATTGCGCAAATATTTACCTCATTTTATGACTGTGTTTGAAAATAAAGCTGCACAAACGTACCCCTCAGGCGGTATTCACGAAAATCAAGAAAATAATTCCTCTGTAGGGGACCTTTGTGAATAGTTTCATGTCATTAAAGTGGCGATTGAACTATCTTCCAAAAGAAACGAAGCTTGCACAATTTAACATCCCAAACTTAGCACATCAAGCTTTGGATTCGGACGTGCCCACTTGTGTGCACATCATCACCCGTACGGTGCCGAACACCCTTTTTCATCGGCGTCAGCGGACCTCAATTCGATAAGAAATAGCAAATTCACTTACACCCGAATTATTGCCAAATGATCTCTCAAAGAAGACTCATAGTGCGTGGTTGTTCAAATGGAGCGTTGATAGGCTGCCAATATAGCCTACTTTTTGTAATGAAACAATGGCAGAATTAAGAATCTATGACTATCAAATAACTTTTTACAGCACTGATTAATAAACAACGTCAGCAAACGAATATTTCATCATAATCGCGTCACCTTTGGTTTGCATTTTTTCAAAATAAGCGAACGCCGACATTTTGCTTGCTTGTAGGGACAATGCCACCTCGTCAAGCAGCCCAGGTTCTCTTTCCGAAAATCATAGTCCCCTTACAAAAGTACCTACGACTGACGCGCTTGCAGCATCTGCACCCACCGGACACCATTCTCTCGCGACTCTCTGTCTGTCTTGCCCATTCGGCGTCTGCCGAGGCCTTTCTCTCCGTCTTCCGCAGCGAGGAGCCCAGTTCCAGCGTCTTCGCAGCATTTTTGGCGCCGCGGCGACCTACTGGTCTCGGAGCGGCACCTGAAGCCGTGGTCGGATGCTACAGGCCGTCGTCGCTAGCCCACGTTCAACTGGCACAGTCCTGGCGCCTCCACCTCATTGACGCTGAGGGCGCCTCTCGTCCTCCCGCCATGTTTCTCAAGCCTGGAACCCGCTTCCACCTCTCCCGCGCCGGTGTTACGCTTTTCTGCCATATCCATTTGGAGCCTCTGCTTAGCCTTAAAAGGGTCAAACAGACGCTGCGGATGGTGGAGGAAACCTTCACTCTCTGATCCGCTTCCTTTTGCATTGTTGTCGTCTCGTTTTTACCCTCATCCTAATGCACGCTCTCGGACGTCAAATGCTATCGCATTTCTCCCCACACTCCTTTCTTTTCCAACTATCTTGTTTCATTTTATGATAAAGTATGCTGATACGAATTATCTATCGATATGAAATACTTACAAATGTTTTGATTGTGTATTCCAGTTCAATGACCGAAATGCCTTCTCTTGCTGCATTTATTTCAGGTTCGGCGTAATACATTTCATCGAGGGACTTTCTACCCGTAAGCCTAATAACGTGTCGATTCTCTAACCGAAACCGGCCTTAATCCACTCAAATGTACAACGAACTTTATGCGATTGACGCAATATTACAGAGTTATTGAGGTAATTATAGCCAAGCTGGTACCCATTTGAAGATGTGGACTGTCTAATGCTTGTGCGGTTATTACGGTAACATTTGATTAATCATAGAGCTTCGCATCTGTTGGAGCGTGGGAAGAACAAATATAAAAAGGAATTGGAATAAGAAATGTCAACTTTCTGTGCTGTGGATCGAACCCTACTCCTGGTTTGGTGAAAACAAAAGGTTCTTCGCTTTCCTGTTGCGTGCCAGTTTCTTTGACGTCTTTTGTGAAGATTGATTTGAACTTTCAAAGAGGGAATGTGAAGCGGAACAATTTATGGTTATTTGAATCGCAACTGTGTAGGGAGGACGTAAATGGTCGTCCCAGGTAGAATAGTTCGTCTCGACATTCTGATGTGCTTAGTCTGCTCAAGGAATATTCCTAGCATCTTGATAGATGTTTTTATTGGGTCCTTGAAGTCTTCCGAAATATAGACTGTTCTATTTGTTTGACCAAAATTGCCCGATGATGTAGGAGCGTTGGTTTGTTTTCTTGAGCTACCTTTTGGAAACGCTCAACCAGGTGAGTGGGTGAATAATTCACAAGAAGGTTGGTCAGAACAAATGGTATAATTCAAACAGGTCGTTGTGGCTTTGGCACCCCGTTCCCCATCCCCGTGGCTGTGCATACAAAACTATAAAATCAGAAATCACGAAAACATTAACGGAACCTAATGGGTGTAGCCAACACTACAGCACTCCTTGTTAGCTTGGAAAACGCCTTCGGGGTGTGGTTTATTTAAAGTCTACCTAACATTGAAGTCGGCGTCACAGCTTCCTGCATTAGGATTCGGGTAACCCAAATAACACTGCCCTTCTCACAAACCTTGGAAATCCGCAATCTCAGTTCTTGAAGTAAACATTCAAAAAAATCAAGTGGATGCCTAATGAGATTTTTATGATTCCCACAGGTTGTAGAGGTCGCTGTCACGCACCATCATATTTCCATTATAGAAGCATTATTGCGAGGTTTTGAAGTGGGTTTTTTGGAAGTATAGCTCGGAGGCTGCTGGAGTATTTTAGATCACGACGATTTGACTCTTCTATAGTTGCGCTCAGCTGTGCATGCGCTGCCTGCCCGTCCATCTGTCCGTCCGGCCGGCCATAGTGTTCTCGTTTGGTGCAGTGGGTCGCTTGCTTGTAGCAGTACACGATCTCAAAGCTTCAGCCGGACTCATCTGATGACTGAGTCACAGATGCGACTGGTGCGCCTTCTCGAATCGGAAGGACTGGTTGGATGCGACCAACATGACAGTGGCAGAAGACACGGGGAGGAGGAAGGGCGGGGGAACGGGAGAATGGGTTACAGACGGTATAACTCCAACCCCCCCGTGAGTTTTCCCTGTGGAAATTTTTGAAGTGAGAAGGCAGACGAATTAAACGTCCTTTTTGTGACTGTCAAAGTCAGAAATTGTCTCTGGTCACGCAAGCGCATGCAAGATGTATGCAGAAGTGGGAATATGCTTTTGCCTCTAACTCCAAGTTTATTTATTCGAATTGGGACCCGCGACTAGTGACTCCTTGGATTAGAAAATACATACAAGGCATTGCAACCCATTATCCACATAATTTGTGTGAGCATACCAGCGATTCACTGTGACAATGGATTAAATATTCACATTAAATTAATAAATTGTCTTATTAGCATTAGGTCGTCGTTATTTCATCAGTCCTTTTTGTTTGCATGCACAACACTTTGCTAGTTGTATTTCCTTTTACCTAGTTTTGCAATTTCAGAATTATAGTACATATATGCAGCCATATTAATAACATATTTGTTCAACCCATTTCAATGAAGAAACTAACCGGTTTTGGGTTTTGTAACACTCCATTTCGTGCTGCATAATTGTTCAGCACCGAAACCAAAACTACCTTGCACCTGAATCGGTCTCCTGTGAATCCTGACCTTCGGCTCTTAAAATTACAAATTCAAAAGTAACACGACGTTTAAAGTCGCCTACGTAACCCCACGGAGTCGGTGCATATCTAAAGGCATTTCAGTAGCTGAGTTCTCAGCGAAGTTATTTTGTGAAATTTTGAGCTCCCGAGCCTACCGTAGCTCAGTCAGCCCTTTTGTAGGATTTCTTCCATTATACAAGGACAAGCAGCGGAGATGTGAGTTTTGTAATTTGGCAGATCATTGGTGGCTACTTTTTGCGATGAGGCCCGCAAAGGATAGGAACCCAGAAAGTTATTTTCTTGGTATTTAATGCAAATGATGAGTCATGGCGTGGAGTGTTCCGACATCGGAGTGGCAGTCCGAGGTGCTTTTTTGCCTTTCAAATGTCAGCCAGCGTACACCGACGGCAGCGCAGTTGGTCGCAAACAGAAAAATCTGACTAGCAGCTAATCACAAAGTGTGTTTAGATGACATTAAAGTTAATGAGGTAGTTACTTTACAAAAGGGACGCGCCTGATTAGGGGAAAAAACAAATCAGAAGGAAAGATATATCCATTATTTCCCGCAACATTCTGGGAATGATATCATTTAGAATTCACTCATCGCTTCCGCAAGGATACAGAGTGAATCGTGATACAGACTCATCAGGTAATACGAATGAACTAAGCTCTAAAAGCGGCACTGGGTGTTTTAACTGCGGCATGTTTTCAAAAATACGAAATTATTTTAACTTACCATCAATGCACAAACAAAAACTTGTCCCACTGTAATATTTGGGTTTGATAATTAATGAAATTGAAAATAATAAACAAGTATTAACGAAATGTATATATGTGTTAAATGGATTAGTAAAATCAAACAAGCAATTGCTCTCTCCAACAATTCATAGAGATCAATGCCTAAGAAAGCTTGTTCACCACAAATCAAGGATTAAAGGGCCTGCAAAAGAACCCCGATGCCATCAAATTCTACACGCCGTAATACATTTAGTGTGTTTAGCTCTCGGTATTGAAAATGAACCAATTTGTGGATCCGCCACCGCACCTTCACCAGGAAAGCTAGGCCTCCGGGCCATGCAAGCAGCTCCAGGCACAACTGTAAACCGGCAAAGCCTATTCCACTACAGCGTCAAGTTTTTTCACATCCAGAAAAGTCTTGAGGTGCTATACACACTAATAGTAAAATTTAAATTTTCCGTGATCATTAAAAAGTTCCCGCTTGTAAAGGTAGTCATCGGATAACTGAGAATGTACTGACTCAGCTGATAAATTGTCAGAAGAACCAAGCGGTGTGTTTTTGCTAGATCATTTGCAATATTTTGGAATCATAAGAGTCTAGGAAGGCTGTGTTCCAAATTTGTACATTAGCTTTGGTTTGGCATTCTGTTCAAGAGAGTGTGCTTCTGCTGTAAGGCGAGACCCTCGTGCAGTTGCTAGTAACTTTGGTAATGCATGCAACTTCATACCACTTTGGCCTCTTACTATAGTGCCTCGTGACTTCCCTGAGGGCAAATGAAGACGTAGTACTCAGGCAGAACATGCATGTTTGACGCACAGTAGTGCTTGGGGCTACTGGCATGACCCAGAGCGCGGTTCAACCAGCGGAGGTACAGTCGTGGAGATTCATGGAAGTCCCTCTTCAAAACCAGCACTTAAACAAACACATAAATATTCTTAATTGTAGGTGCAACGCAATTAGTCACAGAAATGATCAGATTGGCTACGAATTTGCACTTGTCATTTTTGTTATGTAAGGTGTCGAAAAAGGCACCACTTTAAGCGCGTGGGCTTTTAATCTGTCCTGGTTTCGACGCGTTTACTCCATGAATTGTGTTGTTTCGACGTTTCTTTTGGACATATTTGAACAAAGCGAGCCAAACCTTGAAAAATTCAAAGGTAACTTGCCCTATAAATGCATGGTGTTTGAAGTCTTGTGCAACTCAGTCGATGTTAAGTCACTTGACTTTTCGGAGATTGTTGAGTTTGGTACAATGCTACTGTATACTGAAACACTCATGCTTTCGAGTTTGATAAAAATCTATCAGAAGAAGAAGAAGCAAGATGCCTCTTCTGAGAGCATCCATCAAATATCAGACAGGGCCAGAGCTGTTTTACTTCAAATGGACAGTCAGGCATCGTTTTTGTCGAAGAAATGCCCGGACCTGTCAACAAATACAATAAGGTTGGGTATTAGTTGTATGGTATGTAGAGGTACCACCTGAATTGTATGGATGTTTCCACATTACATGTTTAATTACTTAACATTACCTTGTAACGGGCGATATGCCATTTTGGGTCCAGCTTCTATTGTTTTGGTTCTCAGTTTGAATGATGTCTTTGCAGAAAGAGAGAAAAGTGGAAGAATGGCCCAGATATCACCTCAAATTAAGTGCTGCTATCCACAAACTTGTATCCATAACAATTCCGATTGAACGAGAGTCGTCAAATGAAGCACCTTGTACAAAGACTATACCGTTTAGTATGTTATTTTCGCAGCTCTCAGAGTTCGCTTTGCATAAGAATTCAGGTATGTTATTGGAGAGGTTTTCGTAACTTCTGGTAGATGATCATCCTTCTTTATGGGTCGATGATGCAGCGGTGCGATCACGTGTGAGTGACTTGTACCTCTGCATTCGGGTATGTTCGAATTGTAACGTTGGACGAAGTTACAGGTGGCAAGTTAAACATTGCGTTACTTCATCTTTTTAATTTCCTAGGGGCGTAATGGCAATGAACATCACCTGGTGGATGAGGAAAAAATGGTTACGTCTTGGCAAATTGCGTTAAACTTTTTCCACCTTCCCTTATCCATCGCTACTCAAACAGGTAATTTATTCCCAAATTGTGTTGATCAAGGTGGACGTTGTGATCGCTAAGACTTTTAATTATCATATTGTAACTACAGTTATCATCCTCCTCCGTACAGCAAGGACATTTGCTAGCTTAGTAAAATCATTCATTGACTTCTTTACGATGAGGGTTACTTGACTTCAAAAGTATGATTAATGGTATTTGAAGAACGTGCTCTCGAGTACAGCATCTGTCTAAGCATGCGTACACGTTCTTGTCATATCACTTTAGGCTTATGCTGCTTCATTTCAGATGCGGCAATACAGCTCGAATGTCTCCCCCAATCTACTCCGAATAAAAGTCGTCCCCAAGTGAAAAGGCTGCTACCGGGTGTCAACACAAACTTCCTAGACGGTCTTTCCACTCCACCCGATACACCTGGTGGGTACTAGTCTGCCTTCAGAGTTCCCTTCACAGATTAATTGGATGTTTCCTATTTGTATTTTTTTAAAGTGGTTTTTCTGGTAACTTTTGTGAACCAGACGGCACTCTAAGCGTTCGTTTTTATCGCACCATATTATTCTCTGCTTGTATCACGTGAAGTCATAGTAACTTTTTGAATTGAGAAGGCGCTTTGCCTCAAAGGCGGGTTGTGATATGGCGCGTGCATTATGTTCACGGCGACTTTCCCTTCTTTTCAAATCATGATAAATTTTTGGGACGAGTGCGGCACCTACTACTTACCTCATGTATTTTAATAATGTCTACATTAACTGCATGCCCGTCCAGGGAAATCACCGAAACCTAAAGTGCCCAAGAAGGCCCGGAATCTGAGCCTCACATTGCCGAGCTGTGACGAAAATGACGCAGCATCAACGGCGACGGACTGCGTGGCCCGCCGTCGAAAGCCCTGGACACTCTCGGAGACACTGGCTCTGTGGCACGAGGTGCAAATCGCCCTCCCCGGCCCGCCCTCTTGGGCGAAAATACGCGACAAGGTCTTCACCTCCTCTCGGCGCACAAATGTCGACCTGAAGGACAGGTGGCGAGTAATTCTGCGGGACCCCTCTCTGCAGATGAATATCCGCCAGTACTACGAAAAGTGGCTAGCTAGTAAGAAACCGACCTAGTCCCAAGCGCTCTTCTATTGCCTTAGCGTCCTTTTCATATTTACGACAGTTGGAATCGTGTATTTAATGAACCAACACCCTTACACACTAGCATTTATATTAAAAAAGAGCCAAGTTGGCACTCGAGTTCGTTCATATTGTATAACCTAATACCGATGAAACCCTCCTCTGGATGACCGAAGGAGTAGCACTATTGTGGAACACTTTGTACGAGCAAGCGACGGATGAATGGGATAGTGAAGACTCGGATTCACTGATAGAAAAAGAGAACGGAAGGTAAGTACATTCATAATTTTACTCACAAAAAGAAGGATTTTGCATGAAGCGCGGTGGAACGTGTCCCCTGCGGGCATTTCACAGCAAGATGAAAACAGTGCGGCCACGCGACCCTTGCCAGAGTGAAAGAGTTGTCTGCTATTTCTCTACAGTTCATCCTTCCCTGTAATACCTATAACACGTAGTTTCAGAAGTGGGTATAACAGTCAATGTAAGGTACGAGATTGCCTCCGTAACATGTTAACGATAAAGAGTCATTACAGTTAATGTTCACCTCAAGGGATAACGTGAGCGTTAAACTGAAGTGAGCCTAAGACAAGGACGAGTGATTGATTGAGAGCTACGTCACTTACAAATGCTACACCCAAAAGGCATTACTAGCCCCGGAAAATTAAGTGTTCGCAAACCTTATGGATCAATAAAGTACAACTAAGCTGAAAAGTACCTTGCGTTAGAAGTGAGTCGGAAGTGGTGTGCTCCTTGGACGTATTTTTCTTCACATCAGCAAAGCGATTTTGGAGGGCGGTGATTTCATTATCATAGTCCTTCCATTCGGGTATAATTCGCATTGCGGCGGAGAGTTTGGGCTCCTTAGTCATTGGGTTGTTGCAAAGGTCAATTGTCTTGGCTTGCGCCTTGCCCTCGTCCGAACACCACGTCTCACACCAGAGCCAATCTTGGGAAAGTGACTTGATTGGCACCTGGAAGGAAAGCCCGTTAAAGGATCAGTTGTCCACGCATTTCGTCAATCGTAACACAACATAACAACTCTGGGATATGATGATAGTGCTGTAGGTACGAAAACCATTAAGATCCTAATTGGGTTGAACAATTTAGGGCATGATTAATCATGGAGGCGTAAAGCATTTATGCAAGGGGAATGCCCGGTGGATTCACTTGGTGAATCATATTGTTGGGAAGGTCCTGATCTAGGTTAGCTAAACTGTTTGGGTCCTTTGAAAGGGCATGGTATTGTCCACGCAGACGATCGCCAGCGGCCATCTTGCGGAATCGGACCAGGTCAACCACGTAGAGCGCGGATATGTGATAGGGGCGACCACCCAGGTGGGATTGCCAGTAGCCGCTTTTCCAGAAACGGAAACCCTCCATCTCCTTCCGTGAATCACAGAACGGTGTGTAGCCGTATGGTGCACCCTCCAAATCGAGGTTCACCAGCTCTTGCAAATCTGCACGCACGATCTGATAGTGCAAAAGATCAGCAAAAAAGAATGCAAGTGAATGGGGACCGATGATTGCGAAAGTAACGATGCAACATAATTAATGAACATGAACTAGGAGAAAACACCTGATCGGCATCGACGAAAATGATCTTTTTGACACTAAGGGGGAAGAGGACATCGAGGAAAAGGATTTTGTAGCCCCAAATAATGCGTTGTTTTTCCGCCTGAGCATGCAACCAACGAGGCCACTGGTACTGCACTAACTGGTACTCAAAGCCGTACTCGGCAGCCATGTGGGGAATGAACTCCTTGAAGGAGGGCGACAGGTAGTTCTTCAGAAACCAAAATTTGACAGGCGATTTCGTGTTCCGAATCACGCTGAGCATCATAATGCTAGGGCGAAAGAGAGTGAGACTTAGAGCTAATCGTAGATGATTGGGAAGCATTACGCTTATTTAAGATGCATTAGAACTGATAATGTTACGACCAACGTACCGAAGGAAACGTTCATAGAGGTGCCCGGAGGCCAAAGAAAATATGTTGATGGTTTCATTGTTCGGATTTCTTGCCGGATCCTCAGATGCATATGAAGACTTTTTGATGAAATTTAGTGTACTATGTGAAGAAATGGTCAATGATAACTGCCAACAAAGTGCTGTGCAGCTGTTTAAGAGTTGCAAAACAGATTGAACAACTTAGCTATACCAATAAATTCACCCATTTCGCTGTAATGCCAAGAGACAGGATCAAATAAGAGACTTGATAGGCAGCCTATGAGAAACTAGAGAAAAAAATAAAACGGTAGTACAAATATCAAGATGGCACGAACTACCTGTCAACAACGGACCAAAGTTTCTCAAGAGGTTTCCCCCGATTGCTGTCGTCACTGGACAACTTCGCTTCACCTTCATTCACGTCTAAAACACTGTCCCTGAGGTGACCCGGTTTCTTCTGAACATCGGTGCGAATTATCTTCGGACGGAAGCTGTCGATGACAGCTATTAGAGAGGGCACATCTGGGGGGCTATCTGCATATTCGTGTCTAAAACAGTAAAAGACTCATTACCCGTTGACATAAATTAATTCGATTAGGCGAGAAATCTCATTTACGAACAAACTGTTAACATCACATCCTCAAATTGTCAACCATCCGTCTGAAATCAGATTCATGAAGTGCTTTAGGGGAAGCGAATTTGCTTCTCAATGTAACCCGATAAGGTAATGAAGGCATGTAATGAAGCCTAAGTATTTTCCATCGAAGAGAATCGTCGACGAGACCTATTAACAATGAGAATTTGTGGGCCTGTCTACACTGTCTTGGCAAAATAGAGTGCGTAATTACCCGATGATGTTGTAGATATCACGCGATGGACCTTCCCTCAAGTTAAGATGCCAAGCGCCGGGATTCGCCTTTAGTTGAAAATAACCCTAAAGCCACCCAAAAGAGGCTAAACTGATTAGCGAGCCACAAAAGATTGACATCTGATAAATGAATGAAAATAGATAAACAAGCTAACTTTAATCGATATTGACCAGTAGAAAAGAGGCTAACTGAGAACTGGCCTTAAACGAATGAGGTTAAAAAGCCTTGGGTGGTCATACGTACTTAAATCTAACTTTGACTCTCCAGCAAAGGCAAATGATTCGATACGATTCAATAGAAGCACGCAATTATACCCAGAAAGTAACGGTAATCAAAAACAGAATCGATGAAAAAAAGTGATTGGACTTACCAGATTCGCCATTACAATGGTATCATAGCGGTCCAACTTTTCAGCCGTTCCGAGAGTGAACTGGAGGCCTCTGGGAGGCTGCCTGGTTGACTCGTCCAGACAGTGACCCTCGAGCAGGAGGTACTCCAACTCGAACTCCGCATCGACTCGATGATTGCCAGTGTGAGCGGCAATATCGGCAAGCCGCAAATTGTCCAAATCCTCCTCGGCTCGAATAGGCGCCACCATCCAGTTGTGGGGTGCGTCGACACCGAGGATGAGAAGGGATTGCCCAGGCAGCTGGTCAAAAAATGCCGATGGAGGATCGGCCAGACCCCCACCTGGAGCATAGAGACTCGGATGCCAGACGAAGCGATAGTAACTAGGGTCATAAAAACGATACATCAAGTAAAAGGTAAAAGTTGTCGACCACTCCAACAGGTAAGCACTAAACGAACTTCTTCAAGGGAAGATCACTGAGTCCATCTACTGGGTTTAAAATGACGGTGATGCTACAAGGGAGGGATCTTTGTAAGACGAGCAGTATTTGGGAGAGGCGTTGTGCGTCTCGCGAGACTGGATCCACCAGAGCGACAATATCATAATTCAAACCAGCGTTCTTTGCAGGTAGCGTGAACGCTGAATAAGTCGACTTTGTGCCTCTGAAGGTCATGCGTGAGATGCCACTACTTGTGAATATACCCTCCGAAGATAGCTAAAAATGTTCGGACAGTAGTGGTGCGGAAGTGAATCTAGCACTCCCAAGAACTTGGAGCAAAGTTCCAACTTACACTTTTGGCGAAAGCGTTCAGTCGCCACTTGGCTGATTCTAGTACAGAAGCCGCCCTCCAGACGAGTTCAGAGACGTAATTAGAAGAAGTTGTGTCAGGAACCATTTTAGTGAGGCGTTTAGCCATTTCGTCCATACCTGCACTCCTGATAGAGAGCTTCTCGGCCAGTCGGAAGTCCTCCGAGGCAAAAATTTCGTTGTCTCCCAAGGGACCATAAACACGACCATTAATAATAACCGCGGAGTCGCCCGGTTGCATGCGAAGTGCCTTCTGACAGAAGGTCATATGCAGAGAGAGTTTTTGGTCCAGATCGAGCTCAGTGAAGGCTTGTAGGAATTTGTCAACCTCAAGACCCTTTTGAAAGAAAGCCCAAGAGATATATTACAGCGTAACAACAAGTTACAACGATTTCGCCACCACTTTTGATGCGGATTCTTCCGTTAAAAGAAAGAGTCCAAAAAAGGACTAGGAGGGATTTTGTTTACACTCATTACAAGAGCAAATGTAGGCTTAAAGTATGAAGGAGATGCTAGTTTGAAATAAATAGTATTAGAAACTAAAGTTAGGTTTCCTTTGCAAGTGAACAAAGTACTACCATCGACATCTGACGGAGAACGAAGCCAACATTTCTCGATATGAAGCATTAGGTCCTAATTTAAGCCAAATGGGAAAAGTTGCCTCAGGGGTTTTGAATGCATGGCGGACCACACTTAAAGCAGCAGCAAAAGAGCAGATGGGATAAGTGAAGTTGACAGGATTCGTTAGATTTTACGGATGGTCTACTCCTCCACGCTTACTGTGACAGCCAATTCGGAAAGCGGACGAACTCCCTTCATTTCGCCTCGTACCACCTTGAGAGCCTCTTCGGTGATTTTGATGACAAAGTTTTTGGCCGCCATGATATTCATATACTTTTGGGACTGTTCGACAGTGGATGGATGAAGCATGCGCTCAGCTGGATGACCAATGATCAGGAGGGCCCGAGTGAGCCAGCCCCAACCACCCCAGATGTTAACCGCCTGACCAGTCGGAGGACGAGAGGGGTTGAGGACGAGGCCAAGGCGTGTACCCATGGCCGCATGCCGGCGCATGAACCTGGCCGCCTGTGCAAGCAGTTGGAGACTATGGCTGGAGATGACGCCAGCCGAAGGTTCCACATCGCCAAGCACTACCCACACCGTATTTGCACGGGTCTCGCTCTCAAGTTCTGGGAGAGTCAGAAAGCGAGAACTCGTCAGGAAATAGGCGTTAGTTTGTCGCAAATAGGTTTTGATGATATAAAAGGACTGCGCAACCGGGCGTGATACCTCTCAATAAGGCGGAGTAATTGTAAAAAACCAACAGTTTCAGATCGAAGACAATTTGGGGAAAATACTAGAAAAAAACACAATCCTAATATTAATGATCAGTACCAAACCAAAGCTACGGGGGTACAGATTCAATAGGCAAGACTTCAAGTAGTTAAAAAATGAGCTGTAGATTATGAACAATCACTGTGTGAAGGTTGATCGATGTCTAATTGCAAAATGTGGTCACGTGGACTCTCCAGCTTCCATGATTTCAGTTTCCTTTTTGGTAGCTTGAGAATTTTCCCACGCCCATAGCCTCCCAGCCCTTGTGTACGCTAACAATAGGTCTCCATACTAGTATGCCTTAGGACGTTCAGAAGGGCTTGAGGGATTGGTATGCTGCGTGAATATAATAAAGAGAAAATTCCCAGCACGTAGTAGTGCCATTAAATGAACTTTCTTCCGACAATACGCATTGACCACATAACTATGAGCTCGAAACGCCACCAACGGGTCTTGCAAATTATTGCAGATATTTGTTCGAACAACAAAGAACTTGCTAACATAAACACCCATGATTTTGTAGTGAGATGAACTTACCACCTTTTTGTAGATAGCGCATTTCATCAGCCAAATAATTTGTGATTTCCCCAGCTGATGCATTCTTCATATCCAAACCTGGGAAGTGAAGTCGGGATGATACAGATCCACAAAATTGAAAAAAAGTAAATAGATGTTGATAAGAGAAAAGAGCATTTCTACCTCCGTTGGGGACATTAAACCGACCAAAGTGGAGAAAGGGAGTCACAGAAGTGTCATCAGACCCATCCCCAAGAGAAAATTTATTGACCAGAGGAGGCAAGATGGGCAAGAGACGGTGGTTCACCCGAGAGACAAACAGGTCATCTGCCGTGAACAAATCCACCACGGACAAACTGTCGTGTAGTCGACCCTCAAGGGCGGCTTGCTGGAAGTAGGTAGTCTGTTCCAACGCAGCTGTCATGATGGTCTCCTGCAAGCCGCCCATCTTGCTGATTCCATCCATGGAGAAAACCATCCCATTGGAAATGAGGCTGGAAGAGCCCACAGACTGCCTAATACCACTTATGTCCAAGTAGTCGTAGTGATTCTAGGAAACACAATGAGAATGAAAAGTTCATTAATGAGCACAGAAAATTACGACACCTGTTACATTTGTGTCGGCGTCCTAATTACACATCACCAGAACGCACGACAGATATTGGAGACGGTTACAACCCCAGAGACCCCCATAATTGCAAGTTGTAAAGATTTAAAGTTCTTGAAAGGTTGAATTTTTGTCCTTCACCCCAGAGTCGCATTGTCGGAGAGAGTTGCATCATGTCTTCTCTCGTCTGCCTTTTTCTGATCAGTCGATTTTTGTGATATTTCACCTTGTGTGCCTATACCTTTCTTAGTTTTCAAAACCATTCACAACTTGTAAGTACCTGAGGGTCGTGATCATACTTTGGTCCCTGGACCGAGGAAGTATAGCTCTAGCTCTAAAGGTTTTTGCCTTCGCAATCTGCGTTCTAATGGAATCATGAGTAGCCAATGAGTTGCTAAGTTCAGCGAGGATAGCCAATCAGCAGCGAGCATTAGCGAGTCCGTGACCACCTTCATGTGCACGTGCCTATATCATTATTCACATAGCATCGCGGAACATTTTCCTACAACGCGATTCAGACAAATATAAAATCACTTAGGGTTTTCGGAATCCCAGTAACCGGCAAATGTGATAAATCAACGGTGATTACACATTCGTCAGAATGAAAACTGTCCATACACTGACAGAAAGCAAATCAAATAAATGCTTATGTAAAATTGAAATATCAAGCTGTTATTTATGATGAAAACTTAAATATTTGGAAAAGAAAAAAGCCACAAAGGCGGTTATAACAGATTTGGAAATGAGTCTTTTCGTTCCCAAAATTATTTGAAAAAATCGTAGCTTAAAGGGGTCCCTTTACCTTGATGAATCAAATACAAAAGTAAAAGTACTTGAGGAATTGCTTGTATCTTGATTATGATAAAGCCAGGGTTTGAGGCAATGTGTTATTGCTCAAATAAATAATTTGTAGTAAGGTAAAATTATTGAAGCTTAAATTTTATCGAGATAAGGCGGACCAGATTTCATACCAGAATCAATTTACTTTCAAACCTCTTAAGTAGTAGCTGGTAAATTGACCAGTAGAGATAGCAAAAGGATGTCGGTAATACCTTAATTTCAGCATCGTAGGGACACTGAAACCCCGGTTCAACAAAAACGTCCTCATGGTAGGCTTCAGGAAAACTGCTTTCGAACTCAGTCTTGACAAAGTCATTAGTGAGCAGGTCTTTGTCACCGTTGTTGGAGTTGGCATAGAGGTCGGTAAGGAAATTAAGTGCAGTAATGGCGCCAGGATTGCCGAGGCCTGGCGTGACGCCACGACGATTTGGATATGTTTTAACGTTACTTGCAAGGTAGTTAAAAGCGCGAACCATGCTTCGACTCACAGACTCCACCTCAGGATTCACAGACCACAGGAGACCAATGCTGAAGCAAGACAGAGATATGAGAATGGATTTGTAATAGAACTTCTAACAGAATAACCTTCACGAACCTCCATTTTCAGCAGAGGCAAAACAAAGACAACGTTTTCATTGTTGTTTTCGTTGAGGGAAAGTAAATGTATAGAATCGGTAGGATTGCCAATGCTCACACTCACCGAATGGGAACCTTCTTCATAATAATGATTTCAGCCAATTTAAGCATTTCAATGGAAGTTGGTTGCGAGGGGTCGACAACAAACACAACGTTGAAAAGATTCTTCCGGATATGGCGCAAAGCACCCGGTGGACCCATCGTAAAGAGGGCGTGTATGCTGGCCATCCAACTGTTGTAGCCGGAATTTCGCTCAAGGTCGTTCAGGAACAGAATTGGTGCGTTACGCATGTCTAGAAGATGTTCACCAGTGACTGTGTGCTTGTAGCTCTCCATGAAGGTGCTAAGGCGATAGGAGTCTTCACCTTTGGGAGAAGCCTGCAACAACTGCGTTGCCTGGCCAGTCTGTAACGCAGAGCACGACGCTTACATTTGTGACTGATCTGAAGAAGCTATACTAATGTTTAGACAAAAAATCATGAATGAAGGAAAACTAAGAGAAGTTTTGAAATATCTCCAAAAGCCAGTCATAGTTAGGTCAAAGTAAGCAAACATAATAAAGGTTTCTATAGAAGCTGTGTACGGCGTCATGAAAGCATTGTAGTAAAGCCTACATAAAAAACGAATTGAGCATAGGAAATGCAGACAAGATTATGAAAAGGTACCACTGTAATGAATAGCTAAGACACAACTGGGCCATAAGGGTGTCAAGTAGAAAATATACATGAGTAAAGCTACCGGAGCCACTTTTAATGATACGCATTACCGGAGAGCAGCGCATTCAAGTAACGAACCACAGGGTGGAAAACAATGTAACAACGTGACAAATGCCATACCGAGAGCCCGAGCCCATGAAGCTGGTTGAGGAGGCGGCTCTCAGAGCGCAGAAGATCCAAGAGGGCGTAAATGTCAATGTCCGGTGAAAGAGCCAATCCATTAAGAAGAAGAAGGCTACTCCCTGGCCGTATGCCATAGAGGTGCTCAAGGGCTTCCTGATTGTATTTTATCTCATCTCTCAGTTTTGTGGACACTTTGTGCTGCGATAATTGGCTAAAAAAAAAATATTTGTAACTTACTAAAAAATTGGATCATGCAGTGCTAAAAGCTGAGAAATGGTTCCAATTTTCAGGATAATAACGAAAATCCATCCTCATAAAACTAAAAGTCACAAAGAAATACCACAATTTGTCTGATTTACGTAGGGAATCAGAGCTCACTAGGCACGGGAAGGGAAGTTCTGGCTTATATCCTGTAGCATTAGTAAGCCAGCGATGTCATTGCGACTTTCATTGGCAACATCCATAATGGTTTGGGCGGCTTGTAAGCCGAGATCTTGCATCTGCCAGGCTCTGAGGGGCTTCACTTCCGTGATGCCAGTGATGAGATGACTTTGAAAGGCGTTTAATTCAGTTGTCAAATGGGGATAGTTTGCACGCAGCTGGGTAAAATTAAATCCCTGTAGCGTGGACCCTGTCTCGTTTAGATCTGGCGTATCACCAGACATGTCTTTACTACCTAAAATATTTCAAGAGCGCACCGACACACTGCGCCATTTAGACAAATAAATACTAAATATTGCTTAATAACTATGCACTGTCCATACCCTCACTGTTTTTGTCATCCATAGCTTTATACTCGGTACTCTTTAAAGATAATGCGACGCCATATCCATTTAGCCATGTTTTTGATGAAGAGGCGGTCTATAATGAAAAAGCTCTTAGACGCACCCAATACATTTAAAATACAGACAACAACGCCTACTTTGAAAAAGTGTCTAAAGATGTAAACAATCCGATTCTCCTCTGCAAGCTGCTTTGCCTTCTTGTGCCAAGCGTAAAACTCTTTGCATCGCAGGTCGCCATGTATAACCAAACGCGGAACAGCGTTTGACTCATTCTTAGTTGGGTAAACATTATCAGAAAGTAATGCGGAATCAGCTAATGATTCGGGACAGCCTAAAAGTTAAGCTTACGATTGTTAGAAGCTTTACCATTTGAACAGGCTAAAGAGGCCTTCCTAACGGAGTCTTCAAGAATTTCCAAATTACATATGAACGTGGAACCGATGCGACCCCACGTCTTACTGCCTTTGCAAACCTCTGACTTGTCGAAAAACCACTGAAAATGTGCCACTCTAGCCATATGATTGGCCGTCTGAACTGCTGGTGATAGGGCCCTAGAAGCCAGAGTCAGACTAAACAGGCGTCTCTGCAAGTCGCGATTACCATCCGTATCCACTGGCACACCTTGGACGTTTAAAATTGTTTCTTCAAGCTCTCGCATCGCATCCAGTGAAATTTTCTCACTTGACGAAAACAAATCGGATGAACCATTAGTTTTTGACAGATATTCCAGACTATCAACAAAGTCCCAAAAATGGTTCGATGATAGCTGAGCCAAGAACTCCCTACAATCAAAAAAACCTGGGTGAAGAGGGAAAACTGATTGCACTATCGAGAAAGCCACTTTCAAGTAATCCCAATGAAATTGTCACGAAAAGTACTTAGTGTTTCCCTATGCATGCAACAGATGAAAATTATATCCATGATCTTGGGGTTAGGGCTAAACAATACGAACTCCAATGAAAACCTTTGACAGGAGCTTACGCTGCTTCAGCAATAATTGGCGTTTCTTTCCATGAGGACCCCAATTGCACAGACACTTGGTAATTGAGAGCGAGAATTGATTGAACAGGAAGAAAGCAAATACATAGACAACATATTCCTATAAACATCTAAAAGTACGTACGAATAGACAAAAAGCGAATTAGCTGACAAATCGTATTTTAATGATGAGATACTCGATTATAAAGACCAAGCCACAGGAAACAAAAGATATTATTGAAGAAAGTGTACAAGGGGCATTTGTAAGTGCCATGAAGGCGGGAATCGTTGTTAGCAGAACACAAAGAAAGCCCAATAATGGAGCAAACAAGATCGACAGGTGAGAAAAGTAACTTAAAAGAATATCCTTCCATGGATACATCAACAGACCCATTAAGGAACAGAGGTTTGTTAGTGTAAGCAGCTTAGTGATGTCCAACATCGTAAGGCTAAGCTCTGAAAAGTGGCTGAATACACACAATAAAAAGCCAAATGTGAAGGTAAGAGATATTTTAAGAAGAATGTAAAAATAGAGGTCCGAATTTACTGCTGCGTGGATAGTATCCGCGTCAAAGTGGTCGAAATTTTCTGTGCAGATCCAACCAAGAAAACCACTCAGGATACAGCTAAGAAGCAAAAGGTGAAAAATTCTCGGAAAATCAACGTTCCGAAGAATGTGTCGATAGGCCTCGATTTTGTAAACCAACAGATCTATCGCTATAATCGTGAAGTCGTATTCAACATATTTATCGACTATTCTCCCGCAACGCCCACACAACTGGAGGTTAATTATTTCCTTTGAGTACCGAGTGTATACATTTGGAGCCTGAGCACCGCAACAAATGCACACAAACATTGCGCGGAGAGATTTTGAGCATGGTAGACCCTGTGTGTAAACCACTTATTGGTCAGTTTGTTAACGGCTCCTATCAATATGGTACATGTGATACATATCGTCAAAGTTAATTAACTTAGTTTAATGGTAACAATTTCTGAGCACTTTTACACCGCATTTTAGGAATAACGAATTATTGTCCAAAATTATGAAAATGAGCTTGTTTCAACTGGTATTGGGGATGGTGCACCTAAGAAAGCTCCAGAACAAATTGCTATTAAATTTGTGTTTAAAAGTAAATATAACTGACAAAAAAGCAGAAACGAACTACCATAATGGTTAAACTGGGAAGGAGGGATGCTGGGGGGCCTAACATAAGTTTTTAATTTAATTCATTAAATTATTTACAAAACTACATCAAATGACGAAAGGTTCCTGGGCCCATAAATGGTGATACTAAAAGCGCTCATGCATATACTAAAAAAACAACAGTCTCTATTAATGTAAGCAACTTCGGCGGAGAACGGTAGAGCAACTTAAGTTCCATGGAAGCCCCAAGTAAACTCAATTTTTCTTGTCTATACTTGCGAAAAAGGACGATGCTAAAGGTATGTTCCAAACAGTGAAATAAAGCTCAGAATAGCAGTCACATCAAAATCTACCGAGAAGCAATACCTCAACTTCTTGCTCCTAAAGTAGAAATAGGCCAAATTGGAATGAAGGGGCACATTTCATGTTCGCATTCCCAAAGTACTATCTAGAAACCGACCAATTTGCAGCTATTAGTTTTTCTCATTTGCACAATTACTAACTCTGAAAACGAACTTTGCAGAAGTGTTTATGCTAGGTTCTTTACTTACAATGCATTAGCCTCATAATTTAGATTGAATAAAAGTCCTTTAAGAGCATAATATGGGTCATACGCAAAAGTTAAATTCTTGATTTAAGCATTCAGTTTTTTTTATTGCCTTGTACTAGTAATAAGTGGACCATTTTTAACCCTGGCGTGTCCAGGAACCCAACCTTGCGAATTTTCGTAGTGCCTAGGGAGCATTTACGGATCCTATAAGCCACACCTCAAAGTAAAAGTCTAACCTCCTAAGACTAAGCTCTTTGCTAGGTTAAACACGATATCAGGTTACCATATAGCTTTTTTCCTCTTCTGAACGTGTTTTCTGATACTACCCTGATCAACACTCTGTCAATTGCTGCAAAATAACCGGTGTATAAAAATCCTGCAAACAATGAACACTAGTCATTTAGTTTGCTTACATATGAGTAGACAATTAATTTCAACGCCGCGAGTACGTCTTGATATTTTCACATTATCTGAAGACTTATCCTCTTTGTAAAGTGCTCTGCAAAAGTGAAAATTGCACTGAGTTAAGAATAAACGATGCTGTACAAGAAAGCCATCTAGTGCGCCAGCTGGCACCCGTAAAAAAAGCTGACATGCATTTAGAGAAACTTAAATAACAAGTCAGTTTTGAGATGGTTTTGCACAACAAACGTTTAATATATATTATCTGCTGAGCTTCCTCCCCTTTTTGATTCTGTTCAGCCATTATTCTGCCTTCCGTTCGGTCAGTAAAGACGTCGAGGTCGTAAAGTACTTTAAACCAATGAACAGCCTGTAGAATCGTAGAACATAGGGGATTACAGGAAGACTCACAATGGGCAATTCTAAGTCTTTCAAGTCCAATGTCGCCAATAAACTTCAAGCAGAACACGAGACAGGCATGCATGATACATGTGAACACTACTAGGAGTTTTTACAGACTCCGTTATTCTCTGCAGACACACTAATTTTGTAACACTTAGATCTTTTGTACGGCCACAGATATAAGGTAAACCTCTTAAGTGGAGGTGGATTACCGCTGCAATTTTGAGCAAGTCTTGCCTGCATTCATAGTAGACCAGATTTGTGGAGGAAGAACCTGCAAATTCCAGTGTGGAGAATTGACGATAGTCTATTAGCTCGGAATGAAACCAGTACCAAAATAGTAAGCGCGGACTCCGCGGACAGAAAGGTCTGCAGGTTTGAATACACAGTCAAGCACTACACTAAGCTATTACAAAATGAGGCAGGATTTTCGTCAACATCGTCAAAATTATGGCCAAATTAGACTCAGTAAAAAATTCGCCGAATGATCATTTAAACAAAATTATATTTAGTTGAATTAGTAATCTAGAATAAGTAACTACTTTGGGTAGCTGAGGCAGTTTTAGGGAACTCATACCATTTATGACACAAAAAGCGCAAGTGTAGTGGGTATTTTGCGTTCTAAAAAGGCAAATTGCAAGTTTCGTTTATTGCGTTTTAATGAGTTTTTACAGAATAGTCCGGGCGGTTCTTGCCGCATTTGCTATATGCCTATTTCGACTTGGCGTATGTCTTTGTGTTTTTAACGACTAGATGAGTTGTTGCTTTCATCCTTTGTTTAATTAGTTACCATATTTCAGATTGATATTTACAACTCACATTATTATTAAGGCATGTGGCGTGTTTTGTGTTCAGTTTGTGAACCCCCATTCCCAACCATTGACAGCGGTCTTTCCTTGATGAGTAGGATCTTTTTCGTTGTATTTTTCCGGACTTTTTAAAACCTTTTCAAATTCTTGCATCCATTGAAGCGTACCCTGGATATATAGGTCTTTTTAATGGGATACTTTTCGACTTGTACTTGGTGTACTAAAGAGACGTTGAATTTTCTTACGTGTTCGCTGTTTTGTTCTGGTTTTTCTTTGTAGCATTTCCATTTTATTGGTATTGGGCATTTATTGTGTTAAAATGTCAGGCCTTTTTTGAAACTTGCATAGCTGGAGAAGAATTAAAGGTGTACATAATTAGTCTTATCAGCGGCGCATTTTTTTGACTGGAAAGTACGTATTTGGTGTTAAGTATGATATTGTCGTTGAATACACCTTTGTAATTTGTTTGAACCATAAGATGTTTGATCCCTTGATTCTTTAGGGTCCTGCTTTTCCATTCCTTGATAGCCTAACCCCGCGTTCCCCATTAGCTTGTGAACATCTGCACTTTTTTCCTTCGATGTCCTCATCTATTAGTCAAAGGGTGGAGGCACGTAGTAATATTAAACTGCTTACACTTTTTGGTAAAAGCTTGCAGATGTCATGATTCGACCCAAAGTTGCAGACGCTCTCTCATATCTCGACCAAGTGAAGGCTAGGTTTTCCAACCAGAATGCAATCTATAATGACTTTTTGGACGTTATGCGCCAGTTCAAGGCCCAAACGTAGGTTATATCTGTCTAATCCGTCCCACAGCATAGGCACTGATGTTGTCATCCGGCGTGTGAGGGAGCTTTTTGACGGACATCAAGATCTTATAATTGGCTTCAACACCTTTATACCTCAAGGCTATCGACTAGAAAGTCCCGCTGCAACCTCAAAGCCCTTGAATATTTCACTTTCCACGGTTGGTCAGGCATACTCATCTGAAATATCCCCTGGCAAACTGCCGTCATTCTCAGCATTTCGTCATCCCGACGTTTCATCACATGAGACCATTCCATCCAGTTCGTCTACGATATCATATCAACCAATGCCGCAAACTTCAGAAAACATATTTTACACCTCCGCTGTCGGCCAACCACCTGTCTTGCGTTCACAACTGACCACTTCAGATTCACAGCAGCAACCATTACCACACAATTATCAGCATATATCTACCCCCAACAATCAACCTATTATTGAAAGTCACATGGTATACCCTTCCAATATTCAATCATCCCATCAACAACAATCCTACATTCCAAATGTCCAGCAGCAGCAGCAGCAGCAGCAACATAACGCACAGTCATTTAATCACGCTATTATTTACGTAAACAAAGTCAAGGTAAGATAAAGCGGAGAGGGAATTATTTCTAGAATCGGTTTCAAGCAAAACCAGACGTTTACAAGTGCTTTTTGGAAATACTGCAATGGTATCAACGTGAACAGGAGCATATTGATACACATCGCCGTAAACAAGCCGAGATGCAAGTATATCAAGATGTAGCCAAGTTGCTCCATGGTCACGAGGATCTGCTACAGGAATTCAGTCGTTTTTTACCTGAATCCACTAGTATGGCGTCAGATCCAGTGAGTTTGTGAATTTTTTTACTGGATGCTTTAGCACGAGACTGGAGGAAATCGAAATCCACAGTATTGTTCGGTGAGCGAACTCTCCTCCGCTGCGCACAACAGATTTTCTGCAAGTGGTGCCGGTGTTGCATCTGATAGTTCGTCGACTTGGCATCGTAATCCACCAGAATCAGTAGGGCAATCGGAGTCCAAAAAACTGAAACGAATGGCAGCTGCTAGTTCATCGGTTCAAAGTTATTCACAAGGGGATTCGATTCCTTTGAAAAAGCCACGTCAAACTCCGAGAGATGTGAGTTTATCGGATGTGGGGGTTGCTGTTACTGGACCCGAGGCGACCTTGTTGCAAAAGGTAAGACTCCATAAATGCCAATATTTACTATTTACGCAGATTCGAACTGCCCTGGATGCTGATAATGCTGGCCGGTACTACCAATCGTTGCTTCAAAACATAAACCTTTATAATCGCAAGTTAATCGACGAAAAACATTTGATAGAGGCATCGAATTCAGTTCTCCATAGATACCCTGAACTCCATCGACAATTCTGTGAAATGTTTATTTTACCTAATTCTGAGTCTCGTTCAAGTGAAACTGGGACGAAAACACCAGATCTAGATGCGGGTTTAACTCCGTCCGGTTGCCTACAGGACGAAGATGCTAAGAGGTATCCTTCCAATAACTCCGTCGCCAGTCCCCCCCTCTCTGACGTTGGTACAACAACTGGTGGGAACAACATTCATCCACTCACAGGGGCCGATATGGTTGCATTAGTAAGTGAGGTCTCCCAAAGGCGCCTTGATTTGGACTTCAATAAGCTGCGCACTTGTGGAGCAAGCTATCGGGCTCTTCCACCGAATTTCCCTCAGCCTAAATGCTCAGGGCGTGCGAAGAGCGCGATTGCTCAGGCTGTGCTCAATGACACCTACATAAGCTTTTCCTCCCTAACATCCGAAGACTCACAGTTTGTGTCGTCAAAAAAGAATCAGTATGAGGAAAATATGTATCACACGGAGGATGAGCGCTATGAGGCAGATATGGTAATGGAAGTTAATCGGTCCGCGATGCAGAATCTGGTCGTTGTAAGACGTCGCCTAGATCGAATGAGTAGGGATGAAATACAAAGTTTTCGACTTGATGATTATTTGGGAGGAACTTCAGCGATTCTAATGAAAAAGGCAATTCATCGGTGAGACTTATTTTATTATATATGTCTATTCGGTGGCCTAGGTTTGAGTTTTATCCGTCGAAATTTCAATTTACTTATTCGGGTCTTTAATGCCCATCATTATTGGGTTAACGATTCTACTACCGTACCAAGTTCGATGTAGTTTTCGTTCATCATTTGAATTCATTTGCACAAGAATGCATTTGTAAACGGTGGCCTTAAAGGAGTCTTAAACAGTGTCTCGAAATTCACTCGAAATTGTTCTACACATAGTAGTTACTTAAATACTATAGGCCATTGAAAGCGTGGCATGATAACTAATTTTACCGATAAGTATAACTGCCATCTCAGGGTGTACGGAGACAAGGCGGGAGACGTTATATATGGGCTCAAGACTTGTCCACATACAGTGGTGCCGATCGTAATACAGAGAATGGTTCAAAAGGAATCAGAATGGAAAGAAGCGTTGCGAAAATTCCAACAGTATTGGGCTGATCAGGATGCAAAAAATTATCTTCGATCTCTCGATCATCAAGGCGCCAACTTCAAGCAACGCGACACCGCATTCACTCGTCCGAAAGCAGTTGTCAACCTCATCGAAGGTATTGCGCGCGGTGAAAATGTAAGCTCCAAAGCTGATTCATATCTCTGTACGATTCCTTAAACTCACAAGTTACCATTTCTTTGTACCAGTTTCTGGCTTAAAGTGTAAATTTTTTAGGTATATTGCTCCGATTGGGACAAAACCTTATCACCATATATTCAAATTTGGTTTATAGAATATTCACAACTTCGAGTGCTACTAGGTTATCTTACGGTTGATGTGCTACTTTTTAGTCGGCATCCTCAGACCCAATCTCTGGGGATGTTGTTGGTGCGATGTTAGCGAAATGTATGGCCTGCTGCCCTCCTGGGACGAACTCAGTCAGCCCCGCTACACTTGGTTCGGCATTGAGCCACGTAATTGAGGGCGTCGGTGATAATGGAGGCATGCATTTAACACTAGAATATCCACCTCCCGAGACATGTGCTTTGTTACTCCAGGATGTGTCCTCCCTTATCATACACCACGTCAAAAGGCAATCAAATACTAGCAAGGAGGATAAGCGAACGATGAAGTTTCTGGTAAGATATTATAGTTTTAATTGTAAATCCAATGTTTATTCCTACGTTGGGACTTAGATTGTTGGATTGTTAATATGCCATTTCGAATCTCGTCGAATGAACTCAGTGGTAAATTAGATTGTGTGATGCAGTACATCACCGCAAATACGCAGGTCCTAGTGACTACTAGATAACATGGACTTTTTAATAACACTTAAATTTCGTAATATCTAAAATGCATTCCTTCTTTGCGATGCAAGGTTCGTACGGTTTTGCAAGATTTCTTCATGCAAGAGCGTTTCCCCATGTCAGATGACGAGGGCGATGACGAAGATTGCGAGAATAATGAGGATTATGGTGGTAGCGAGAATGAAGCTAGTGGTGATAGTGAAACCGTAATGGATACTGGCGACTCTACAGCTAGCGGTATGCCCAAGCGACCACGCCGAATGCGTCACCAAACTCGGAACCCAAGATTGCATGAGCCGGCAAATGGTCTTAAGGAAGTATCACCGATTCCGTCGGAGCAGCCTGATTTAAAAATGCGAAGGCGTTCAAAGGCAAGCTTTGAATTTTTATTTTCTGTTTAAATTGGCATTAAATCTGCGGGTAGTAGCGCCCAAAACAGTTTAAGTAATCAATGATCAAATGGGTAATTTGCTAATGGTATATCCTATTTAGCGGAAAACATCAAACACGGGTGGAAATGATAGCGGTGACCGGGAGAACCCATTGGAGTTCCCGAAGGCTCCAGTCACTGCAAATGACATACCTTCGAGAGTTCCTACAGAGGAGTATTACTGCGTCCTGAATGGCAATAATCAGTGGTATGCCTTCCTTCGATTGCATCACCTTTTGCTCACTCGGCTGTCTCAGTTGCGGGCAAGATCTCAGCTAATGCAGCAAGAATACGCTGGCGAGGGTGGAAAGAGCAATAACCAGGTGGCTGACGTCTTGAGGTTGCGAAAAAAGGGTTGGTTCAGTTTATTATTAGAATGTACACAAATGTTTTGAAATGCCGTCATTAGTAGTAATACAAGATTGCTCTTGCCCCCTGGAGTCGAGACTTACTCTCGCTGCGTAAAGTCCGGCTCAGGAGTAGCAGTACGGTAAATCCTGATCCTACCACTATAAGCTTTTAAAGTAGCCTGCTGCTAAAAATATACAAAAATTCAGTTCTTTTTGGTAAATAAGGTGGACAGCTTGAGACACATTTTTTTGCCTTACTAGGGCAAAGTGAACCGAAGGAATACTATTCACTGGCTCTACAACTGGTCAAAGATCTCCTAGATGGCTGTGAGGATGTGCATTCGTATGAAGATCGTCTGCGTGATATGTTTGGCATATATGCGTACCCATGGTTTACTATGGACCGTCTAATAACCAATCTTGTGCGGCAACTTCACGTGCTGGCCAGTGGAGATGATTTGAGTCAACAGCTCACATCTCTGTTTCGGTGTTACTTCAAGAATCCCAATAATCGTCTGCGGATCGACTCAGATGTTGGGGTTGCAGAATACGATGGGCGGAACTTTTCGCCAGTGTATGTTTGTGTAGAATACAAACTTGGTCTTGGGGTCAACACTTACACAATTTAAGGAATCCGTCGTAACTTTATGCATTTTGATGGTCCTACTTCAATTTTATCTGTAGAGTTAATGTTTCTGTTTTTAGCATTAATGGGATCTGTGGTCCTTTAAGGACGCGCTACTCTCGACTAAAAGACGAAGCGCATTATCAACAAGCAGCCTTTTCGGCTTACCTAGAAGTAGCTGTTGCTTCCAACGATGATAGTGGCGGCTTATCTAATGTTGATAACGTCGGCAGCGGTGCACAACCAACCTTTCCGTCGCGCTCACAAGTTCCCAATTGCTACACGCTTGTGATGTTGCGTCAAGCGTCAAAACTCCTCATTCGCCTCCATGACCCCACATACGTAATTAATACCTGTGTCGCAGCACAGCAAAATCCTCCCGAAGCCTCCGCGTACCCCTCGCCCCCTCGCATCATCCCACCCCCGTCACCCGGCGAGGAGGCACGGGCTGCAAGTGCTCTCAAGCGAGCGGAAGTAGGCGGTGAGCACGAAATACGGCATTGGTATGACTACCTTGCTCGCTACTTGCTTATTCCGGGCTGTTGGATGGCAGGACCCGTTTCTGCAGCTCTAGTAGCTCGTGTAAGGCCTGTGTTTTTGTATCGCAACGTACGGCGTTGCGTGGAGCAGCTGACGCGTCAGGCCGTGGAGCGAAAGAAGGAGGAAGCCATTGCAACCGTTGATCCACAACCGGAAGAGGTAATCAATACTCCATTTGTTACATGTTTACGCTTTCTCTTTACTCAATTCATAATTGCAAGCTTTTTCTATATTTCTAAGGTGCTACTAAATAGTTTAGCACATAATACTTCTAAGGAAAATGAGGAGTCCACAACACAAGTTGACTCTACCTCCGCTGAACAGGAAAATCTTGAAAAGGACACTTGGGAAGTCATGGCCAGAGTGCTCAGAAATAGTTTGAGTCGATCAGAGGTGCGTCTAATTTTCCCTGATAGGAATGATTCTTATGCAGGTATTTCGTGACACATACTCGAGTGACTGTATGCAGTCGAGCAAAACTATGAAGAGTGGCAATTCCGCTCCCAAGGCAACTTACAAGATTAATTGGTCTGTTGGGTCATATGGAATCTTCATTCGAACTAGAAAGGTAACTTTGATTTACCTCGTCGTTCAGCTTCCTAGAATCGATGCACTCAATCAAGTACAAAATCGCGATCTGTCAAGAAATTCCGGGAGTTTCAAGCGAGCTGGCTAAGTGAGCATGGAAATAAAACGGAAATTGAAGCGATTACGATGCAGCTCAAGCGGAGATCGAATGCAAGTGATGAACCCGAACCCGCATCTGAGGGCTTGGATAGCAGTCAAGGGAACGAAACACTGCCCTCGCCGGTCAAAGAGCCTCCTCGTGTTATAATAGCGGCAGGTAATCCCGGAGGGGAAGAGTCTGCTTCTAAGATCTCTACACCGGTGGGGACCCCATCAGAGTCCGTCGAAAATTCGAAACAGCCCGAAGTGTCGAATTATTGATGCCGAAGCCGTATGGACATGACTCCGCACCGCCTGTGCATAGTACCTTACATTCTGTACACGATCTACATATGCCGATCACACCTGTGCTACCCTGTATAAATTTTCACATTCAACGTAAGCCTAGATGTTTATTTGCTGCGCCTCAATGCTTTAGCTATATATATATATATATATATATATATATTGGCCATGTTTAAACTTCCATCCTCATACTTCGGGCAAAAGGATTTTGGAAGAGCCAAAGTCTCGTGCTTAACTATTGAAGGTGAAACTGACGGAATAGTACCCTACATGCGCCAAACAAGACAGATGGTTAGTGTAAAATTCATAATTGAGACATAAAAACATCTGCAGATTTCTGGTTTTAGTGCCATGAAGTTTTCACATAGCGGCAACCAAACCAATGCATGGAAAACAGACTTAAGCAATAAAGGACTTGAAACTTAGGACATACGCAGTTTAACTTGCTAGAGATTTTGCATTAGGGAGTATAGTAGAGGTAACTTTATTAGAAAGGATACTAGGAAAATACATGATCTCACAGTCCAATTTTGTAAGCGGAGCCGGCCGAGTTGTGGATTTTGGAAACCGTCGGCTCGGTTGTGGCCCATTCGTACCATACGTGCCGTGGAGAAATGCAACGCCAGAGATGGAATGCTACCTTTTGACCTGCCTTGACGGGTACTGCGGAGACCAGAGGGAAGACCATCGGAAACCACGAGAACATGTTGGGGCTGTGACGCTGTGGATGAATACCTAGCAGAAGAGGAAGCTCACACTTGTCGAATAGCCTTATATTTTATTAAATTTGCAGTCAAAGCTGGCATACAGATGTGTTGATTTACTAACACGCGAAAAAAGCTGTGAATACCTACCCCCGGGAGACTCCTAGGGGCTAATTTTGGAGGCAAGAAGACAAGGAACTTTCATTACTTACTTAACATGATCTTGTCATAAAGCACAGCTTCGAAGTATCCTGCAAATCCGTGTATTACCCCATCTTCTCTTGGCACGAACGTTAGGCAACAGTAACGGGTATTAGGAGTGGTGTCGATATCTGTGGAATAAAGTATTCTCAAAAATCGCAGAGATTTGATGAGTTATAAGCCTTGATGTTCAACCTATATTGTGTCATGAGTAATTATTCTTTTGAATAAATTCACAAGCGGTCAGTTTTTGGTTTCATGTTTAAAATGCAATGCTGAATATTGCATTCACATTAACAAGGCAACGATGGTCGGATAATATTAATGCTAAAGTGCTTCAAGGAAAAATCTAAACCGGGGATAAGGGCTACCTTTCCGAGGGTGCTTGAAAGTAAAAGCTTCTTCCGGCGCTGCCAGTATCTGACAATTCGAAAGTCGAATAACATAAGGCGTTTCTGAGTGCTTCTGTATACGCTCCTGGCACTTAGGCTAAAAGGGTTAAAGATGGGAATGAGTTCAGAAAACGCTTATCCGGGCAGTGAAAGAACGAGTCTTACGTTGTCCATGCATCGCGAAGTCTCAATATATATTCGCAAGGATTGAAGAGGCGCTACGTAGGACGTGTACGAGGCCGGTATACTAATACCATCATCTGAAAAGGGTTAAAATTTCCAATTGAATAGCCTTGTAGTGGTGGTCAGTGCATCTACTAAGCACAACATCTGAGCAACTCACCTTTGAGTAAGTGTTGAGCGCCATCGAGGCATTCAGGGCTGAGTTCGTTGTCTCCGAAGGAGCCCAACAACTCGCTAACAAATATGTCCACCTTCTCCGGAGGTGGGGCGGACAAACAGCGCATATCACCAGGCACAAGGTGAACATCCTCGCCCGACCAATCTGTCTGCATGCGGTGCTGAAAGTCAAATTAAAGCTATCTTATCAGTGTAGCACCTGGGGGATCTCTGGCAATGTTTTAAGACCTAAAAAGTGGCTTCACTATAAGCGTGCGGCAAAGATGGGAGATGTCATGGGCTGCATTAATAGGACTCTGTGCCACTAAGATGAAGACCGCATTGCAGGGGATCAGGGAGTTTCGCGTCCTCAGTGCATCGATTGAATGCATCATCAAACTGAGCATGCACAATGCCATAAGGATCGGATTGCCATTAATTACAGAGTGAAGTACAATGATAGATAAGGTGATAGTTTGCACACGAAGTGGAGGGACAATAATGAAAAGCTGGAACATGGCTAAAAGAGATGCTTTTGAAATTTTCATGCAAACTACTTCCAACACAGGGGATGCAAATAGTCTTTAAGCCTTTAAAGTATGTGCATCTGATAGAAATAGGGAATTGAGGACCAGGAATCAGAAACCCTGAAGCAAAAGTAAACCATAATTTGTGCCGAGCAATACTCTTCACCGGGACAACTGAGCGCTAAGGTTTTCCTACCAAAAAACTAACCCTCAGTGTCAGCAGAGCGTTTGAGTTTTTTTCAATGATGTAGATTCGTACTGGACAACAAGAACGGCGGCTTGCTTGAAGACTGGCATCCACAAAAGGACCCTGACCAGCACCCAGTACGCATATAATCTAGAGTAGAAAAACAAAGGTTACTTAATGAAATAGCAAAACGACTAGCGACTTCATAAAGTTATTTACAAATAATAATTTTTAAAAATCGAATCGCAAACACCAAAACCTTTAGGGTTGAGCAAGACTGTTGCTAGTCAAGAATGAGTGGCAACAGGCGATTGTTCCGAGAACAACCACATGAGTCACATTCCATTCCTCAAAGTTGCAAAAAGATGTTTTACAATACTAAAGTAGGAATCGACCATCGCGGCTCTGACAGATGAATATACTATGTATACTTTTAAACACCGCATTTTAGCCATAATTGTAGAGATTTCCAATGAAACAACAACGATGGAATGCACAGAATATACTACCAAGTAGGGGAGTAAAAACAACTTAAACGAAGCATCCACATTCTAATTTCCTTATATTCACAGTGAAGAAAAGGGGAACTAACCTGTTTTACACCGGGATCGCCGTTGAAACCCACCTCCGTAAAAGGAGATTGATAAGACTCAATCATCTTTCCGGAGGAACAACGATGTAATAAAGCCAAGTAGATAGCCTGAGGAAGAGGTGTGAAGGGTAAGGGAACAGGCGTAGAGCTTTTGACTAAAAGGATCTAACCAGCTAAATTTACTTCTTCATAGGCCTTGTATTTGTATGGATCCATTTCAAACACACCATAAGTTGCAGAGGAGAGGTTGTCCTGCAGTGGTTGAAGGGGCTCCTGGAGCAAAGATCAGTCCAAACATAGTCCGCATAGATTGCAAAGACAGTGAATGAAAAATTCAAGAAGCGCACAAAAGTTTCATAACGGGATAAGTGTAGAATGTGGCAATACCTGAAGCTGATCTTCAAACCCTAGTGAGTACTTTTCGTAAAGCGACTTTCCTTCAACAGTACACTTCCAAATCCAGTTTATATACTGACGATATATGGACAAACCGCGCTCATGGTGACTTGGTCCTGTAATCAACACTTGAGCGTTGATCTAAAAAGAGAGGTATCGTAGCACACACAAAAAACCATTAATATAAAACAGAGACTTTAAACAGTCTGACAAAAAAGGGAAGAAGTTAGGAAAACCTTCAAGAATTTCCGCAGAACGTGTTGGTGGGCGTGAGAAAGAATCGGAAAGCCTTTGGAATTGGTAAGAAAAAGCTGGGTAGAGAGGGCGAGGCAGGTGACGGGCTCGCTGAGCCAGCGGTTGACAACGTCCTCCTTGGGTAGGTCGGCAGGCACCTCGAGGAGAAGACCAAGTGACTCACACGCCGCAGGACCCGCCAGCCCCACTAACTGACTCCACCAGTGCCATGGCGACGACGCTTCCTGTCCTTCTGTCAAAATGAGCGCACGTGGATGTCTATTTGTCAACCAACCAGCCACCAAGCGCAACCGAAGTTGTCGAATGTTAATTATATTAAGAAAAAAATCAACAGGAGTCTGGAACCAGGTCGTAGATATCATATTACGATAAAATGGACGAAAGGAAAACAAATTGAAACGATGAAAACATACTACCGCGGTATAACGTACCATCGCCTTCAATATACATCGGAAGGGAAATCCAAATCTAAAATAGTGCCTAGTGAGATGAAAATACCAACCTTGATAGAGGCTATTTCAGATTTAATAAATGCAGTTAGTACTTGTGCTAGTTTTATGTTGTTTACATGTTGGAGGGGCACTTCGATGGCTGGAAGCGCCAAATGCACAGCCCAGGAAAGTTCTTTCCTCAAACAGTACTCAGATATGCGAGAAACTAGTGTATCTTTTGAGTCACAGTCTATCCATTTAGATGTGAATCCAACAATACCTCCCCCGATCGAGTCACCTAAACACTTTTGTACAAATTGCAGCGTACCCTTTTTCGGATCAACACAATCTGAGCCGACAAGCGGGAGCATTTCGTCGACATCATGAAGGGACTGAGGACACGAATATAGCGCCGGAAATAAGTCTATACCGATGAAAGCAAATCTATGAGAAAGGTACATTATGAAGAAAAAAACTTCACCCTTCATTTCGAGCAGTCTGAAATTGTTTTCGAGCGTCATCGAGTGCCTTAATACGAAGACCCACAAGATTGCTATCCATCATTGCACTTGAAGCCAAAGTACTGGAACAAACATTTATTAATTAAGTGAAAGAAGTATGGAACCCTCAAAGTAACACCAAAACACTTTCTATTAAATAACAGCATTTACTGCAAATGCGTAATAATGAAAATGCAGGGGTCGCGTAAAATGTAAGAGAGGCGAACTGATCAAAATATTAAACCGAGTAAACTACGATAAATTACACGCCGAACCAGTGCCGTCAAGCTAATAAAAGTGGATTACGAGTCAAAGCCAGTGGATTTATGAGCACAACCCAACACACGCTAACAAAAATACCTTGGTGTTGGAATCCAGGGTAATTACCAGAAGGAACACAAATTGATTGAAGCATACTGCGAAAACGCAATGCATATGATCGAGAAAAAAATAGTTTAGTTTTACGACCATTACCTCGAATACCACAAATACCATATTAATCAGAATAAGTGAACTTGGAAGCTCAGATAAAAAATGGAAAAGTGGGAATAGAAGACGCCCTGGCAATACGAATTCTAACTGGATGCACACATTTACACGAGGAAACCAATCACATAGAGACGAGGATTCTAAAATTAGTCGCGGAAAAGTACAAGCATAAAGTGTACCAGCTTATTTACAGGTTGGTTCATCGGTGATCAGAATGCCCACTTCAATGATTATGCGAGGAAAACAATACACTACCGAAACGTAAAAATTCGAAAGCCTAAGGAACTTTAAGCCCGGTATCACCAAATCTACCTCACAATCTTAAAATATTTTTCAATTATAAAGGGGAGTTAATGACGGTGAAATCTGATTCTGGTCTAAATGAAATGCCCTCCCCACTGGGTAAGATTGCGCACCAAAGACGGGTTCTGCCAGATTAAACATGTATCTGGAACAATGTAAACTTGTATTTTTCTAGAAATAAAAGTTTTTTTATAGTACACAGCTAAGTCTTGCGTGGCCTGCAGTGGTTACCGGACGCAATCATTTAGGTACAGATGGGCTGGAAGGTCATAAGGATGACCCGTAGGACATGACGCCGAGAGATTGTATAGAACGTAAGCACTTGGGTGCCTGCGTAACAAAAGGCGAAGCCGAAGAAACTATGGTAGTATTGCATGCCAAAAAAGAAAACTTACAAATCCACACCACCATGCGAAATAGGCACGAGAGACGGCACCTGAATTACGTGGTTTAGGGTAAGTATGTGCTAAACAATTTATTCAACTGAATAAAACTCAATAGGGCTTAAGGTTTGCACTACAGTAACTCCGACTCTTGTTGAATGCTTTAAGAAACAAGCAGATAAGTAAAATTACCCTTTTTTGGACAAGAATGCATGCGTGTGTACGCTGAAGAACTGCCCAGAAAATATGGATAAGGTGTAATTATATAAGATGTTGCCCAAAGTGCTATTTTACTTCCTTCATTTCTAGCAGTATTATGTGTAGTTCATTGTTTGACTAGCTCACTATTCTCTCAATTCGTCGTGAGCGGTGTCTTCGAATGAATGGATCCCAATGAGTTGGAATTTGTGGCCGAGAGTGAACTTGTTACAATCGTACCGAGGTTTCGTATGGAATCTGTTGATCTTATGGAAGTTCGAGTCAGTAGTTGTGCGAGGCACTGCATTGATAATGCCATTATTGAGAGCGGTATTACTACTGCATTAGGTGCAACGTTGTGGATTGTTTTTCAATCTAAATATGCTTTTACTTAGTGTTTGACCGTAAGCAGGTGTCAGAATCTTTTGTATGCCAGTTTGCTTCGGAGCAAATGTTTTTAACCCTTCGTTTCCTTCAAGATTGGGCCTTTTTATCCGAACATACCTGCCGATGTTCCTTTTTGGACTGCTCTTTATTTGCGCCAACAACAGAAGTGTCGCGTAGTTCCTCCTAATTGGTTGTCAGTTGCGCGATTGTCGGAGTTTAAGGAGGCCGAGGAGTTGAATACGGGTTGTACTACACCTCCTCATCCACACTATGCGGAACTGGCTACTTTGCTACTTCAGCATGCAGTGGAAGATATACCTAAGTAAGTATGCCTTCGAATCATTGCATGTCCTTAATCGGATTGTACCACTTTTTAAAAGGCATGTAGTCCCTTGATGGAATGAACAGCTGATATTTGAAGTTAGTTGAAAGAGACTATTTCGTATTTTTTCAGTCATGAGCAAATTCGGACGTTAGTGAAGGACTTGTGGGATGCTCGCGTAGGTAAATTTGTTGCGTCAGCAAATAGTTTTGTCCTCAGCAGTGCTTCCACAGCTCGAGTTTCACAGCTGACGCCTCTGGAGCTGGCCACGGCCCGCAATCTCCTTACTAACTGCCTTGATCAGCTAGCTGTCCTACGTGCTGCAAGGCAACGAATTGCGGGCGTTTCAGATCTCTCGCAGAGCAGTATGTCAATACCTGATACATAAGCAATATTTTAGCTGGTGTATTGTAAATCAATCGTTTTTTTTCGTAAAGCATTAGTGCTTCTTTTGTGCCTCTAATAAACTTACAAATTCAAGTTATAATGTAATAGGGTGGAGTCGAAGCAATTCCCATGACTATATTTGGCTCAGGAGTGCCTTACAGTTTAGTGATTGGGTTGTAGTTTCTAGGTAATGGAGTAGTTGATCATTCTTCAAATATTAACTAGGTCAGTAAACTCCGATTAAGCCGTGTGGTGGGTTAAGAGAGTCGAGAGTTTGCTTCTGTGCGTGATTCAGACCTATATTTTTTTCAGTTGCATCTGGAAGCAGTTTCCATTCAATAAAGCGTCTTTTGGAGAGCATGGTCGTTTCCATTAAATCGTCACATTCATTAATCTGGAAATCTAGTCTGGCTGTGATGGGTTTCCGGAATGATCGTATCCCTCACTTTGTCGATATTCGATTTCGCGGCAATAGTGGTAGATGAATTGGTCGTCGCTGCTATGATGCGAGCGTAGCCGCCATCCGGCGGGAGTGATTTGATGACAAGTATGGGCTGCTGAGAGTAGTAGAAGTTTGCGCAACTGCAGCCACAACTCTGCACTTGGTGGGAGGCGGTGGTAGCGAGGATGGACGGTCTTCTTGTTTCCAGATAAATTGGATGGACTTTCGATTGCAGGTGCTCAGGTGATGAGTAGTCGTTGGGGAAAACCGTGAATGGATGTAGTTCGTTGGGGCTACTGTGATCCCACTCATCTATTTGCCTGGTCGCTTTTACCTTCATCTTCCACTATCAACCGAATTTCGTGTAACTATATTATTAACAACTTAGATGGGTCAGGTAGCGGAGGGGCCCCTATCAGCTTCCAAAAAAACTTGTGTAAACGCTCTGCAGGGCGTTATGTGCAATATTCATTGTATTGTGCGGAACACTAGTTTTAGTGAACGAGACAAACTTTACCTGCTATAAAATTGGATTTAGATCAAATGCGGATTCCATAAGTGAAATCATATCTTAAAACAAAATCAGCCTTTGATACTACCAATCGAGAAAAAAATTACCTGGAATATATGGTAGGATATATTTTTGATGCTTGAAAGATATGGTTGATGAAAACATCATAGATTATTTCCAACATACAACAGTGTAATCTATTTAACGCTTATAATCTTCTTTTTTACGGCGTTATGACACTGAAAATGACATTTTGGTTCATACATAACCTAGTAAAATAAGACTGAGTCAGTTGCAGGATATGATGAGAGTCGGAAGTAAAATTCAAACTTCACCTGTAGTATCAACGATTCTTTGTATATATTTTAAAGTTGTACCAATGGTCCGCTACATGTACTTCGTAGGAATAGAGATGCATTGTGGAACGTTGGCTGATTGTTCAATCCCCCATATTGGTAACCGGCCAATCGAATGCTCTGCCATTGCGCTTGCCGCGGGTGGTCTGGCCTCTGGGTCAAGCCCTACTAGTGTCGGATACATGCATTCTGCACGAGCATAATGTATTCCTATATTTAGCCATCTATCTATCTGTTGCATATGGCTAAGTGAGCGAAGGCCCACTACAGAAGAGTTATGAACGTATATTGAGTGGCACCTTTTGTTAAATAAGTTGTCCGAAAATGGCAACAAATGGAGTAAGACAAGGTTTAGGTGGAAGTCGATGGAAATGCGATGTTAACTGTGTCTCCGACCATATGGACTCTTTTCCCCTTGATGCTTTTAGGCAAATATATACTATAGAAAGGAAGTAACTCAAAGTTAATACTTGCCGCAAAATATTATACAGTTTTTAGTATCTTCTCTCACACGAGCCCAACGCCCAATATTCAGCACGTACGTGGATTGGATTCGGTGTTTATTTTTTCAATTTTGACCTCCAATCCCTTGGAACTAGTAGCCTGATTATGCGGAGACATGCTTTATTGGTAAAATTATGAATGGGGTACAGTGATTAGAGTTACGCATATTCGGTGTACACTCCTTCCTCGTGGCGGCTGACGTCTATTCCGTCACGGGACTAGTACTAACCAAACATCTTGCCAAAAGGCTTTTTTGAAATATCCATGTGCCAAAATAGTAACTAATGATTAGCACTCTTCTCGTGAGGCTAGTTTGTTACAATGCATTCGATCCTGCCCCGCGGTTAATTGGATTTTACAAGACTTGTCACAGATGAAGGAGGAGACTAGACATAGAAGCGAAGAAGACGAAGATTTGAAGAAGTGATATGTACCTGGATGTACACCTAAGCAAACTGGCCCTTTTGCCTCCATGCGATGATCTTTCATCTTAGCCTCTCAAACCAATACCCTACAGTGGTAAATGTCGCTGTGGTTCGAAAACCGCAAATTAACTGTGTTTAGTAATGTGGCAGTCATTGTCATAGTATTAGGGCTTTGTTTTGGTCATCAGAAGGTACCTTTATTCACATCACAATATCTAGCCATTTAAACTAGCGTACGGAGGCACAAAGTTAGCGCGTGGAGAAAAATACATCAGGTAACTATTATCATAATTGTTTTAATGAACCACTTGGAACATCCAATGGTTACGATTCCTGTTTCTTGAGTTCATGATTGGTACTGTTTAGAATTTGTTCACTGCTTGTTAAATAGCAATTCTTATGCCATTTTCGACAGTGTACAAGACAGTTTAGGCTGAAGTGTAAGCCTCATGGATCAATTAGGAAACCTAGCCTAAATGCTCAAAAGGTTTTCACAGGCTAAAGCTTAAATGCAAGTGAATAGTAAGGATCACATTTGTTAGCTGAAGGTCTCAGTACCTTAGTGCAAGTACTCGACCTTGTATTGAGTGGTATTATCGCCTTCTCCAAGAAAACTTTCCCTTTGCGTATCACCAGTTTTTCTGTTGTATCAAAGCATATTCGCTTTACCCAATGCTCTACAGCGTTAGCAACGTACAGATATCTGTAATTGCATGAAGTCACCAGATTTGTTTAGCTTAAGTTCCGTGTTCGAGCTTCTTTTTTGGATTGGGACTTCGTTCTGCTCTAAATTTGAATGTGGCATCATTCACCTGAATTGTAAATCACGAACCAGTATATGGCTGCCAAATGTTGGTACGATCATTTTGTTATTGCTGGCTACCATTGCTTCTTCCAATTGGATTGGTAAATCGGACTTCAAGTATCTTTAGGATATCTTTCGTTCTGCATTTTAGGGATAAAACCCTGGATGACTCATGCTATCTTTGAAAGAGAAGGAATTCTTGTTGATTGCCCAATTCCTGATCCATGTGAGGATTCGGTGATCCTTAAAAGATTCGATCGCCATATTCCTCGCACTCTCTCAACTTATTTCAGTCCCAGTCAAATGGATAAAACATGCGAGTTTCTCGTCCAGGGGATCTCAGCACCTTTTGATAGGGTCACATTTGATAGCGTGTATCATAAAACACTAAGGGCGGAATCCTGGCACACATCGGATGTCCAAACTGGTGTGTTAGATCTCTTATCAACTCTTCGAGAGAATAACATTCCGATGGCGGTGGTTTCGCACTATACTTCAGCTGACGCTCTTGTGCACGTTACAAAATATAGCAATTTAATGGAGTATTTTGAAGCGAAGATCTTTAGAGACGATCCCGAGGCAAGTTTGGTACAAAATTATGGTGCAAAAAACAAAGTTGAGAAATATCGTATATTTATTTGTGCAGTCCACTTTTATTCAGCTACATGGAAAATAACTAGGCGATTTTGTCATTAGAATGTTTGCAAGCCACACGCCTGAAATATTGACGATTTCGTCACTGACTAGGTCAATTTGCGACACAAAATAATTTTGTGCAGTCGATTTTATCCAGTAGCAAAACTGATTTACAAATGACTCAATCGCAATAGCTTTTAAGGAAACAAACTAGTTTGACAGCTCGTGGAACTGAATAGTAACCAGCACTGGACGGTATTAAAAAGCGATGATCAGGAACGTGAATTTACTTCAGTAATAGAGATATTAGCCAAAAAAACTTGACAGGCAGTGTGTTGTCTGTTAGGAGACGTAGTGTATGTGACGATAAAAATGTGCATAAAAGCACATCGTTTGCATTTTCGACGTTTCGACGAAAACTGTTGTATTCCTTACAAGTTGCTTTCTTGCCTTTTCTTAAAATGCACATGCTTTAGGTCAATTATTCCCATTTTACAAAGTAATCAGATGCAATGAGTTAATTTTAATGTGACGTAGAGAAGACGTCAGTTTGGACCTTTGCAAGCTACCAAACTGTCAAGCGAATGAATTTCCCACTTTCTTGAATAATATTAAATTGTAATTACACCGAGTTCCCACGATAACCGACACGATCAGCACTCAAGGGAAAGCACCGTGAGGACCGAAATCATTAGCGTACATATGGTGATAAACTGACGAATAACCTCAATGAGGCAAAATTAAAAAAAATTGCCTCACATAAGCTTCGAAGGGTCGTGTATATGCACCACATAAGGGTCTGAATTGAAAAAAAAACAGGTTTTTCTTTTCTCATTCCTGATCTGACTAGTTGAAAGGCGATCTTACACCACTGAGCCGTAGCCCAGTGCTGGTGGCGTGCGAGCGGTTCGTGGAGCCCGCGGTGCCCGGGCGCAATGTCATTGCCTTTGCCAAAAGTGAGGCTTTCGCTACTGACGCTTTGCGCGCTGGCCTCTTCGTTGCATGGCTGGCGGACCCGAAGAGCCACGCTTGCAATCTCTCTTTTCCTGAGCGGCTACGGGTAGGTTGAAGAATCCCTCCGCACAAGCATACAATTTTATCTGGATGGACTCTGTAGGGTTCTTGGATATCCTACCAATCATTCACCGTTTTGCCCAGAGAATACAATTTTCTTAGACGTTTATTCCAAAACAGATCACCTCGTAAAGATATCGTGAGAGAAATAATTGCACACTACACTGATTTGAATGAGTTTTTCTTATGTAAGTCTTACAACATTGCATTTTGTAATTTGGAGTGAGAAATACATCCAGAATCCCACAGTTTAAAAAACACGTTAAAACAGTTGTTAAAATAAAATAGAGCTTGGCAGCAGAAAAATGTGAGAAATTTTTGCTTTCTGAAAAATAGGGCAACAAATTACGAGCCATGCAGGGGTAGAACTAAGCCCTTTGGTTTATCTGGCATTTACTTAAACGATTGTAGACTATAGCGGACCCAGTCTATTCATTTAAAATGAGTCGTTAGGGCGCCACCGCATAGGTAAAGAAGGACAAAATAAAAATTCGAAGGCGTTGCTGAGCTATTCGGTCTTCTTCCCAGGTGGTCTTCGTATCGAAGATAGAGGACTTCCATTCTATTGTTCGAGGTTCGCCTTCTTTAATAAAGTAAATATTATCAAATAATACGAGACCAACATGGTGCTCCACTCGCTTAACAAACATTTAGTACAACACATTTATTTCAATAAATCCATTAAAAGGATTCAGTTTATGGGATTATATGTTAAATAAC